TACTTCAACGACTTGTTTTGTTTGTATGACTGCAATTGTGGAAAACGACTTGTGAAGTTGAACCAGCAAGAAGAGCGAGGTGCGCGAGAATGCTGGGACCCTTTTTTCACCTGGATCCCCGCTATTTTTCGCCCTCATGTCCCTCCGTTGCTGCACAAACTTCGCACCGCCTCGGCCGTATCTAGACCCACAGCTAATTCATGATTGTCCCTCATACATTGTGGAGTGGAATAAACATAGCGCAGACTACGCTTCAATAAATATAAGTATAAATCAAAAATATCTGCGTCATACCTGTGACATGTTCACTGTGACACTGCTGGGGGAGTATAACCAGCCCTTTAGATCAGCAAGTCTTTCAATAGTTTTAAAAAGCCCAGATGATGAAGATGATGTCAATTTATGATGACGTGGCTTTGAAGGCCTCTGATAGTTTAATTCACATTTATATGAAACAGATGGCCACACTATTTTGTGGAAAAAAACAAAATAACTCTTCTTAAGGACTTCCTTAAGTCAGGTTCATCCTTGGCTACAGTTTCCAGATGCCTTAAAATGCCTGAAGATGGATGCTTTATTAGTGATATATCCAGAGAGAAGAGATTCCTCTATAAACATGCCCTGAAAGGCCACTCGGAGAGAAGAAGACAATTATTCTAAAGGCTGAATAAATATTCAGAATACATCATTAGACTGTAAGCCCACATTACAGTTAGAGAATAAAGGGAAAGCCTAAGAACACATCACAACTACGAAGACCTTCCTGCAAGCAGGTCCTCTTCAAATGACAGTTGACATCATAAGTGAGTGTATTGATGTCATATTTCAAGGCATTTGCCAAGAAGAATAGAGAGTCTTTACTGTATATATAAAAACCAAAATGAAAGTTTGTGGAGACTCCTGGCTTAGAAAGTGCACACAATAAGCAGACAGAAATTCAAAACACTTATAGAAAAAAGGAATCGTTAATCGACACTCTCAGAGAAACTATAACGCCCTAAAAAGTAAAACATCAAATTCAAGACACCCTTGTGGGAGATATAAACTTTAAAGCTTTGGCACAATTGGTTCCTATAAATGATTACTGACAAAAAGCATGACCCCATATTAGTTACAAAGTGAACGAACAAAGTGAATGTCTTTAAAAATCCCTGATATTAGTAGGAACTATGAGCAGGTAAAGTGACCCAAAACTTGAGTGACACCAGATGTGTCAGGAAAAAATCCAAAAACAATTGTTAGAAACTACAGAGTTCCTGTTCCAAGTCGTGTAGTCTATAAGCCTTAATCTGTCACTCTGGAAAATTGAAATCATTTGGCAATTCTAACTGACCTGAAACAGGAAAGGTATAGTCTGAAATTTATGTTAGACAAAAGGGTTATATCTTTTCATTGAGGGGGACGTAAATATTTTTCTTTGTAAACTTGCATCTCACTTCTGCTGATCAGCATGTTTTCCCTCTATTTTATTACAACTCAATCCTTTAAATCTCCTTTTCGCTATGATTTTTAATAAACATTAGAAAATCCTGATTTTTCGGGTGAGCAAAACAATGGAAACGTCATATAGTATATATACCCTGTCAGAGAGACAGGAGCTATATATATATATATATATATATATATATATAAAAAAATAAATAATGTTCTTGCAAAATGCAGCTCCATGATTTGTTGCCTAACACAGCCAATGTAGAATCACATAGTTTGATTCTGACACAACTTATTTAAAAATATCTCGACTGGGGCCTAGAGCTTATACCTTACATCCGATTTGAGATCCCTATGTTAAAGAAATTCTATACTCATTCTCTTTAAATCTGCAGTTGTGCTATTATAAACTTTTTTTTAACTCAGTTTTACTCACTTAGGTGTCCTGCAAACTGCTGCATCAAGACATCTGCCTTTAAAAATCCTGATGGGTCATTATTCAAAAAGTCAACCGGCATTGAACAAGTTTACATGAATGTGCCATTTGTAAATTAAATGTGTAGTGGAGGATTGTCACAAATTTTTGCAAAGACCCTCCCTCTCCACACAAAAAAATGCACATGCACAACCGTGTAGCCACTCCTGAGAGGGAACGCCTATTAAATGCGTACGAGAGCACACACAAGCCCATTTCTCCCCGTGCTGCTTTGTTTAAAAGTTGCTGTCTGCATCGCTCATACAAGCTTTCTTTCCAAAAGAAGATTTGCAATTTTTCCACTATGTCAGACTCACCACTGGTAAGTGAAAATGGGGATGAGCACGTAGGACGGCCTTACGTAAACATATCACCAGAATGATTGACAATTAGGAGGACCACTTATTTTGGTGATCCATCCAGAAAAAGAACATCCTCCACTACACCTTTAAGAAAAGTATTTACACCTTAAACAACAAACCTTATGAATAGGGCTGAAACAATTAAACGTGATTAATCGAATATTGAAGTAATTATCAACTAATTTAGTAATCAATTAATCGTTAACTAGAGTATAGACTGTAAAATATGCCTTTAACTGACACTTAGAGCAGTAATTATATCAAAATTGTAAAAAAAATTAAATAAAAAAATTTTGCATTAGAGGTAAAAAGATATTTTTTTCGTCTATCAAACTGCCCTATCCAGAACTCTTCAAATTTCAAGGTATTGTGAAGGATTTTCACGAGTGTTTGAATAGACCTGTCCTCTCCACTTAAAAAAAATGCACAATCCTCTACCTGTACGTAAACATAACACCAGAATGATTGACAATTAGGAGGACCAGTTATATTGAAGATCCACCCAGAAAAAGAACATCCTCCACTATGCCTTTAAGACTCGGCTATAATCAAAAGAAGACGTGTCTTTTCTAATGCACCACTATGCACCTCCATAAAGCACTGAAGAATGTGTTTCACTGCCTGTTTATAGTAATGGTTCAAAACCTCTCCTCTTGTTCAATAACAAAGCACTTAAAAGTTTGGATTACTACGGTGATCAGAAAAAAAAATGAATCAAAAAATACATGTTAAAAAATTTCTTTTATAAATGTAAAAAAAATTTCCCTTTTTTTTTTTTAAATATAAATTTGATGATTTGTATCCCTTCATTTTGGTTCATTCTTTTCTACTTTTATTGGAAATTTCTGGACTGTTTTGTCTTTGCTGACCTTTTGTCCATCTAATAAACAGGATCCTTGTGATCTTTTTTTGGTGGTATTCTTTCATTCCATGCATGCATTTAGGAAAAATATGACATTTCTTTGTTACAACGGGCTAAAGTGGAGCTGCGTGCTGCTTTGACAATCAGTTGATATGGGGGGGTGGAAAAACAAAAATGTTTCTGGACTTGCCTTGCACCTTTTCTGTGATCGCGCTCTGTCACCTTAAAACAAACTGTATTATCACTGTGCAGAAAAAACAAAAAAAAAATGTCATTCTTTGTTCATTTTGGTGAAAACCTTTAGAAATAAATGTTTAAACCTGTTAAATGTGTTGGATTCTCTGTCTTTAAACATTTCCTCACAAAAAGGACACACATTTAAGTTTAACTTCCCACGTATATCATAAGTTAGCTTTAAAAATCAAAGGGATTGTGGACTTGTGGTATGTTCTGTCTAATATAAATCAGAATAAATGAAAGCAAACAAGTTTAGACAATTAGGATTTACTAGCAGAAAACCAAAATGACTGAGCCACCATTCATAAATAAACATGACAGTCTTTACATAAACATCCTGCTGAATAATTCAGGTGTTTAAATGTCTACCATAGATGGACCAGGTTTATAAAAGCACAAATAAAACGAAGGATTTCTTTGCTCTTCTGTAGTAAACATGCTAATTTGTATCACAAATAAAATCCTTTGGATCTCAGTTTAACAATGAAATGTAGAGGGGATCAAACAGATATGTAGTGACTAATAGTAGTAAAACAAAAACTTTCTACAGGAGGAATATAAGACACTCCCTCCACCACCTGAAGGTCAGATATTAATCTGCCTTTTAGTAAAATGAGTGAATCTTTTAAAATAGTTTCCCCCAAAAAAACAAAATTGTACAAATATACGTATATGTGCTTTAGCATCAGTGTCTTTATTTTTACTGGTTGCATTTTCTCTTTTTTAAATAAATGATTAAACTTTAATGCATTAGAATGTCAACAGGAATCGTCAAAGTCTCAATCAAGTTAAATTTAACAAATTAAAAAGTATAAATAAGTATTAACAAAATCTAATGTTGGAGAGCAGAATGATGATATCAAAGCTTTTTTTTATTATTTTGATAATGGGAATGAACCCTGCAAAAACATTCATGTCCCTCATTTTTTTTAATAGATTATCTAACTTTACAACTAAAAGCTTCAGTGTGTTTTATTGGGATCATTTGTGAGAGGCCAACACAAAATCTCATAAGTTTGCTCTGTTTTTCTGAATGTAGGCCCATTTACTTCAAAACTTTTAACTAAATCCTTCAAAAGGCATCTAAATAGAAATTGGGCACATTTTTGTTAAACAGCTGTGTGGTTTTACCCTAATATACATAATTATAGCTGTTCTGTTCTGTATTTATAGTGAATATTTGAACACCAGCAGCTACAGAGACTAATGGTAACTCTAGAGGAGCTGCTTCCTTCTCAGGAAAGAGAATCTGTTGATAGCTGTACCCAAAACAAATCTGAATTTTTGAAGTTTCTGTTTGTAAAGGCACCAAACCAACTTGGAAGCTTAAGACGCTTAAAATACATCCAGAGCTTCAATAGGATGGTTTAGATAAAGTGAGAACTTTAGACCTAAATTCAATTAAAAATAAATGTCAGGATATAAACATTTCTGTCTACTGACAATTTCCAACAATTCTGATTGAGTTTGCGAATTTTTTTCATAAACAGGGAAGCATTTCAGTCTCTAGTGTCGAAAAGGCAGTGTAGATGTACCAGAACAGAGAGAGGGTTTAAAAAAAAACATTGTTTGCTACAAGTTTCTGGTCTTTGTTCAAAGAAATTTTCAGAATTTCCACTTAAGTTCTGTGCTCCTTTGTGTTGATCTTTCAAAAAAAAGTAACATACTTTGATGAATTTAGTTGAAATGGAAGTGTAAGGGGTTTTAATACTTTTGTTTTGCTTTCTTTTTTATTTTTATTACTTTGGCTGATACTTTTCCTGAAAGGTCCCTCATGCGTTCATGGGAAATGTCTTCCGTTCATTTCAAGTCGCTATTAGGTGGGCGGCGGCCCGTTGGTGTAGTGCAACATGGGGTAAAAGGATCTGGCGAAGTTGTTGGTCACAGTGCAGCTGGAGTCGCTTTCTGACAAGGGAATCAGGCAGGGGAGGAGCAGAAGAAGCAGCAGCAGGAGCTGGAGGGGGAAGATGGCCCGGAAGAGGCGGTAAAAGAACGACCGAGGTGGGGATGAGTCCCTTCTTTGCCTGCAAAACACAAATGGAGTCAAAAAAAAAAGTCTCCATCTTGAATGTGTTGTACTGCGCAGAAACATGCATTCTCTGCATGCACCGTACCTTTGAAGGGAGGATTCTGCTTTGGAATAGTCAGCCTCTTGAGATGTGTCTGCTTCAGCACCATCAGCATCCTGAATCAACAAGCGCTGCTGCAGGATGCTGAGGTCCCGGTCCACTTTCTTAGTGAGCTGCCTCAGTTTGTTACACGTCACATGCAGCTTCTCCTGGGCTTCATCCATCTCCTCTACACCGTCTTTAGGCTGGAGCTGAGACCAGAGAGCCTGGAGGGAGGCCTGGTTAGCCTGTCTGCCTCGCAGCTCCTCCTGCAACTCCTGTAAACAAGAAAAGAAACATATCTTAACACTTAGTGTCTCCTCTGAATCTGCTAAAACCTTTTAATTAACAGCCATGCTCACCCTCAGCGTGTTTTGTTGTTTTTGCAGTGCTTTGACACTTGTTTCTGGGTGCTTTATGTCCACTGCACAGCATCTGCTCTCAGCCCAGGGGAGCCACAGCAGCAGAGAGTGAAGGGTTTCATGAAACTCCTGCACAGAGAGAGAAAAAAAAACAGTTATTCTGAGGTTAAAAATTTCTCACCATTAAAGCCCAACTTTTACTGGAAAGTTGTGCAAAAACAAGGTATCACATGCTTTGTTGTTTATGAGGCCTTTTTGGAATTTGACAGCAGCAATATATTTCACAAAATATTGGCAGGAGCAGAAGATGTCTATAAATGTTGTTTAATGTTACTTCAGCACTTGATCCGGCATCTTATATAGTTTTTGTTTAAAGAGAAATAAAAGAAACTGGCTTTTTAGATTAAAAGAATGAAAATTGGCTCACTCTCACTGAGTGGAAAAATAGTTTGAGAACCATCTTACAGCTGATAGTATATATTCAAAGGATCTGTCAAGTCCCGGGTAAATTCTGTAAACAGCGATTAATCTAAGTCTGTTTTTGTCAGGCGCTGAGAAGAGGCAACCAGATGGGAAATCAATGCAGAGCTTCAGACATAAAAGTAGTCAAAATTAATAAGATATTTTACTTTTAACTTTCCCTCACGTTTAGGGGCCATCAGAATTATAGAAAAAATTCTGAAAAAGTCTGAGAATTACTTTAAGAATCAGCAGAACAAAAATATAATGAATACCAAAGATAATGAGAATGTATCATATTGAATAATAACTATGTATCATAGTTATTATTCGATACATTTTTACCTATTTATTGATATCAAATGTCCGATTCAAATTATAAATTTTTTTTCTCTAACAATTAATAATTATGGACTGATTCATCATTATTTGTTGATAATTTAGTTTAAAGTTTGGCTGAAACGATTAATCGGATTAATCATGATCAGTCGACTTGAAATAATCGTCAACTAATTTAGTAATCGATTAATCGTTAACTGGAATAAAAAGACTCTAAAACATGCCTTTAGATCACAGAGAACCTCACTTAGAGCTGTAATTATATTAAAAATAAAAAATATATATAAACATTTTGCATTTAAGACAAAAAGGTATTTTTCTTCTGTCAATATGCTCTATCTAGTACACCTCACTGGCTTAATTTTGTAAAAAGTCTTCTTTATGTCTAGTTTAAAGCTACACTGGGTCATTTTTAGCGACATCTGATGTAAGACTGCAGCGACATGAATCGCTCCTCCAACACTACGGAGGCTCTCATGGTACAAATGACCTCTGCAAAGTTCGTATAACTTATCTTATCTGGAAGTTTGTTTTCATAGATAATTTTTTTAAAACAATTTTATTTGTCTGTGTAGAGCTGGGCAATTAATTGCATTTGCAATATAATCTAGAAAAAAATCTAGAAAGTGCTATTTTCAAATTGCAGAGGCACTCGATATTTAATCAGAAAAGTCAATTCCTAACTAAATGTCTCCCTCCAGTTTAAGATGGCAGTTATATGATTTTAGTTGGTATGCTGCCAAATAGAAGGGGAGACAGCCACAGCTTGCACCTAGATTAATGCATTCTAGTTGAAGTAAGAACTTGTTTTTGAAAATTTTTAAGTTAAATCCTGCAACACTGGACAAGCTTTCCAGGTAATAAAAAACAGAAACCCTGGAATAAAACATCTAAATGCTTGTGCTTAGTCTAAAGGATTATACCAAAAAAATTGCAATATTAGTTGAAAATAATCCCAATTTGGATTCTTGTCCAAATCATTCAGCCCTTGAGGGATATAGAGTTTGTAGAGATCGCTGTTACTATGTGAGTGCAGCAAGTTACGTAGGCCTGTATAGTCACTAGTTTGTCAGCTCTGTGCTGTCATAGTGCAAAGATGTCTGCCTCTATACTAACGTTACATGCTGCAATGTAATTATAAATAGCAATTTCTAAGGCAGGGCAAACATAGACATTTAGTTGATAGATACTAATGTTTTTTTTTTTTTTTGTCAGTAAATCCCTGTATTTATTACACCGGAGTTTTAAAGATATTGATTTTAATTCAGAAGTGATCAAAAGAACAATAGTTAAATTATTTTCCTTTGCGTTTGAAATAATTATTTTCCAACAAAATTATTGGGAGTTTTATCACAAAGTTTTGCTGCTTAACTAAATTACCTTAGATTTGCAGCAAGATGGTCTAAAGATACCAAATATTTATATATGTTTAACATTTTGACCAGTTCCACCAGCCTTTTAAGATCTTTCATTACACAGCCATAAAGATCTGAAAAGGTGGCAAGGATATTTTATGATGCACCAAAAGAATCAGCTCTATTTGACAGTAATATTGATTCTTGTTACAGATTGATTTCTTTTTTGCGTATCGTCTCACTTGGCAGCGAATCAGCTTCTTTCTCAGGCTGTGGTCCCACTGCTGCAGTCCTGTACAGGCTCTGCTCCAGTCTGCGTTCACCCTGGTCAGTCTGTCCTGTAGCTCTGGTGCCTCTTTGGCCTGCAGGTTGACAGACAGCATGATGGTCTTGTAGTGGCAAAACACCTTTTCCATTTCCTGAAATGAAAAAAACAATTTAAACTGTAGTGATGTAGAGAAAACTAAATCTGCTATTCTTAGATCTGATCATTACCTTCAGCTCTTTGGCTCTGACTTCGATGTCCTCTATGCCACCTTCTGGTTCTGACTGCCGCAGGCGGTCCAGCTCAGGGATAACGTTTTCTAACCAGGAAGTAATTCTGTCCAAGTCAACAGTAATCTGCTGAGGATCCTGAGTGTCTGACTGCTGACTGCACCTGGACTGGGCCCGGAGCAGCTCCCAGCGTTCAATCACACCTGGAAACAAACATCTGCTGGGTCACCATTACAGCCTCACATTAAACTGAACTGCAACACCTTCAGCACACATTGATAATCCTATTAAAGATCTTCCTGGACCCTTGAAATAAGTGGATGTTTTACTGCAGAAATTAATTACAAAGATCATAAAAAAAACAATCCCTTATTAAAAAATACACCTGCTTTAAAAAAACTTATTTGCCTGACTTCTCCTCATATTATGTGCTACTCCCTTTTTCTATAACACTGGTTCTCATCCTTTTTTGTCGCGACCCCCAATTTAACATGCACTATGTCCATGACCCCCATCCTGATCAATATACTTCTAGGTCACATCTACAAAACAAGATAAGCACTTGAACACATGAACTGAGCTATTTGACCCTTTATCATCTTATTTTGAAACACACAGGGATTCTTTGGAAAACATAAGGCAGCATCAAGAGTTTAACTTTCCGAACAGACCAACAATGGTCGCTACATCCCATCATTTTACATAATGCAAATCTTTTTTTTTCTTTTTAATGAAATTAAAAAATAACAGTGTGTGCTAAACATTAATAAAACACACTAGAAAACAGCCCATGTTTCATGAAGGCATCTGAGAGCTGAGTTTCTGAGAACTTCCTGGTTAAAAGCAGATACGTTTTTCTGCTCCAATTCAACGTGACGGCTGAGCCTGCTTGTTTGAACAGAGCAGCTTCTTGATTTTATTTAGAAAAGGTGGAAATCATTCGGCTCTATCTGAATTTGTTTTTCATGTATTTCAGTGCAGAAAAGGTCTTTTGGCAATCATATGTGGATGCTAATGGAAACAACACGTCAGTTGCAGCTTTTGACTGCATACTCTGTTGCTATTGACAACCAGAACTCTCCCAGTATGTCACTGGAGTTATGTCTTAACTCTCCATAAAGACCTCAAACTCGGGGAACATTTTAACATTTCCCCCGTCCACTCGCACAGCCCACCGCTGCAGCCTTCTCTTTAATGCTGAGACCTTACTAGACAGATTCGTTACCGTTGTTCTGATGAAGCCTATTTATGGCCGACAGTAACTGGTTTTTAGTAAACAAAAATGAGACAACCCCCCATCATCCTCCTAATGTCCGATCAGCAGCTAGATTCATTTAGCACATTTATGTGTTTTTCAAAATGATTAGGCGACCCCCAGAAATCATTCGCAACCCCAATTGGGGTCAGATCCCTATGGTTGAGAATAGCTGCTCTATAGGACTAAGATGCTCACTCATTAAGGTTTATTAATGTAAAGTGAATCAGTTTGTGCTTATATGTTCATGTTTTGCATCCTTACTCAAAAATAATCCCCTCCAGTTATTAATTTTCAGTGTTGTAGCAAACTGTTATATTCAAAATGTCATCAGATTTTAAAGATAAATTTTTTCAACAAAAACAGGCAAACAGCATCACAGATTCTTATAAAAGTTTGTTTCTAAAATATATTTACCTTCACTATGGCCTGACCAAAGCTTTTTACATGTCAGTCACATTTTTGTTGCCATTCTCTGTCTGTATCTGTGCTGAAGTTGGTCAAGTACCTATTTTCCTTCCCTGTTCTTTGCTGACAAACAGCTGCTTACTCCTGTCCATTTTAAATATTGGCTAGGAGGAATCGTCATGTTTTATGCATCTTTAACATCTTGTGCCAGTACCTGTTTAGGGTATTAATGCACCAAATGTTTTCTAACACCACTAAAAACATTAAATAAGATGACGATCTATAAATAAGTATTAAATTAAGCGTATTTGCCCCTAATTTGAGCAGGTAAATAAGATGATTTTGCAATTGAATGAGGATATTTACTCTTAAAATAAGATAATTAGATATTATGCACTGGAAATAAGATGATGCCGTTGTTGTTTCTTGTTTTAAATGTAAATTGTCTTGTTCTATTGGTAAAGCGTCTCACTTAGCTCATCAATTCATGAAACAATTCCCCATATTTTAAGAACAAATTACTTATTTAGATTTTAATTTTTTGCAGTCAGGTTTTTTTTCCTAGCTGCTTGTTTTTAGTCCTTCCCTTTTAGTGCAAACTCTCCTTCTGCAGAGGAATCTCACCTGATTGGTTGTCTGAAGCGTTCAGTCCAGTCAAACCAAACTCATCTGGCTGCTCCTCATCATCATCCAGGATGAGAGAGACTCTCTTTATGTTCTCGATGCTGCCGCTGCACTGGGACATGAGCTGCAGCTGTAAAAAAACACCAAGCAGATCTTCAGAGCTGACATCTAGCTTAGCAGTGAGCTCTTCCAGACTGTATTACAGCTTATTTTTTAAAACGTACATAACCATCCTTCAGAGGAGTGCTTGTTAGAGCAGGACTGGGCTCAGCCTGTCCCTCTGCTTCCAGATGAGCTGCTGTGGTTTCCGGTGTTCTCCATGAATGATCAAGAACAGATCTGCTTGAAACTGCAAAACAAAATTTCTTGAGGGTTAAATCCTCTGCTGAATACTTATTCCTTGTATTCATAGCATTCCAATGAAGAATGGTGCTAATATTGTCATAAAACTTATTTCAAATGAAATAAATATTTAGAAGGATTTTTTGTAAAAAAAAATGTATGTTCCACTAAATAAATGTTTAAAAAGTAAAAACAAAAGCTGTTTTGTTTTGAATTGTTGGTTTGGTTTTTGCTATATTTATTTCAGCTTGACTGAAATAAAAAAAATGGCTCCTTGGGCTGTTAAGATTGCTGACCTCTGCTCTAGACCATTGGTTTGAAATCCTGACTCAGATCTATTTCATTATTAACTTATATGCATCAAAAAATTAATCATAAATCTATTTTAGGTATAACCCTTCAATATTTGAACATTTTATCATTTTGTAAAATATAAATAGTGAAAACAATCCTCCAACCAGAAGTTTTAAATACACTTCTGTAAGCTACATTTCCTGGTAGATTTCACTGCGACCTAAGAAAAGAGGTGTTGGTGGATTTATTACACAGATGAGGAAGATGAGTAAAGAGTCTAGCCTGTGTGGAGCATCTTAAAGTGTTTGACACTTCGTTGCATCTGGCCTTCAGTCAGCTTAACTTCCAGGAAGAAATGCAGCTAAAACGTAATCAAAATTTCTAAAATATTTTAATCAAAACAGAATCAGTGTTTTTCTGGTAGCCACAGAACATTAAGGCTAAAGAGGGGAATCAGTGGGATGTTATGTTAAATAACTAATAGGTAATATGTCTCTAAAAGGAAAATAATATTTTCTAATTATCAAGTATAATGAATTGTGGCTTTACTTTTTAACATCCTTCTTGAGAAAACGCTTTCTGCTCTTGGCCAAAGCAGCAACAACTTCAAATGTTCAGTGAATGTTTTCTTTAGCAAAATAGAAAAGCCTAAATCTTTTCTAATGTAAAACTTTTTATTTTTGAAAATACCTGATAGTGCACTGAAGTAAGCCCCCCCATCTTTGTGTTCTTCATCTTCCTCGTCATCCTCATGGGATGATGACCCTCCCACGTCTCCGGTGTGGTCCCACTCCAGAGGCAGGGAGTCAACGCTCACCGGGGTCTCCCGCCCTGAACGCTCCAGAGGAGAGCTGAGCAGGTGGGTGGGCGTGGCCGGCAGACTTAATTGCCTTCCAAGCCACGGTCGACCAATCAGCTCCAGGCTTGATTCCAGTGAAAAGGTGAGATCAGTGACGTCTGGTTCCTCTCTGATCCTCTGGTTTAAAAATGAACGGAAACACCATGAGATTAAACCTTTTGCTGGTTCAGTGTTATAATAGCATCTGAGACTCGTGATTTTCATGTATCTGATTTGATATTCTCTCTTTTTATGTCTTTAAAATTGATCTTTATGACTATTAATATTACGCTGGGAATTACTTACGATTAAGATATTGCGAAGACATTAATCTTTTTGCATTTTCATTGAATCTCAATAAAATGTTAAAAAGACACAAGACTATGATCTTTGCTAGATAGATAATCTTTCATTAAACCTGGTGCGACTATTTCCTTTCTCTCTTTCCTCTTATAACATGACTTCATGCTTTATCTCTGCAAGCTCAAAATCAAGTCTTAATAACCTGAAACAGCATCACCTGATTTTGCCATCTGCTCATTTTTAGATCCTTTCTATTGTAGCAAAGCTGCTGACCATTTCCCTTTGTGGTCACATTCTGATACAGATCTCTAAACCCTGTAATAAATAACTTTAAGGGACATTGTCAAATAATTTCTCTTATTTACTGCTTGAAATTGATGACTGCATTTATATATGTGTTATTATGGTGCATTATTACCTAAAATAATAATCACATTTTGATAAGAAAACAATTTTGCTTTAGATTATACATAAGGCTGCTAACCTTTTTGCGAAGCGCCATGATAGTCTGTCATCTTAAAGGTACAGATGAGTAAAATAATACTAACGCAGAATAATGATGCTGGCAGCTTAGGCCAGCGGTGATCAGTTGGAGATGCTAACCTAACAACAGAAAGTCTGCAGCATAATACAGGAGCACAAGAAACGATTTCAACATCCCCAACAAATTGAAAAAGGGAACTTAAAGCACAACAAAACTGAAGACATAAAGAAAAAAAATTGAAGCTAAACATCGGGGAAATTCTTCTGAACCTAGAAGGAGCTAATTTATTGTCATTACACGGTCACGAGTACAGAGCAATGAAATGAACTCTCTGCATTTAACCAATCGCTTTGGGGAGCAGTGGGCTGCCATGGTGCAGAACCCGGGAGGTGAAAGATTTTAAAAGGGACGCCCAAGTTACCATGTTTCTTCTTGACAAGTAAATTAACTGTACTGCCTAAATTAAGGCTAACTATCCATTCTGTGAAATTACACAGCTTTGCTTGTTACAATAGAAAGCATAAAAGTGGATTAAGTACACATATACCAATGTTGTTGGTAGAGAATTGCATTTTTATGTGGGTTTATTAGCTTTCAGAGGCACGGTGAACGTCGGCTTTTTCTGCCAGTAAGCGCTGGCTTGTTGAAATTTCACTCCACTTCGGATGACATGGTTACGTCTACATTGTTGAGGTTTTTTGACACACGGCAGCTACCGTTGCTGAAACATACAGTATGTTTAAAGGCACACTATGCAACATTTTTCAGTTAATTAATGTGTTCCATAACGTTTTGGATGATTAAATGAGTCATTTCAGGTTGAACAAAGGTATTCTCGGCCGCCCTGGTGGTCTGTGGGGGAAATACCGCACTTGCAAGTGCAGGAGCACCGACCCGCACCCACAGGCTCAGAAGTCTCGTGAGAGTCAGTCTTGCTTTACGGTGAGAACTGCTACACGCCCCCAGTTAAAAGCATTCTCGTTGCTAGCACAGTGGCGATCTTTGTGCAGTTATGCTACGTTCACGCAGCAAAAGCAGCAAAATCGCGTCTGCTGCTTCATTTTTGCTGCTTGTACCAGTTAGTTCTAGGGCTGGGCGATAATTCAATAACGATATATATCGATCGATGGACGTGTGGCGCAGTAGAAAAAAATAGGCTTGATAAAAGTTCGATAAAAAAACGCAGTTTTCCTTCCTTCGGTTAAAGCAGGAAACGAAGAATGGGGGCAGCGGGGGGGGGGTCCATTTATTTGTTATATTTATTTTGGTCACCCTAGTTTATTCTTTGTCAGTATTTAATATCATAACTCAGGTCTCTTAAGTTATTTTTCTTTAAAACAATTCTGTTATGGTTAAAAAAGTTGATTAAATAAATATTTAATTGGAAGTCTGTGTTTGTGTTCTTTATTAAAATTAAATCATTTAGCAATATCATAAAATGTCCAGGCAGAGCTGCACATAAAATATGGTTTCAAATCTTTTCAATAATTATCGATATCGATCAATATGCATTTTTTTTATCGATAAGCTTTTTTTCTATATCGCCCAGCCCTAGTTAGTTCTGACGCGCGGCTCTGCTCTGGCTGCGGGGTGCAAAAGTGTGTCTGACGCGCGTTGGGCGGAGCTTCACTATCCTTTCTCTGCCTTGCAGCTATATTTGCTGTGATCAGTGGGAATAAAGTAGTTTTATTATGTGTTTAAGTGAGAAAATACACCTGAAAACGTAATCAGTGCCGTCAGTTCATTCAGATTATTATCCTGCCTTCAATATTTTTTCTGTCGGAGCCGCTCAGACCCCCACATACCAGCGGTGCGCCGACAGTAGGAATCCCTTCATCAGCAGCCTCTGGCCGGGTCGCCTCCTCGCGGTTCACCGCGGTAGCTGGTAGGTGTTTTTCATCTAAATAATCCAAACTGCATATTCTGCCGGCATATTTCTGCATTTTAAGTTAATTTAGGCGTCAATAAACTGTTTAAGAGGAGAGATCATAGCCTCTGATCATCAGCGCTGTGTCTCTCTCCCTGCGTCAGATGATTAAACGCGCCCGACGCGCTGCTTCAGCTGCTCAGACGCGCTGCGCCTGCTGCTCAAAACGCGCCGCGGGACCTTTTGCTGCGCCTTGACGCGCGTCAACCATTGACTTTGCATGTAAACTCGCTGCTTCTGTCGCGCCAGCTGCGGTGTGAACGCAGCATTAGTCATTCGTTGCGTTCGCCTGTCTGCTAAGCTCAAAACAACCGCGCCTGGCTTGACGGAGAAACCAGGAGAACAGCTGAGTATATTTACAACAGTGCACTTTTACTTTCGCCCTCTGGGGGGAGCCTCGCTGGAAAATCAACACCGGTTGCATAGTGTACCTTTAAGCCATTCTTGGGTTCAGTGTTTGCTTCGAGTGAAATACCATGATTTCACCACTAGATGGCAGTGATTCAAAACAATATCCCTTTAAGTATCTAAAATCAACTTTTTGTTATAGATCTTCTGCAGCACTGCTTTCTAACATAGAAATAAACTCTTTCAGGACATTTAAGAAATAAAGTCTGTGCCAAATAAATATTTTCCCACATTTATAGTCTCACCACTAACGTCAATTTGTGTAATTTATATTATGTGGCTTACGGACTGTTTATATAGCATGATGTAACACTTCTGAAATTCAGCCAGAGATAAAACATATTATTTTGTTTTAAATAAAAAAGTAGCTCAAGAACATGAGATGTTTTTTTCAGGATGTTATGGAAACTAAATAATTGATGTTCCATGATATAGGAAGACAAACGTGCATGTGTGGTCCAGCTCACCGGGGGCTGACTCAGACGTTGGTGGAAGCGGACCAGCCTGCTGAAAACCTCCTGGCAGTAAGAGTGAAGCTCCTCGAGCTCATCCTCTATCAGAGCCGCATCCTGCGGTGAACTTTTCTGGATCAGAGCCTCACCAAACACTATCAACCCGTCAATACGCTCAGTGTTCAGGGTGATCTCCTTTTGGAAACTCTGCCGTAAGATGGATGGTCAAACAGAGACCAAGTCAGGAAAACTAAATGAGTAACACATGTCTGTTTTGGAATTTATAAGTGTCCTAGTAATGAGCCATAAAAGAAAACTCTTTCAACCTATATACACAGCTTGAAGATGAAGCCAGTGGCTTAAAAGTCTGGTACATTTTCCTTCAAGAGCAATAAAGCTGACATTTGTGATTTGTTTCTAGAAGAGAGAACATTCCTGATGTTGATGTGTGCCTCACATTGAGCTGTTGTATCTTCTGATGGACGTCGCTCTCTGAAAAATGTTCCACGTTGGTAAGCTGCAAGTCCAGTTCAGTCAGCCAAACAAGCATACTCTCCCTGGTACCTTCAAATTCCTCCCTTTGGCTGGTAAAAAACTTCAGGAGAAAAAATTCAGGAGAGAATGACCTTAATTTTAGACTATTGGATTGATATAAATAGATACTTACTAGCTTATCAGTTCAAGTAGGGTAACAATATGATTTTACAAACATTTTACTCTAAGATTCATTATGAAATTACTTTTCCCCCTATAATAATAACAATGTTCTATTCTTTAGAGACACATAAACATAAGTTACACCGTGATACCTTTAGCCTGCGTAGGATGGCAGCCACCCGGCGGTGCAGGCTGTCCCAGCGCTGGTTGCCCTCTCTGACCATGGCTTTCAGCTGGCTGGCTCTGTCAGTGCGGTTCTCCCGGGCCAGGCGGCGATACTGGTTGTTGATGAGTTCCAGCTGAGTCAGCCGCTCATTAACCTGCCTTTGGAAAACCTGAAGTAAAGAAAAACAGTAAATGGCCTTCAGAGTATTCATTTTTAAATGATATTGAGCCCATAGCAGTTGGGATTGTCTCTTACTGTGCTAAACTGGTTCAGATCTTATTTGACTGATGGTAGTTACATTAGGGGCTTTTTAAGGATTGTTACCCCTAGCCTAACATATGAAGTAATAAACCAATTCCATATTTATGGAGGTAAAACACAGGATTACATTCTGTGTCACTATTTGACCGTAGTCCCTGACAGTCACTGAATCAATGTCCAAAGTATCCAAGAGTGGATGGGTCAAAATAAGCATTGTTCCTAAAATGTAGTCTTAGAATAAGGACTAAATAAGGGTAAAGACCGTAAAAAAAATGTGTAATTTTTTTTATTGGCACTTGACTATACAGAAAACAATCGAATTTGATAAGAATTTAAAACTTCCTATCAAAACAGGGCAGATAAAATCTAATTATGCATTTATTTACTTGTCAATAGGTAACTAGTTAAATAACTTATATGTTAAATGAATCCAGCTGCAGGCAAATCTCTAACAACAGGTTAATGGATCATATCTATGTTTAAAAAAGGAAGATAACTCAGCAGCATCTTATTGGTGGTCCCTAAAGCACTGATAAACATCGGATCACAGTCAGCATCGAGTTTGCAGGTTTGAGTTACATGATCTAGAATTGAGTTTTGAGATAAAACAAAAAAACCTTAAAAATCGATTTGATGATTTAAGGGACTTTGGTTTTTACTTCAACCTAAACTTGAATATTATGGATCTCTTTCATGAAAGTAAGTTACAAAATAAAAGAACTGAGGATACAATGATGGAACTGGGACTCATACTTCTTCGGAACAAGGAAATACATTTGAGTTAAATAAACAAGGCCTGAAAAACTGAAAATGTAGAGAGGCGACATCATCAGATCTACTTCTAATATTTAAACTAACCCAGAAATTAAGAATCAAAGCTGATAAATGAAACTATCTTATGCTTATTTTTAACTATTTGTTTGCACTGTTTAAAGCATGGAGTCTGAACAGTCACACGGTTTTCACAGAAATAGCATCAACATAACATCTTTATAAAATAAACTTGAACTTATAAATACACTTTATAAAGAGATGGTTTGAATGTTGGCATCTGGAAGACCAGTTATTATTTACTTTGTTATGGTTAGATGGTCTTTTACTGGTTGTTCTAACAAACAAACAAAAAAATAAAATATTTATAAACCCTATTAGATTATCTATTGGGTTAAATTATTTAAAACTTTTAATTAAAATGTAGAACTTTGGACAATGAGGGTTCACAGTAAAAACAACTAACCTCAAACTTCTTGAGCTCCTCCTTGGCTACAGAATAGAGAACGTCTGCAGAGTTTGGACTGGCAGCCATTCTCTCGGCTATCTTGAGCCAATCCTCGAAGTGGGAGTAGTCGTTAAGGAACTTGCACCAGAGCGTCCAAGTTTCCTCGATCCTGCAGGAAAACATCATGTAGCTGTTATATTGTTTATTGCTACTGAAATCTTTTATGCTTATGACTTACATACAGTAGAAGGAAAAATTTATTGAACTGAAGAACATGAAAAGCTTTATTTAATTAAATGGGTAACCCTCTTTTTATTGCGCCTATTTTCCTTATGATGAGATTATACTGTATATTCTTCCTGTACAAACTTTTTATGAGCAAATTAAACAGCTTGGTAATTCATTCCTTCACATGCTGATGGTGGAAAACGACATTGTAGCCACAGATGCCCTGAGGCGCCAAAGACATGGCAGAGGCTTGACCTGGCAACCCACCTGTTACAGAACAAACCCATACCTCCTAAACCACCATTGACCAATCTTGCTAAAAACATTTTAATATGAACAGAAATGTAGGACATTTTTCCCCCAATGTAAAGCTATTTAGTTAAAAAACAAACAAAAAAATGTTTGTTTATCATAGTGTTTCTGATTCCTCTGTCTGCCTCTCAACGACTGAGCCTGCCTCTTTCTGTTCTAAACTGTTTGCCTCTCCTTGCTTCGGACTCCTGGACCTCTGAGGCTGCCTCTTCCTGTTCTGATGTGTGTGCCTGACCTGTCTTGGGATTTCTGCTTGTTCTCCAGGGCTGCAGCATCTAGGACACCCTGGGTTCCCGCCGCATCTCGTTGGAAGCCCATCAGCTGGATCTACCTCGTTCTCTGGGCATGGACTGAACTTTTAAACCAGAGTTTCCTGCCTCAGACACCCTAGCTGCTGCTACTGCAGATCAGCAGCCTGTTAAATGCTTTTCGAGTAATCTCACTGTCTCTCTTTCTTTGAATACTGGGTCCTTCTGTTCTGAGCCATGACAAAGAAGCCAGATGTAAAACTCATTCTCCTTTATCAAGTTTATTAATAGAAAACTTCATTAGACTGGTAAGTTAACACTTCGCTCCTAGTATACAGTCGCACATCTTTGTTATTATTTTCTATGTTTAGTAGAAGCAAAATACGGGCAATTACAGGTCTATCGCCCCTAGTGGCCAAAAGTTATACGACGTGCGTTTCTTCATACTGCGGCTACCTGAGCCTTCTTTCCAGCGCCAGAGCACAGATGGTCCTCCATTGTTGATCTAGGCTGCGGCTAGTTTCCTGCAGGGAGTCGCTCTCCGCCTCGAAGCCGCCTGCAGCATCATCATCATGCAGCAAGGTGTCACACAGACTGAGGACTGATGCTACACCTTCCGTGTGCTGCTCAATGTCCCGCTGCAGATCCTGCATATACACAAAGGGAGGTATTACCAGTCATTAGGCCTCATGGATTAAATATGGAGAGCAAGACACTAACAAGGGACAGTAACAGCAATAAACACAGGACAAAAGAGATATGAATGACAAACAGAAAAAGGGAGAAGAGAGTGGAAGAATAGTGAAAAAAATATTAAAAGTTACATTTAATGCTAAATACTTGGAAATATATTAAGGAGGAAATAAAACTAAATTTAGGAAGTGAAACAAAGTCCAAAAAGTTAAATCTAGTTTCGACCGACACAACAGCAAGTTTAATTTGAATGTCTACCTGCTGTTCAGCGAGTCTCTTCTGGATCTCCTTCTCATGGCAGACGCTGTAGGTGATTGGTCTGGACAGCTCGGCCTCGATGCGTGAAAGCCATGAGCGCAGGTTGCTCATGTTCTTATCCAGCTGCTGCAACTTCGCCAGAGTCTCCTTTAGCTTCTTCACCCTGAAAAAGACAAAAAAATATATATGTTCACTGTTTCAGTAACTTTATTCTTCTCAATCTAGTTTCAACAATCCTTGTTATTATTACAAACAATGTCCCAAATAATTGACACATTTAAAACCCAATTGTTATGCCAGTTGACCTTTACTGAAATCTACCACCTGATTGGACCCAAATTTGCATGTACTCATTCCTCCCAGTTAATGATACATAATGCAAAGCACAATCAACAAGTAGTTTATCAGAGAAAGAGAGGAAGCTGGTTAGAGAGTGTTTAATTATTTTCTGGTTGATATTTCTGGAAGAAAAAAAATATATGCAGAAATATTTCAAGAAAGTAGGATGATCAACAAAGGAAATGAAAACTAAACTAAAAGATAAGGATGAAAAGACATGTGTTGAAAGAAAGAAAGAAAGAAAGAAAGAAAGAAAGAAAGAAAGAAAGAAAGAAAGAAAGAATGAAAGAAAGAAAGAAAGAAGCTACTCAGGTATATTTCATTAATTAGACACACACACACACAGGCCCACATTAACTGTTGTCATAGAAACACACAGGTCAATAAAAGCTCTTCCCTTAAAAGCTTTGAGTGTGCACAGTTTAGGTTTTTGAGTTAATTTTCCCATTTGGTCGTTCATCTCCGGTGGACGTCCGGCTGAGCCTTTCGGAGAAAAACACTTTCTTTATACCATCACAGCTCTTACTTCACGTCTGACAAGTACAAATTAGAGGGTCCTAAAATTTGCTGCATCTGCAGTGTGTCGCTTGAGATGTATTTGAGATGCAAATCTTAAACGGTAGTTCACTTTTTAGAGATGGAGAGTTAAAGTGTAATTTTTGGAGGGGTACCAGCAATCAAAGAGGTCACTGCACATCTACTCTAAAATATACAAATGCTTAAATGGTCTAAAGTTTTGGTCATTTTGACAACATATGATTTGTCTATAAGTATCTGGGTCATAAACTGAAGTTTTAAGTTTGAAGTAATGACAAACTTAAAAATTTAAAGTGTTATAGGAAAGATAATCTGACATGATTTCTTTTTTGTGAATAATTTGAATTAGAAATATTGAATATCAAAGCTAATGTTTATTTAAGATTTATTCTATAGAAGTAGAAGTTTGAATTAAGAGATATTATTTATCGGGAGGTCTGGGCATCTCTGCTTAGACTTCTGCTTCTGCGACCCCGCCCCGGATAAAGCGGAAGAAAACGGATGGATGGATGGATGGATGGATGGATGGATGGATGGATGGACTCAAATACAAAAACCATATCTTTAAAATAAGAATGGAAAGAATGGCAGGAGAAAAAAATTGGAAAAATGTGAGAAACAGTTGGAAATACGTAGAAAATGTGAAAGAAAAAAAAACATTTAGCAGCCACATCCCAGTTGCTTCTTATAAATTCCCAGTATAAAACCTCAAGCTGATGAATACTGCTAAATAACTAAAAAGAGCAGTTACAGTGAATACATTTTAGCCCTTAAAGGAATAGTACACCCAAAACATGATTAGCCTTCATTTTCTACTCACCCCCATGCTGAACAACACTCTGGAGTACTTTTTTGATATCTCAAATGCATCTGGAGATCTGGGAGGCTTCTTGCTGTCTGCTGACATTCAAATAATGGAGGTCTATGGTGACCGACACAGAAAGGTCCATAAAAGTCCACAAAAAACGTGTCAATATTCCTCCATACTGCTCGTCCAATGTATTCCAAGTGTCCTGAGTGGGTAGCGTCCATAATTTACTCGAAACGGAGTCATTTAGAATGTTAGAATGTTTTTTTAGGATTTCCTGAAAGCGCGCACATGCGCGTTCACGACGCTACGGAAGCCGGCAGACCAAACCAGCGCATTCAGCTCGGCAAAGAACTCATGCTCTTCCTCAACACTGAAGTCCTCAGACATTTTTCTTTCGTTGTTTCTTTCTTTGCACAGGTAAACAGCACATTTCTTCTTCTACGCTTGCATTATCGGCAGACCAGACGCTGAATGCGCACTTTCATCTGGTTTGGTCTGCCGGCTTCCGTAGCGTCGTGAAAGCGCATGTGCGCGCTTTCAGGATATCCTATACACTACTGTTTATGCTCTAAAAACATTCTAAATGACTTCGTTTCGAGTAAATTCTGGATGCTACCCATTCAGGACACTTGGAATACATTGGACGAGCAGTATGGAGGAAGATTGACACATTTTTTGTGGACTTTTATGGACCTTTCTGTTTCGGGCACCATAGACCTCCATTATTTGAATGTCAGCAGACAGCAAGAAGCCTCCCAGATCTCCAGATGCATTTGAGATATCAAAAAAGTACTCCAGAGTGTTGTTCAGCATGGGGGTGAGTAGAAAATGAAGGCTAATCATGTTTTGGGTGTACTATTCCTTTAAAGCAAAAACATTTAAGGATTTTTTTTCAGAATTTCTAATAATTAATAGTTATATAAAAGTTTTTAACAGCACTTTTTTCTTCTTTAAATATTTCAAATAAAAATGCTTCAACCTGAATTTTTGAGCACACTTTGTAATATTGCTTAATAAAATTACAATTGTTTTATGATGAGCTTAAAAATTAAAATGCAGTACTGGATGATATTCATTTGTTTAGAACTAAAAATATTTGGCAGGCAAGAGTAGATAATGATCGTAATGTATTTAGCAGAAAATACAGGGTAAGTTATTCGAGGTATAGACTCTCTTCCACTGTTGCAGATGCAGCCATCAAATTCAACTAACAAGCCTCTTTCTCTCTTTGCTTCCCTCTCCACCTCTGACAGCCCAACAAAGGCCAGCCGCTTTATGTGGAGGCCAGACAAAGACACAAAACCCGGGCAGGGGCGCTCGCTCAGGAAGAGGACATGAACAGAATAGATGGAGAAAATGAAGCAGAAAAGAGCCCAGGATGAGGATATATGGTTTGAGAGCCGAGATAACAAAGTACAGCTGACCACAGGAGGGCCCAAAGTTACAAAGAGATAAAACTCAGACTGACATTTATTCCTCTCGCTGTATTTATGGAGAACTTTAGTAAAAATCTGTTTTGTTCGATTTATGTTGCTAGCGCCAAAATTAACTACGGCCAGCATAATTAAAAAGAGTCATGGAAACCAATTTCTTCTCCCTCAAGTAGGATTGTTTGCCAACTTTAGTTGCTAATTTACCATACAGTCGTTGAGTATTTCAAAGTTATTGCCTTCATAAAACAGGTTTCTGTGACCGTAAGGGTTTTATTTTCATTATTAGGACATACAGCGCAATAAAAACATATTAACCTTTTTAACAGTTCCTTCTCGCTCTCTTAACAAACTTCAGTATTTTCTAAATCTAAATACTGTACCTCAATAAATAATGAGTTACTTATTTGATTAGGATACAAACAAGAAATATATATCAATTATGAAAAATTAAAAACTTAGATATCTAAGGACATCCAGGACCTTATGAATTAACAGTTTTTTACCCTATTTTGTTGGTTTGATCTCAAAAATGAGTTTTATTTCACCAGACACATTTAACAACTGTTGGAAATAAAGACAAAGTCTCAATAAACCTGATGAAAAGCAAAAAAGCAAAAAGTCCACCTAGGAACATAGATGTATTAAGTCTACATATGTTACATCTGCCATACAACTACGCAGTAATAAAAAATAATAATAATGTTATTCATTAGAAAATCTAAAGTTCAATGCCTGACAATCAGAAAGAGAACTTTAAGTCCAGCCTATTTGGATAAATCACCAAACGCCATTTACCCAACGCTACGCCATAGAAAGCGGTGCAGGTTATTCTGGTCATCTCTAGAGACCGAAACATTTTACAGCACCTACATGGGGTGAGGAGAAATGACAAGCTGTTTGCTGAAATAGACTTTTGAATATGAAGCACAGAACACTTAACTGAGGATTGGAGGTGGAGCTTCAAGCAACACCTACAGCCGTCAGTGAACATAACAGGTTTCATGCTGAGTTTACTGGAAACTTAACAGTAAAGACTAGGGCTGGGTAAAAAAAAAATCGATTTAATCGAGTTTAAATCGATTCCTTTACAGTTTTGCAAAATCGATGTCTAGGGAATGAGATCGATCAGTACATGACGTTCACATTCAAATTAGCTGGAAAGATGCACTCAAGATGACTTCAAGCCAGACAGCTGCAAATATAGCCAATAGGTTGACTGAAGACATTAACAAATGGGGGCTGACCAGCAAACACCCTGTAGTTGTTAAAGACAACGCTGCAAATATGGTAGATAATGCAGCTCATGCATGTCTGATTGAGTGAGGCTTCACTTTTTCACTTTCACAAGTTTGCACTTATGAGACAGTTTTGTTCACATCTCAAGTTTAAACTATCTGATTTACAAGTTTGCACTTTGTGTTTAATATGACAGGAAAAAATAAAATAAATCAGTATTTTGAAACACAGTTGAACCACTTTCATTATTGCAAAAACATCGAATCGAAATTAAATGATTTAGAACTTTATTAATCAAAATCGAATCGATTCAGGACTTTGGCAAAAAATACCCAGCCCTAGTAAAGACGCAATAGGGTCTGTTTAGATTGGAAATGCTTCAAATCAAAATATAAAACACTTCTACATGGAAAAAAAGAAAATTAAGAAGAGGACTAAATAAACATAACAGTCATTTCCTACTTTGCGTGCCCCGGCTGATGGGCTAGAGAAAAGTGGGGCCTGTTAGAGAGGACCTGGGGACATATGTTACTGTCTGAGCCTTCCGTCAGACCAAGCTGCCCCCTCCTTCTGGTGGAGGGGGAGATATTGGGTGTGTAGGGTCGTAGGGGTGAGGTCTGCATCTCCTGCTCTTCCACAGGATTTCCCATCTGTTTGAGGGGGCTAGCAACAGTTTGACAACACAGGGGCTTAACCTCTGCAGTCTGTACATGAGAGGCCGTGTATTCCTAACAGCTGCTAGGCACAGCTTACAACAGCAGGTGGATGGATACCATTAGACGCTTTTGTTTACTTCCAAGAATCTGGTTAAAGCTTTCTAGTCCTTAATTATGCCTTTTGCTGTTGAGTGGCTTCGCCCTGAAAGGTGCTCTTTCAGTCAGCATAATGATGTAAATTTAGGGAGCAGCGCTTAAGAGTCTTGTTCATGTAGTTATATAAGAACGATTTAACTTGCAATTTAGACAACATCTTACTATTTATCTTTGCAAAGTGCTCTTAGAATGGCATAAAAACTGTTTTGTGAAGTGCTTAGTTGATATAAACACACCCGATATCCTGTAATGCAGGATGTTGCGACAGCAATTGTTGCTCTCACCTGGCTTCAATTTGCGGAAAGAGGTTTTGCCATCGCTGATTGACTTCTTGTAGCGACCCACAGACCTGGGTCTGCTTGGCCTCGTCGCTGGCTAACAGCAGCTGTTCTCCCAACTGCTTCAGGTGGCTCTTGTTCTCACTGAACAAGTTAATTTCCTCCATACAATCCTGCCAACAGATGACAAACACTTAGCTACATAAAGGTCACGTTGTTAGGTTTACAATAAGTACACTTACAGTAACAACACAAACATACTGTATTTTCCTGATTGAAACTTTAAATCATAGAGACGCTTTAGGTAGTTAGCAACCTGGAACCATTTTAAATATTGTTACATAGAAATGTCAACATTAAACCAAAAAGGGCTGAAACAATTAACTCGAACAATTGATAATTGAAATAATTGTCAACTAATTTAGTTATTAATTAATCGTAACTGGAGTGTAGAGACTACAATATGTTTTTAGCTGACAAAGCAACCCACTTAGAGCAGGAATTCTACTAAAATTGGAGAAAAAAAATATATTAACATTTTGGATTTAAGATAAAATAACGTTTTCATCTGTCAATATGCTCTATCCAGAACTCCTCAAGTGGAACAGTTTTAGTTTCACCTGGTTTTATTTAAAAAAAAAATCTCCGTTAAGGAACCTTTGGCTTTCTGATTAACAATAGGTTAATTGAAAAAATGCTCGACAGATTAATTGATTTGCAAAATGTTCGTTAGTTGCAGCCCTAAAACCAGTTATAGATTGGAAGGAAAGGAATACGAGATTATTAAGGGTAAAAATCTGAGAATGGTGTTCTGTTTTTGCTTTAGCCTCCAAGTCAATACTTGACAACCAAATTGACTTTGCATCCCCTCCTTTTTTATTGCATTTACTACTGTGGGTTTTTTGGTTTATTTCTCTATGCATTAAGAAAATAAAAATGTTGCTTCTATTGCTTTAATGTTTTAGGTCTTGCCTGAAACTCTTATTTGGATTTAGTTAGGACTTAAACTTGGCTACAGTAATCCCACCTCATTTAAACAGGTGCAAAACACCATTATTAACCTGCTGATCAAATGAGCTGCTGGATGATTGGAGCAAAGTAGACAAAAGCATTTCATTCACTAAAAAGGAAAACTACGTTTAATTAAAGTATAAAACAAAATGATTAAGTGTTATTAAGCATTTGTTCAAGTATGTTATATGTTAGTTAGCTTAGGTTCTCTCAGGTTAAAATTCTCAATTTATTTAATGTTATTGAAAAAAGTGAAATTATATATCACATTTAGGGCTCATCCTACTTTAATGGGGATGGGGGCATGACACACATGTAACCTAAAAAAAAAACACAATTTAAATTTGACTTGTTAGGTAGTGTTTAAAACAAAAACAGCCTTTATGCTAAAATTTTAATGTAATATTACTTTCAAACTTGCAGCTATTTTGTTGTGAACTTCAGAAATACACCACATTAAATGACTACTAGAGATCTCATTTGGTGAAAATGGTATAATAGTGCTATGAACTCGTACCTTCTTAAGTTTCTCCACCATTTCCTCTATGCACAGATCTGCACTGTGGCACACCTTGTTCTCCATCTGCATCAGCCAATCACAGAACTCTTTGTTCTTGTCATAAAAAATGGTCCAGGCATCAAGGCGGTCAGCGATTTCCTGTCTGCGTAAGGACACCTGGGAGGGGGTGAAGTAATAACAGACATTTTGTGTTTATTGTCATTTATGTTTGCATGATAGCAGATCAAATGTAATCTCCGTCCGCCTTTACAGCTTCTTTTAATCTTTTAAAATCAAAAAGCTCAATATGAATGTATAAGAAAGATCCATATTGTGATCAGTCTTTAAATATGGTCAGGATGGATGAATGGCAGAAAACAGAAACATAATAAAATAATAATAAAATATTTGTTCCTAACCATAAATTAACGGGTATTCAGAACGAACTACCACAACTGCAAACAAATTATAGAAAGTTGAAGAAAACTAAACAAAAAGGAGAGATTCCAAAGACCTGGATGAAACAGGGTCATTTGCTGTGATGCTGCCTGGTATGCATTCAGGACACAAACTGACCCAAATATAATGCGTAAACAAAGCCTTGATCCGATGCATGTAAAAGATATTACCCAATAACTCATTAACTACATAACTTTGTTTGTTAAAAATCCCTAAAAAGCAAAACAATAGTAAAGAAATATAATATCAAATGTGTTTATTTACAACTTTGACATTCATATATTAAAATAATAAACTGGGTTGAGAGAAACCCTCAGAAGACTGCAGCTATTTGTCCAAATTAACAAGGTCTATTCTTATAATGAGACCTTAATGCTGCCAGAACACCCTATTAAAAACCAAGGGGAGGGGGGGGATGATCTTTCAGCTTATCAAGCCAGTGATTAGAGCTGCTCCATTTTACTGATCATCAACATTTATTCTATTAAACTCAGCCCTGCTTTGGTATTAATGCACAGACACAGATGGCCGGTCTGCACTGTGAAGAATTGGGGATGTATTGTGAGCTGCGGTCAGCCTGTCAGGACTATGTGCTGCTGCAGGAACAATAGAGCAGGTCCCTGAATCTCTCCTCAGGCACCCAGACCATCTGCTCATAAAAAACCTAACCCCCCCAAATCCACAACCTGTTTGCTGTGAAGTGGAATCTGCAGGTGTCTTTTGAGAAATGCTTTCAAGTTTTAATAAGATGATAAATTATCAAGTAATTAAGAAGAGCAGTTTTGACAAACAAAGCTAACAGTTCTGTGAACCCAAAAAAAGGAAACTATACTTCATGTTTTAAGTAAGAATCAAACAAACAAAAAGAGATAAATAAAAACACACAAATCAAGTCATTATCCAACAGAATACACACATAAACATATATTTGGTTGCTGTGGACACATTTCTGCATGTGAGTAAGTCTTGCCAACCCCAGAGCAGGTGCAAGCAGCTTAGCAAACTGGGAGTCCAATTAGTACCACTATGAATTATCTTATAAAGGCCTTATTACATGCAAAACAGCCCAAAACTTGGCAGAAAGTAAGCTAAGGTTCCAACTGGTGTTCAAGGCAAAAGTCTTAACTGAAGGAATCCAAGCCTGTGTAGATTTATCAGCAATATTATAATCACAGGATTAACAGGCAGGAATGATGGACAGCCTGAATAAGGTACTAAATTATCTTCATGCTGACTCAATAAAGAAGATTTGTACTATCAATTAAAGATAAAATGAACCCTGTAAAAGCTGGTAAAATTTCAGTATTTCTGCTCTTTCATTTCCCTCCAACAATCTGCACAAGGCGTCTCTTTTATCAAACAAATCAGTCTGACTGGTGTGTGTGTGTGGTGTGTGTGTGCAAGTGTGTGTTTGGGTTTTCAGGGCTTTGTGCTGCTGGATGCCATCAAGAAACCACAAACTTTTCCCTCCACAAACTTCTCCCTCCTCCCGTGACTCTCTTTCTCATTTTAACTACAAGGTTTTGGTAAAAACTTTCAGTTTGGTTCTCACCTTCAAGCACAGCTCTTCCCACTGAGTGTGGAGCAGTTCCAGCTGTTGCTCCAGCAGAGCAGAGTCACTGGCGGCAACATACTGGGACAGGTCCGTCTTCATGGTGGCCAGCTCCCTCAGTCCGCCCTCCAAATGTTGCAGAAGGAGCTCAGCCTCCTGCATAACACACAAAAGCAGGCAGCACAGTCAGCAGACAGCCATGTATGAGTTCCAAGCTGCTTTACCTCTAGCTTGGCTTTGCCCTGTCCATCCAGATTAAAGGGCTGTGGACGGGACAGGGGGAGGGTAGAAGGGGTAAAAAAGGGGGGGAGGGGAGTGAAAGCATCAGTGCTTTAAATAAGGGGAAGGGGGGTTAACTGAAAGTGGGGAGAGCAACTGGTGGGGAGCTCCCAGCAAACTTATTTAAAAGCCCTACAAAAATACAAACTAACTAGTTTAAATTGTCATTTTAATGGGATACATGGTTAGGAAACTGAAAAAGGCAAAATTGAAATATACAATCTAGAAATTTAGTAACAGGTATCTGGAGAACTTATCATAAGAATTTATTTAGTAAATTCTGTTGCTTTTCAACAGAAACCCATCTTTAAATTGGGGCATTTCAACATCCTGATAAAATGCCTCGTTCATGAAACACTATAACTGTTCACTAATGGTTCATTTAATCTGTTTTTCCAAATTAAGAGAGGTTTGATGTTACACCACATTATGCTTGTCGCGACTCTAGAGAGGAAAAGCTTCCTTTTAACAGGAAGAAACCTCCAGGTGAACCAGGCTCAGTGTGAGCAGCCACCTGCTGAGGCAGACTGGGGTTCAAGGAGACAGAAGCAGACATAGAAAAAGAAGTCAACTGTCAACCAGCTCCACAGGCGGACCCGTTTATTCTTTTCTGTGAAATTAGGAGTGATGTACTGTCTCCACACAGTTAGGTACAGTATGCAAAGTATATACAAATGTAGTATGATCAATTGTTTATATATTCTAGGAATCCAATTTAGTGTTTAACCTGACTGGTGTTGTTTCTAACAGTTTGTTTAAGCATAGTGCTCTACCATTTACTCACAGCACCAAAAAGTCAGCCGTTTTCTAAATTGAATTACCTGGACGTGTGCTTCTTCCTTGGAGTCTTCTGGCCCTTCAGCAAGCAGATGGCTCACCTTGTCCAGTCCAGACAAGATGTTGCTTGTTTCTTTCTGACTCCGAGACCACATCTATGAGACAGAAGATTGGAAAAAAATGTTGTCAATTAATTGGTAAATGTTTCCCCTTAGCTTTTACCTCACATATTTCAATAAAGCTGTTTGATAGAATAAAACCACAATGCTGGGCGAGAAAGTTTTTAAGGTTTGTTAATTTTTCATTTAATTTTTCTGGATTAAAATACAAAGAGCACTTCAAATATTTCATGAGCCATATGTAAATATATCTGTTGGTCTGAATAGAAACAGTACCAGAGGCCTTTAAAAATACAGCAGTTTTTCTTTCTTAGATTGCTGCTTTAATGTGTTACTGAGGAGGATTTTTTCCCTTTGGATCACCTTAAAGTGGTAAGAACAGCCTGAATAACCAACGACACAATGTCCTGCAGATAAGCGGGTCAAATTATTCACAAATGATCAAGATTTGACTAATGTCCAAAAGAGTAAGCTTTGTTTCCTTGTGGAACTAGGCAAGCCTCTGCAGCTTCGTTTTCTACAAAGAAAGGGGATTTTCTGTTTAAAGATTAATGGTGATCAGGATCTAGCAGCATAAAGCTGCATAGCTGTGGTGGAAAGACACTGGTTAGCGATTCAGAATGTGGATCATGGAAAGATTTGGCAGGAAATCAGGGCTCAGCAGCAAACCAGCTACTGTGTGTGTGTGTCTGTTTGGATAGCTTCTTGTCCTGGATTGGGGTCACAACATACCAACACACTTTACTGCACTGATAATAAAGCATGCTTTATACTTTGAGATTTTGTTTTCCTAAAGCTGCAACCTAAAAGTCAAATCCTTTTCGAAGTAGAGAAATTGTCACATTTTCTTTGGATCCTATATAAACGTACAGTCACTACCAGGTCATAGAGAGTTAGATGGTAACATAAATAAGCGCCATTAAAAAAAAAAAAAACTAAACCCTATATTGCTAAGCTTATTGCATTTTTTTCTACAAATCAGGTACTTTTTTACTTCATATCATCTTGAAATTTTCTCATTTCTACCTTAGTACAACTATATTGATCAATAACTGCACAGTATTTGCTCTTTTTTGTATTTTATTCTGCTGTACAGGTTATCTTTTTAGCTGTTATTTCCATACAATCTAAGTCTTGTGTCTACTACGTGTTTGTGGCTCTGTCAGACCCTAATTTACCCACTGTAGAACAATAAAGGTTTCGTTCTTTTCTATTTGCTTAGAGCGACAAAGCTTCCCTGTTCTTTCATTTTTTCAGCTTTCAATCTGTCTGTGAAAATAATAGATTTGGAAATGTTGGTTCCTTCTTATTAAGAAAATAAAGGCCTACAACAACCTTATAGAGGCTGAAGTTACTGTAACAGCAATGGCTATAAAAAAATAAGGGGGTATAAAAGGGGTATAAAAGAATCCCTCATGGGATGAACAGCAGGTCTTATATCTTCTTAAAGATAAAAGAAGAAAAATCAACATTTTGCTCATATCAGTTTGTTTTCCTCTTGCATGTGTGGCATTCGCTCTGGGTACTCCGGGTTCCTGCCACCAAACAGGAAGCACAACAGTAAAACTGTGATTGTATTTTCTGAAGAGACGTAGGAATCCCTCACAATGAATATTAAAACATTGGAAAGGAACAATCCTTTTAAACGGCAACACTGTCTGGCAATAGTCACAATAACAATCCAACATAACTTTTGCTTATTAAACATCAAATAGGAAAATTTAACAAGCTAAAAAAGACATATCTAGGAGGGCTACCTGTACGGTGTTATTAATCAGATCTCTGTTCTTTCTTTGGTGGGAGGCGGTTCGCTCCCAGGCCTTCTGTAGATCCTGAAGCTCTGACTGCAGCTGATTCTGACTCTCTGACTCTGTAACGATTTCACACAAACAGTTCCCAGCTTCCACAGTCTGGGTGTACACAGAGGAGTGCAGACCTAGAGAGTCGTCAATAAGCTTCAGAAAAAAGAGAACAGAAAATGTGTTATTAAGATATTAGATTATTTAAATGATAGACCTGATGTTTGGCTACATCCGTGCAAACCCACCTGGTGAACATTTTGATAGAAGTGCAGCTGCTGCACTGTGTGAAGACATGGTCCTGTAGGGGGCAGAATAGAGTCCACCTCTCTGAACAGCTTCTTTAGCTGTTTAAAACCATGTTGGTATTTTCTCCACAGCTTCAGATGCTCCTTAGTCAGACACCAGTTATCTGCAGCTAGAGCCACAGAACTGGACCAGCTCCTCCTTATACAGGCCGCTTCACACATAAGTTCAGACCTGAACATGGAGTAATAAAAAAAATAAATAAAGTTACTTTATTTTATCTGGAGAAAACCTAAAGTTAACACAAATGCATACATTTACTGAATTCATAATATTACAGTCTTAGGGGTGGATGTTTTTTACGGTAGAGGTAAAATAAACAGGCTTCTCTTAAACTCATGGCAAAACATGTTCAGAAAATTAAATAAAGGCTAATTAGAAACAAGCAGATTATACATTTCTAAAAAAACTATTGTACATTATGCTGCTGCTATCCTGACTAACAAACTAAAACAACTGATGGGTGAGATTACAGTAAAAACATAAAGAAGAAGGATTTATTTACCGAGCTTTGATGAATCCCGAAAAATTTAAAGTAAGAAAATTATTCACTTCTCATCGAGTGAAATTAGCATTTAAACTCAGACCAATAAAACTGGGATTCTGGCTTCCATACATAATTTTTGTGCCTATTTGGCAAACAGAGCTGTTAATCAATCAGTTTAATGAAATCAAGTTTTCCAATCATTTTTACGACCTAATTAAGCCATCGGAGAAACTGCTGTGGTTTCTGAATCAGTGTCATGCTCCACTTGTGACAGGGATTTAGAAGAAATACTCTACAAACATCAGAGTAGAACACTATAAATTGGTCAGGGAGGAGTATTCCTACATCATGATGTCTGAAAACATATCAAAGCAACAAAAAGGTAGCTACAGAAAAGACTTATCAAAGTTATGGAGTGGATAAATCAATATCAAGACCCCAGAATATGAGTTAAACACATAGAGGGGCCAAAAACTTTGATTTTGCAAAGCTTTGTCAAAAAGCTTTGACAAAGCTAATAATGGCTTCTCCATGGATGCCAATTCAGCTTTCTTTAAGTATTTTCATAATTGTGGTAGATGTTCCATCTCTAAGGCTTAGATAAAATGGAAACTTTTCTTTTTAAAGTTGGAGCAAACCTACAAAATGAGCAGAGAAATCATTTCTCTTTTGAAAAGTCATATAATTGAATTGTTTCATTAATGCACTTACAAAGCACTTACTAACTAATTTCAAAGTCCTGGATGTGTTTTAATGATGCATTCACCAAAGTTTTCTAATACCCTTGAAAATATTCTGCATTATTCACCTTTTTTCTCCAGTTTTAGTTTCTGTGGCCTTGACTGCATCACAGAGAAGACCTTGAAGGAGCTGATGCCCATTTATGACCTCAGCCTGAAGATTCTGTGGGAGTAAATGGTTACACCAGGATAAAGAACATACCAACATTATCTCATTATTACACTGTGAAAAGGCACGTTATTGTTAATCACTGTCACTATTCCAATTATAGCCATTCAACTGAGCAAGATGAAATAATTTATTACGATCTGTTCTACCTGATGGACAATCAGTATCTGTTTAAGGTTTGAGTAACTCAGAGATTTTCTGCATGCTGATTCTTGCTCCAAGTTCTGCTGGATACGCTGCAGTTTTTCCCTCGTTTCTTGAAAGTCACGGGTGCTGTGAGGCTTGCCTTGCAAGGTTCTACGAAAAAAAAACAAAAACATAAACTTTAGACATAAAAAGGTCACCTTTCCATGGAACAAGATAGCAATGTCAGTTGTTATGCAGATAATTAGCGAGACGGTATGCTGAGCTTTATGGGGAGATCCAGTGGATTGCGTGGGTTGATACTAGAGCTTCACTCAGGGACCTGGAAGATGGAAGTCCAGTTGGATAACACAGGTTGAGAGAACCTGTCCATGATGAGCAATCATGGAGCAACAGTGGAGAGGAAAAACTCCCCGTTGAAGAAACCTCTGGAAGACACAGGCTCAACATGGAGGTCTTCTGCCGGACTGGTTGAAATGAGACAGGGAACGCAGTAAGAGTCCTTGAGAAATGACACTCTGATGAAGCTTTGGCTGAAAGAGGGGCCGGAGGTGGGTTGAAACGGGGTCATCTGAATGAAGTCACACGGCGCATCCGCCGCCTGGGCACAGGAGCAGACAGGTGCGTATCGAAAGTCTTTTAAGATAAACTTTGATTGCAGATTGGCTTTCGTGGAGGTGTGGCTCAAAGCTGATTGGCTGTGTCGCAGGTGGATGAAGCAATTCATTTCTTCAGTTGAACCTCCACCTAGACTCCATTACTTGGGTGTATTTATATGTAAAGACTGAAAAACTAAATAACCAAGACTACAGGCATGTTTTTAAATTCAGAGGAGAAAATATTTCTGAATATTGGCCACAGGATGTAATTAAAAAGTGTATAATACAGACATTTACTTTAAGTGGCATCAATCTAGCCTCTGGCACTTTTTAAAAAAAATACATTACATTAGAGCAACATACTTTTTATTTAGGACTAAACTTCTCCTTTCAGTATTATGACATAATATAACCCATACAATTGAATATTGTTCCACTTCTAGGTCATGCACAATGCAGCCTGCAGTATATCTTTATCTTTTCAGGGACTTTCTTTAGAGATTCAGACTGAGAAAAGAAAATAGACAGGATCTTTTTTTCATCTAACAAATAAAAAAATATGAAATCATTATATCAACGGTTTCTACTTCAAACTCAAAATATATTTTTTATGATTAACTATTAGGAGAAAATGTTGTTCGTTGAACTTTTATTTTAAAGTATAAGATTTTGGTAAATTTAATCTTTTTTGCTGATGGCTACACACATCAGACCAACACCAGCCTGCAGTTGCAAACACCTGTTTTAGGTAAGTATGGTGAACTTTGAGCTGCGCCAGCTTAAATGATGTGTGCACAAATGCCCCAGGCTCGAGAACCACTGGAGCAAGTTAGGGTAAGCGTTTCAATGCCACAGAGAAATGAGCAGACAAGGTAATCCACCTGAATAGACTCACTGTTAGCTAGATAATCAGAAACCAGATGAAGAGATGAGAAAAAGGTCCTGCAGCTCTTAGAGTTTTAAATGGCTGACTGAACTCAAAGTTCATTCTTTATTGTATCCAAATTCATCTTAAACACTTTAACAGATCAGATTAAGCTTTTTGTTGTCTGAATGTTCTTGTTTTTGTAAGCACATGTATAGATTGATTTTAATTAAGTCTTTGACCTTGGATGCAACAAAAGCAGTTACAGAACTAAAAAAGCTGAACAGCTTATCTTTCCATGGGAACTGAATTGAAAGCTTAGATTCTTAAATTACCAGTAAAATATATCAGACACATTTAGCCATTAATATATAAATCTAAACTAGAAAACGGGTCATTTATTACTGCTTTGTGTTCTCTTTTGTCAGGAAGCTTACTTACGTAGATCAGAAAATATGTTTTCCCGTAGAGCACTTTGAATTAGCCTGTGTAGGAACTGATCTTTGCCATTTTAATAGTAAGATGATAAAAACATTTAAAAAAGTAAACAAAACATTAAGGTGAGATGCATACTTTTACATCTTGCATAGTGTGGTGGTAATTTGTCAGTTTTGTAAACTTGAATTCTACATGGAAAACGATGGTATCGGATCCAACTTTCTCACTTGTTTTCATCTGTTGCCTGGGTAAAGGTGTCCATCCACTGCCTGCTGATTGGCTGAACTCTCTCCATCTCCTCGTCGATGTTGATGTTGCCACTCGTCTCTCTAACGTCTTCTAGCGATAGAACGGTATTGCTAAGTTTCAAAAGAGCCTGTTGGTAATTTAAGACAAAGTATAAAGGTATGAAGGAGATTTTTATTTAGGTTAAACTACACCTTAAAATAGAAATAATCATGTAGATGAGAATCAAATAGTTCATAAAACCTGTAGAGGATCTGCATCATACGAGCCAAGGGTCTCTAGTTCCAAATCCTCCTGCAATGGAAAAGAAATATATTCAATTTTATTTCAATAGCTGATTTCAAAATGTTATGTTCATTGTAGAAAATATTTTAGTACGGTTAAAAATTCAAAATATATCTAACCTCAAGATTTTGTCTTTTTCCTGATATTGCCTGGTTCAGCAGCAGGATATCACGGGTCAGTAATCTAGCCTCTGATTTAATTAAATTTGCAGATAACGGTTCAAGTCGTCCTAGAAGACCTTTAGAGGCTGCCACTACATCTCCTGCATTGTTCTGTAGCTCTTCAGCAGCATCCTGCAGCCTCTAGATAATTAAAGGAAGAGTTGGTTAAGAAATCAGCATATTGGTCTTTTTAATTTTTTATTTCCAATTATTTCATTAAAATACATGGATATTTTAATCTGAAGAAACACAGAAATTTTTCTTCTGAAATACATCACTATAAGGTTTTAAAAAATGTGCCTCAATTTTATTTGGGAGGAAAAAGGAACCAAAGAGAAAAATCATAAATGTAAGCCCAAAAACATTTTCCTTTGGTCAAATGAAAAAACAAACGTCATCTGCTTTACGCAACAGAGAAGAGAGGACGTCGGGTGTACCAACTGGAAGCGGAACACCACTGATATTTCTCATCAAAAGCACATGCTACCTCATCCTTCCAAGAATAGGAGAGTAGATATTGAGAAAAACATTTAATTAAATTGTGCACCCAATGCTTGGACCCCCTGAACATCCACCTGGAACAGATGAGTCAAGCAGGGAATCTAATGGTTTTGAAAATAAATAATAATGCATTTGGGAGATGAAATAAAGGGTTGTGAACCTGGTCAAATTTCGGCACTTGTTTTTGTCAATGCTTGCAGTGCCTAACAGGGACATTGTATATTTTCTTTCCAGCTTTAAAGCAGATGGAAAAGATGAACAAAAAATAATTAGTATTATGAGAAAATTCAGTACTTATTGTGTGTTAACTAGCTTATGGCAAGGATTGTACGTAAATCATAGATATCTTACAACAATTTTAATTGAAAGACTAAATCGCTCCATACAGTATTAGCCATTCAAAAATTCCCCACTTTCCTTGATAGGCACTTGGCTGGTCCTGGCCTGGTCTCCTACAATTCATTTTTAAACATCAATCTTTGTACTAAAATATATAGGGTGGAGTCAGAGTAAATAAATATGCATGCCTAGTGGCTGGAAGTTGGAGGAGATTGGGAGCTGCAGGGAAGTGGGCATCCATTCGGCTGGCATTTGACTGGGAAGGGCCATTTTTTTCATTGCTGCTACTATATATACATTAAAACCTAATGATCATATTCCTCATTCTAACCTTCAGTGAGCAAACTGATGCTTCTGCATCATTTCCAGGTGAAGAACTTGACAGCCTCTCCCACTCATTCCACAGGTGTTGCAGGCGTCCAGAAATGCTCCGAGAAAGGTTAACATAATCATGCCAGAGGGAAATGGTCTCTTTAATCTTGTTCTGCTCATCTCTTATCTCTTGGAGAATGTCCTTTGATCTGATTTGACAAACACAAAAGTACTTTTTTACATATTATAATTTTGTTATGTTAGTTAGTGTTTGAGCAAAATGTTAATAGTAGAGTAATAAGAGAGAGGGACATTGTAACTTATAGAAAAACAAGAGAAAAACAAAGGGAACAGAATGGTTGGATGGTCACATCTGAGATTTAACAAACTTTCTGCTAGATGGAATTTTAAATTATGCTTATTAAACATATTTAATTTGAGTAAATTCGACTTATTTGCGTATACTGAAATAGCCTTTGTATGTGAACCATAACTTAGCTTCACAAACCCTTTTCGCAGCTCCTCTACTTGATCACTAAGTGGCTGCGCTGATCCATCAGGGAGAGTTTCCACAAGCCCCTTGTAGGATTTGTCTGCAGCCGTCCAAAATTGCTCTCCCTCTGCCTCCACCTTCACCTGGAGGTCCTGTGCGAAATGAAAAACACCTTTCATTTCATGTTTGCTCTCTAGAAGTACATTTACTTCCCTACAATGCAAGAACATAGACTGAAAGAGGTTGACAGCTGGAAGTCTGTCAGTGCCCACACTCTCACTAAAGCTATCAAGGTTGGATTCAGAGGCTTTTAACCACAGTTACAGCTTGCTGTTCTACAAAAAACTTTTAAGTTTTATTATGGCCTCTTCAGTTGTATGCTTCATGCTGCTCAGTCTGTTAGAATTTAGATTAACTTGTTTTAAGGTAATAGTTAAACTACTGTAAAGGATACAGATTGTAACATACATTTGTGCTTGTTTTTGTCACTTTCATCTTATTCTGAGAGATAGGCCTTTCTAACCTCAAGGATTCCTAAGTATCCTTCAGCCTGCTGCAGGGAGAAGAGTGGTGCCTGCTGCTGCTGCAGGGCACAGCACGCCCTAGTGGTATACAAGGCAACATCCCCCAGAGCTCTGTGGAAACATGTCCACTTCTCCACGGTTTCTTCAAGAGCTGGTTTGAAATCTTCCATCTGAAAAAAAAAAAGCCAAAGTCAAAGTGGAAAATAAAATGCAATTCCAGTTTGGTGAATGTAGATAAGCTACTATAATATTCGAACAATATCCTTCACATGTTTTCTTTCAAGTTATTTTACAATCCTAACATGAGATAAAGAGGCCAGAATATAAGACATTAAAATGTAAATATAGCTCATTAGTTAGGTTTTTTTAAGGGGGGCAATAGGACAGAATAAAAAAAAATTGCAAATATATTTGGATGGTTCAGGAAATAGTATTAAACAAATTAATTATATACAGGATAGATGGATGGATGGAAGGAAGCTTGAAACCTTTTAATTTCAGCAGGATTTAAACTCTATGTTTTTACCTGTTGATAAAGATCATCACAAGTCCTTCTCACACTCTCTGCTTGATAACAGAAGATCCCATCACACAGGAGCTTCTTTTCCTTCTCATAATGTATTTGTACAGTTTTCAGTTCCTGCAAAGCTGCAGAAACCTCCTTGATTCTGCTAAGATCAACCTAGAAGATAAATGGCCACCTCAGATTAGAGAAGGACGCTCTGCAGAAAGCCCTTCACAAAATGCATACATTCATCTGGATGATTCCCATCCTCATACCTCCAACTCTACAACCGCATAGTGAGCCAAAGTTTGACCAGTGGACTGTTTCCACTGATTCATTCTACTTTTCTGCTGTTCCGTCCAGCTGTGCAGTCTCTGCAGATGTCTTTCTCGTTCTGCACAAGCGTGATGGATGTGTTCTACTTTGTGAATCTGGGGAAGTACAGAGATGTGTAGCCAATTTATGTAAAGAGAAAATCACATCAAAAATCATGGGGAAAAAATCTACTTCAGATAGAAATACAGGATGTTCTAGGTTTGTATTTCTGGCATGGTTTCATTCATTATCTAACATTTATCTATGATGTGATAAAACAAATCTAAAACAAAGAAGTTTTAAATTGAAGCTGTGTTGAAGATATTTCTCACTTAGTTAAGTATAATTAAATGGATCCTGAATGAACTGGATATAAAACAGAAATAAAGGAGGGACTGACCTGGATGTCCAGCTCCCTCTGAAGGAGCAGCCACTGAAGTCTAACACTGCCGAGCTTCTCTGCGAAGGTTGTGCATTCAAAGCGGCGAGTTTGGACATTTTCTGTCGCCACATTAGCGCCAGGCTGAGACATAAAATCAATGAGTTGTTGAAGACTGCCCACAGCTATCCTTAACACCTGAAATAAAAGGCATGGAGAACACTTTTAATGGCAAAAGAAGAATTTCCCATGAGTATGCACGTAATAACAGTATAGACGGAAAGGAATTACTTATTTTTTCACATTGCAACCATAAACTTTAACACTTCTATTGAGATTTTAGATGCTAGTAGAGACATTCCAAAAGACCTGCAGCTGTAATTGATGAACTGATTCAAGGAGGGTGAGAAAAATGCTTAATACACCTTGTAAAACCTTCAATGTTTTCCTTTGACATTCAAACCTGACCTACTTTGTGTTGTTCTATCAAATAAAATCCCAATATAATGAACATCAAGAACGCTGTTGAAAAAAAACAGCATCCTTTTATTCAGTCACTGTTGGTACTATTAACAATCTAAATCCCATCAAACAGTAAGAAGCGTTACCCGACAGTGCTGCAGAATTTCAGCAATCTCAGCTGCGTTTTGGGCCTTTGGGACTCTTTCCTTCTGCCGGTTCAGCTGCGCTTCCCTTTCCTTCATCCACTTCTCCAGTCTAGGCAGCATATTTAGTGGTGGCTGGGCAGGCACCAGGCGCTGATAATAATTCAGTATAAAAGTAATTTCACATAACATTAATGGATTTTAGTTTCACATAAACATCTTTCCTTTTGTATGCCTTTTTCATTAATTTGATTGATCTTATTCAAGGTCATTTGAGATTACAACATCTGGTCAGTCCTTTGGAGAACAATGTCTATAAAACTCTCCTCGGAAGAGGAAATCAGTATATCATCTGCCAAAGTGGTTTCCAGATTGCAAGACTTCAACTCAACCTTCTGATAAAAAAAATACCAATTACAGTGATGCCAAATAGCTGTTTCCAGTCACTGGTGATGAATGGAGATAAAAATTAAGTGTGACCTTCCTTTCTCTTCCTCCCCTCTCTGATCGGCCCAAATGGCATTATTCAGACAGGTTCAAGTTTATACTCCCCACAATAAAGTAGGGCTTTCTGTCTCTAATTATTTCTGAAAACAAACAGCACTTACATGAAATTTGACCTGAATGCCTTCATGGTTCCAAATTGAAAGAAAAAACTGAGTCCTATATCTTTTTATTCTAGTTATTTGACCATTTATTCCTCAAAAAACAGAAACACTATACCTGCAGTAGAAGCTCCTGTATCTTGGAAAGGTCAGAGGTCAGCTGGGTGCAGTTGGCCTCCAGCTGTAAGATCTGACCTCTCAGTTCAGGACAATCAGCTTCCTTTAGGTGGAGAAGTCGAGTAACCTCTTTGGAAAGTGACTCTTTCTGTGCAGACGTGGCTTCCAGCTCCATGGAGAGGTCCTGAAAAAAGAAAAAAAAAGTTAATATGATAGAGATACCTGATAAAATCTTTTCTTGCTTGATCTCTGGATTTCAAGCACTGCACTTTATAACATTAGAAGGATTTTTTTTTTCACAGCAACAAATAGTATTTTATAGTGCAGGATGGCTGAAACACATCTCTCTTAAAATTAAGATATCGTGTCTGAATCATAACTCACCACAGTAAATAAATGTGAAAAATCAATGAATGAATGAATAGACAAATGAATGAATTAATGTATGAATACTTTGGCTTTATACCGAATACCGTGCCCTTTTTTTTTTTCAAATTCCAAACTTACTGATGGCCGGAATGCCTGAGTTTTCAGTCCTTCATCTCTAATTCATGGCAGGTGTTTCTATTGTGACCAGGCATAGAACCAGCAAAATGGATGGATGGATGGATGGATGGATGGATGGATGGATGGATGGATGGATGGATGGATGGATGGATGGATGGATGGATGGATGGATGGATGGATGGATGGACCAATGGATGGACCAATGGATGGATGGATGGACCAATGGGTGGATGGATGGATGGATGGATGGATGGATGGACCAATGGATGGATGGATGGATGGATGGATGGATGGATGGATGGATGGATTGACAGATTTCTAACTCTTGAGCAAAGCTATAATGTCCACAATAAGTGATTTATTTTTAAGAAATATTAAAACACAGATTTTGTTTTCATAAAAGTGAAGAAAATAATCTAAAACACAAGGAAACAAAAGAAATGTAATAATAAACATAATAAAAAAAAATTTTGGTAACAAATATTTGGAAATTAAAGCACTGAACTGATAGAAATGCAGGTTATTTTTAATAAAATAAAAGGCAGTAGATAAGAGAGCCTTACCAGCAGCTCAACCAAACTTCTTTGAAGAGTCTCCTGACCCAGGTCTGAGGAATCTGCCAGATCTGACAAAGTCTTCAGGTGTTTGCTGGCACCGAGCAGACATTCACTGACCAAAGGAAGGTCGGCCTGGAATCTGCGGGGAGGACAGGAAACACAAATAGATCAACCAGTGGGGTAGAACATAAAGGCACTCCCAAACAGAAAAAAACAAAAACCTTGAAAGTTATCCGAGGGCAGAAATGAAAATAAGTCTTGCTTACATTTTTTTTCTAACCTTCCCCTTAACTCTTTTACAGTCTGTGTTAGGGATTCAGAAATCTGATAAACATACGAAGCGTATTTAGGAATTCCTCCCACAGAGGCTATGGTCCACTCATATTTACAGACAAGGACCCAGGGATGTTATTTGGCTTGAAGTCTTCCAGCTCAAATTCCTTAAACTGTTTCAAAGTGTCTTTCAGAAGAGCTTGCAATGTCATCAGTAAACTTCACTGACATGATTTATGGTAAAACTACTGCAATGTTTTTTTTGTAAATGTTTTTGATTAATATAAGTGAATCTTTATTAAAGGGCTATCCAAGATTATTAATAATACCTCCATACGGAGGGATTGAACACAGATTTACTTTGGGGCTCAGTAACTTTTGCAGCAATATTTTAACAGGTAAAACATCAAGAGAATTAACAGAAAGCAATAAAGCCTGAGATGACTTCCTGTTTAAGTAACTACAGGTTTTACTAGTTATAGCAGGGCTGTCCAAAGTGTGGCCCAGGGACCATTTACAGCCTTTAGAGTTTATTTCTGTGCTCAGGCCAAATGGATTCTTCAAATGTAGCTTATGCAGGATATTTAGGAGGAGATTTTTCAAATCTAACTTTGTAAATGGAAGTGTTAGGTATAACAAAGTATTTTCCTTTTATTATAGCTATTTTGTCATACATTTTAACTTAACTATTAGGGATAATTTACTCACGGGTCTGAACCCCTGAGTAAGTTCAAGTTGATGAAGTTGGTTTACGAAGTGAAAAGCTTGGACCCCACTGGGTGAAATTATTCCTTAAACAATAAGGAACAAAAAACTGATTCTATACCTTTGCTGTGTTTGATGCTAACAAACATTGCTAAATGGAAGGTCTCATATCCATCACCTCTACTGATCTCCTATCAAGTCACAGAGTTAACAGGTCCAGGAAGGAAACCAAGACATCCATCTTAACAGCAACACTCAAGGCCACTCACTCATTCACTCGGATGATAAACATCCTGATTTTTAGGACGAGGAAACCCTCCATCCATTTCCAATCACGCTTATCCCTGCTTGGGTCACGAGGGGTGCTGGTGCCTATCTTCAGCTGTCTATGGGCAAGAGGCGGGGTACACCCTGGGCAAGTCAAGGATGAGCCAAGTTATCCAAAAGAAGGAGGCTGAATTAAGCTTTATGTGCCTGGGATCGCGCTCTCTCCATACCACTGCAGTTTGAAAGGACAGGCCATTGTTGTCCAATCTGGTAATGCTGTTTGGTTTGGTCACACTAGGATTGTAGGATGGAGAAGGAGATGAATAGAGGAACTAAGGTCCTATAAGCAATAATGCGGGAATAACCTTCATAGGCTGGATGTGCTCAGCCTTGGAGATAAGGAGCTCTGGCACAGAGCTGTTAATCCTCTAGAATAAAGAGCGTTAGCTGTGGTGGTCAGGGCCTCTTATCATGGCTGCTTCCTTTTTTCCATCGGAAGACCAGGGCAGAATTCACTATATGGAATATAGTTAATATGCTAAATGGTAAAGACACCTTAAGAATACAAAGAATAATAAATAAATTTAGAGGATGGGCTGCTCAGCGGCACAGTGGGTAGCACTGCTGTCCTGCAGCCAGGAGGATCTGGGTTTGATTACCAGCCCAGGGTCTTTCTGCATGGAGTTTGCATGTTCTCCCTGAGCATGCGTGGGTTCTCTCCAGGTACTCCGGCTTCCTCCCACAGTCGAAAAACATGACTGTTAGGTTAACTGGCTTCTCTAAATTCTCCTTAGGTGTGGGTGGTTGTTTGTCTCTGTGTTGCCCTGCAATGGACTACCCTGCCCCTCACCCATTGACAGCTGGAGCACCCCTTGTGACCCCACTTGGGATTAAAACAAGGGTGGTATAATTTTTTTTTTTATGTGAGTTGGTCTCTTTATCTTACTTTAAATATGGATGCTTCAAAGTTAATGAACTGTTAAAAAGAATAGAGGGTAGGCAGGAGGAGAAAGACTTTGCTAATTTAAAAAAAAAACAAATAGTGGAACTTAATTTAAAAGCATAAAACATATGAAAACGTATTCTGTTATTAATGACAATTTGTGAAATACTCAAGCAGTGATAAATCTTTCTAATAATTCTGTTTTCTGAATCCATCCTTCTGACTGCTAATACTGAACCTGGCCGATCTGTGCCTGCTTTCCTGGATGTTTCTTAGGCGCAGGATCTCTTGTTCTATATGTCTGTAGACACTTTTCCATCTCAGCTCCAGAGCGCCCCCTGCCGGTCTGACCGAGGTACTGAACCATGGCTCTGCCTGCAGATCCGCCCTGTGATCGAGAAGCACTCCCAACAGACCTCTGCTCTCTTCCAGCTGGAGCAGAGTTTGCTGCGAGACGAGAAGGATAGAGATAAAAATCATGAAGAGAGTAAACAATGACAGCCTCAGCCATCAAAGCAGTTTATAAAAAGTTACTTTATGCACAACTTTTGACACTTACATGTAGATATTTAAAACTATTTTCAGAAAAAAAGCAAAAAAGCATTGCCTTTTCAATAACTAACTTTTTTCGTTACATTAATTTCAAACAACATAAGGGTCTCAAAACTTAGTTTGTTCAAATTGAATCTGGTTGTTGTTTGATATGTTTGTCAAAGTTATTCGGGGAATTTTTACCCAAGAAAATGTAAATTACCAGCAAAAGGTATGTTTGTGTGATCTGATTCTTGCATTTCCTAAAATGTAAAACTGCAAAAACACAAAATCTAAAACTAAATGAAACTAAAAAATTTTTATACTTATTGAAATGTGTTTTTTGTATTGGCCTTTTTTATAAGGAGATAAGGCAGTTTCAGCAGTGAACAGGAAAAAGGGGCATTGGTAATTATTTATTCAGTTTTCTCTTAAAATATGAATTTTCTGTTCAGCTTTGTTTTTATCGGAAAAGGAGTAAGGAAGTGATCTTAGAAAATAAATGAGCGTGAATCATTTTTTTTTTTTACAGGAATTACCTCACAGGCATGTAGTCTCCTTTCTATTGTCTTCTCCTCATCATCATCTCCTTCAGGTTCTCTACCTATAAAGGCTTCAGACTCATCCAACATCCTTCCAAGTTGACCACAAAGCTTTTCCCAAAGGATCCAATCCTAAACAAAGACAAATGTATGTTTTTAAGCAAAACCCAGATAGTTATTGTACAACATAAATGCAGATTGATGTTTTCATAAACTCATGTGTTCTGCAGCAAAAAAAAAAAAAAAAAAAAATTCAAACCTTAAGTCTCTTTTGAGAAGTAACTTCTTCCTCCAGAACTTGTTGCTGCAGATCTTTAGCCCTGGCCTCCAGACGCAGCCATTCATCTTCTTTGCTCTTAAGTGCATTAGGTTCATGTTGGAAAATAAACTGAAGAAAAGACAGCTGGGATCTGAAGACCTGGAGGAGTTTCTGTGTAATAGGAGTCCAGATTTGTGACAAAGACAAATTAAGAGCAACAAATAATTTAATGAAAAAAAAAAAAAAAGATTTTTGACATTTCATTTCAAAAGATTAAATGAAAAACAAATATTCCGGCAGGTTTTGTTTTACTTTTCTTGGAAAAGTAGACGTTTTTACCTAAATCTGCCTAAATATTGAAGAACTGCATAACAGGATACCTTGCGTCTGCAGAGAGCAACTTGAAGTTTGCTGCGGTTGGGAATATGGCTGGTCCATTTTGCTGTTAAACTGTCTTCCACCTGTTTCAGGAGGCGAGTTACCCCCTGAAGCAACAGTTGAGAGGCCAGCTGAAGTTCCTCTTTTCCCCCTGTATTCACTCTCAAGCAGCTGCCCAGTGCACACTAAGAAGAAGACCGAGGCAGAGTTATAGCTGATTTTTGAAATGGCTAAAAGAAATGATTGTGAATAGTGAGAATATATTTGCTGAACTTTCAGAAAAAAAATTGTACGACTAAAAGCTGGTTAGGAAAAAATGGTTTTCCCAAATGTAATTCCATAAGGATTTCCCTTGCTCAAACCTTTAGATCTAAACCTAATTTATTTGTTGAAAAATGTTAACTATTCAAACAAAATGTAAAATTGAGTGCCAAGTTACCTCCAAACTGAGAGCACTATTCGGTTCTGGGAAGGTCTCACAATGTCCTATGTCAAATGCATCCAGGAGAGACAAAATGTCGGAGGAGGGAGTCTATGGAGAGAAGTAAAAACATGGTGACATGCTGAAATGAAAAGGTTTTAAGTTTCCATCCATCCATCCATCCATCCATCCATCCATCCATCCATCCATCCATCCATCCATCCATCCATCCATCCATCCATCCATCCATCCATCCATCCATCCATAGGGCTGGTGCCTATCTCCCGCAGTCTAAGGGCGAAAGGCGGGGTACAACCTGGACAGGTCACCAGTCTGTTGCAGCACAACACAGAGACACACAAAGACAAACAACTATGCACACACACACTCACACCTGAGGACAATTTAGAGAAGAATTAACCTAACAGTCACGTTTTTGCTGCTGTTTAACAGCTAAATTACTACTATGATTTGATCCAACGAGGAAAGCAACAGCCAGTTATTGCTAAATAAAAAATAAAAAAATAAAAAAGTGCTTGTAAACTAATTATGAACTTCAGAAAAAACAACAGGTTTGAAAGTTTCCTGCTCTGGAACTTCTAGATCTGTCTTTATAACAAAACAAGCAAAAAAAGCATCAGCAAAAGGCGAGAAAAGCAAATGTCATTGCTAACTAATTGGGAAAGGGTAAGAACTACATTTCCAAACGATCTAATGTCAATTTTATGACAAGAAAATGGACAATTTGTAAGATGCTCTTCAATATTTATGGGCGTCAATATCCCGGCAATTTTACCGTAAGGTCTGATTGTTTTGTCTCAAAGCTTTGAATCGTTTAAATAAAGCACAGTACTTCCGGAATAATGCAACTTTTAGAAAGTAAATGTTTTTAGTTGTAATGCACTGTGCTCTGTTTGGTAATAAGCAAACTTAATTATCAATTAAAACACCCAAAGCCAAAAGTGAAGCAGTGATAAGATGATGATTTGGGTTTCTTTACCAGCTAGCGGACCAATGAGTGCACCATGAATTCCTCACTGCACCAAAGTAGCCCTAATTTTTGCTGCAGGTGGTGGTTGAATTAAATAAATCACAGGATGGTCTTTAACACATTTCTGGAAAATATTGGCAGTTTGTAAAATATCAAACCTGATCTTGGTTCTGTAGCCCTGAGTGTTTCACCAGCTGATTGTGGGAGGAGTTGAGGAGAAGCTGGACCATATGAAGATAATCCTGAAGGGACGTCAAACAGCTTTGAGCTTCTGATTCTTCCACCAGTAAAGAAGGTCTGATATGCGATTCCATTTTACCCATCAGCTCAGTCATAGTGACCAGCTGAGCTGATAAACACTGCGACAGAATGTGAACAGAAATAAAGAAGTTAGAACATTTATGTGGAAATCCAGCATGAGATAAAAAAAAATATAATTATTACAAAAAAACGGGGGGAAAAAAGTTTATCTAGACAACAGATTTTTAGGTTGTTTAATAAAAGTGTAAAAACGTTGATGGAGAACTACCTCCAGCTGCAGCAGCCTCAATTGAGGGTCCCCTGCTAAGCTTTCCTTATTAGTTAGAAGGTGGGTTAATGAGTTGAGACAATGGAGGACCCTCTGCACAGTCTCATACATCTTCTTCTTTATATCTAGATGGGGAGAACTTGAGGCCGTCACCTGGGGATCATTATCAAAGGAGAAAGTCACTTTTACACAATTTGATTGATTGATTGATTGATTGATTGATTAAGTTTATTGATCTCACAGTGGAGAAATTTACTAATTGGTCAAAAACATTCATACCTTTAAAACCAGTTTTCCACCATTAAAACCACAGTCATCAGCTTTTGTAGGAAGCTTCATACCCGAAAAGGCAAGGCTTAAATGATTTTAAAATATTGGACAAATCCAGTCTTTCTAGGGGAATAAGGGGAGTGTTGGTCTAATGGGTTAGAGCAGTGCTCTAGAAACTCTGAAAAGGTTGAAAGTACCCAGTTCAAATCCCACTGCCTCCACTCTGATGTCACTGACCCTTAATCCCACACTGCTCCCTGGGTGCCCCACAGTGGCAGCCCACTGCTCCCCAAGGGGATGGGTTACATGCAGAGGTAAATTTCTCCATTGTGAGATCAATAAAGTTCAGTTATTATTATTATTTCTTGGGATGTTTGCAGAACCACCTTTCGCTCTAGTTACTGTAAGAGCGAAAGGTGGTAAGGTTTCTGTAAGGTAGGGCAAATCTCTCTTTCTTATTGTCAGACTGAAATTTTTATTCATTCTACTTTGCTAAACAGCTCTATGCGACCCTAAAAGGTTGTTGTTATAATCCATATCTTCATGTTTTCTATAATACAGGTGCTACATGATGCTGTTTGGTTACTAATGATTTCCAAAATAAAATCGCTCAGATTTTCATACAATAGGTTGATTCACATTGTGATTAAATTCTATACAACTGGACTTCTTGGACATAGTAGATGATTTTTCTTTTGCATCTCCATTACATAATATTCTGTATTGATCTGTCAATACAATGACACCACATCCTAACAGAAATCATAGATTTTTCTTACAGTAAAGGAAAAAAAAGAGAAATGGTGAATTAATTTCAAAAGTATCAATGTAAAAAAAAAAAAAAATCATAACTTCTTTTAAATCATAAAACCATTTAGCTGTGACATCTTTGATTGAAAGGTTACATTAATTATGACAAACCTATGGCATATTAATTTCCTTACTATTTTATTTAATTTTATTAAAACGTCATCTTTCTTGATATTTTTTTTTTTCAGATTAAACTCTGTGTCTGTACCTCATAAAGCATTTGTCCCATCATAGCAGTGGTGTCATGTATTTGTTGTAGAGCTGATGAAGCAGATATCTCTTCCTCTGAAACCTGCATTAAATCAAAAAGAAGTTTCATTTTAAGTCAAGGTGATTACTACCAGGAAACAAGAAAGTTTAATTCATTACTCTTGCTCTTTCTTTCAATCCTGCTTTATTTCACAATGTTCCTTATTAGCCTTAATGATGCAGCTGAAAACCTTTATAGAGTTTGAATTTGAAAGCTTTGACAATTTGACACTGAAATAAGGGTCTGATGGATATAAGTTTTTTTTTTAAACAGTAGTGAAAATAAATAATGTATTATTTACATCACTACCTTATTATGTACTTGACAAGATATGTTCAAAAATTATTTTTCTAACCGTTTTCCTTTTCTCTCCATCATCTGTACAGATCATGGTTTGCTTGTCGTCCAAAGCTCTTCTTAAAAAGCTCAGTTTTGTGGAAATATGGATACAAAGACGACTCCAGGGCGGATTCTCCACATCATCTTCGTAACCAGGAGAACTGAGGGACACAGGATGAGGATATTTGTATAGTATGCTTAAAATATCTACAGTTTTTTGTTTTCTTAAGCAGTCAGTTACCCAGGTGCAGCATCAGAAATTTCCTTGGATTTTTGAGTTCCTCTCATTCCTCTATAGGTACTTAAATTGACTTCTTTTGGCTCTTTCAAACCTTTTAAGACTTCCTGAAAAGAATTAAGTCAGAAGATATCGATGGGTTTTGTTTCAAAGTATCCATATTTCTACATCAGACATAGGCAAGGTAACATCACACTTAATAAAGTTATCATTTGGGACACTTACCGCATGTGAATGGTTAGTCGGAGACAAACATAAGTGTGTGTCATCATCTTCTTTGTGCTCATCGCAGGCTTTCTTCCTCCAAAATGGTGTAATAGGTCTTGAAGGAATCAGATGTGTGTCTTTAACTGCAGTTTCTATCAAAGGTGAGTTTAATTGTGGACTGATGTCAAATGTCTCCTGTTTTGATGATTCTTGCAGGGCTGAAGAAGCTTCAGTAACGTTCCTTTCATTTGTAGTAATGGGTTCATCATTCAAACCACTCTCAGTCACAGTTTCCGGAATAAGGGTTTGGTAAACCTTTTCTTTCACATCTCCAGTTCCAGCATTCTGACCAAACATTTCTTCAAACCCAGGCTTCAAATACAAAACACCACCTCCAGGCTCTTCTGAATATTTTTCTGCTTCATGAGCCGTGCTCTCCACCTCCTGAAAGACAAATTAAAAACTTTATTCAAAAACCTCGAACCCAAACCTGCTGTCATTGTGCTTACAATATTTTTACCTTTACAGTATCCTGAGGATTCATTTCAGACATATCCTCCCTTTGTTCATGTGAAAGATTGATAGTCTCCTCCAGGTCCTACGGGATTTAGAAAAAATGAAGATGCGACCAAAATCCCAGCCAACAGATTTATTCAAACACGAAACCTTCGCATTTTGCGTGTATGGATGAAAGTAAGGGCTTCTGAGGAGCATTTCAAGCAGATGCTCTTGACAGTGGAGGAGGTATTTTATGAGGTAAAATAAAAGCCTGCCATGTGCAGCTTTGTTTCATGCAAAACTCTGCTAATTTGTTAGTAGCAAACAACATATGTGTTATTTTCATTTAATTAGGTCCATTAAAATATGAAGATGAGTGAAAAGAAAGCCTGGGAAACATCTTTTTATTTATCCCAAACAGCATATTTTTTCCTCGTCAGAAATAAATATTATTATACTGTTTCTTCTATGGTTGAAATTTATAACTAAAAAGTAATAGAAGAGGTAAAGAAATGCTTAAGACCTTGTGCATAAAGCCAAAAAGGATAAAAAGTACCAAGAGTTATTCTCAGGTTCTAATTATATCTCAGATTTACCTCTGGAATACTGCATGTTAGAGTGTCAGAGGAAGAAGAGTGACTCTCATCTCCCTCATACACCTCTTCCTCAGAATAAGACACCTCAAAAGCCTCCTGATTTCAGGGATGAGAGTTAGTAAATCACCAAGCATGTGAGCGGAACAAAACAGGAACAGTAAGTAACCTTTCTGACTCCTCCGTCACTTTGTGTCATTATGTTGGTGCTTCTCTCATGGTAGAAGCTGTTTTAAAACTATTTATTCAATTGAAAACTAAAGTAGGAAGTATCTAAAGGTTTAAATGACAATATTTTGATGAAACATTATTATTTATTGTCATTTAAGGATGATTTTCATATAAATTAATCAAGTGAATGACTGGTAACAAATATTCATATTAGAACAGGGGCAGAAATATGTGCAGCAAGACATGAAGTTGATAAATCTGTTGCCTCTTGATACCAAGCAACACTTAGGATTTAGTTATTCTCAGTTAACTCTTTTTTCCACACATCAAAAGATAGTTATCAGATCAGATAAAGAGGCAAAATCAGGATGGATGGATTGATGGATGGACAAACTGGACTGCTGGTTATGAAGTCTAAAAATGCGAAACATTTTCTATATTTTTTCAGTGTAGAAAAATGTAGAAAACATTTCAGACTTGCTCTCCGTCTACTTGAGCCAAACTAAGATCCAAATCTGCTGCTGAGCTTCACTGACTATGTCTTTGACTGTCTTTTCAGTCAGCTGTGTGAGATTTCACATAAAGGTTTATCTATCTAAAAAGCAGGCAAAGCAGGAAGCCAAATGACTTCTTAACCTTACATAAGTAGAATTTTTTGTTATATGTAGGCCTACTTTACTGGAGTATTTATTTTTTTAGACAACTTTTTACTTGTACTCCTTACATTTTATTTTTATTTTTTTTTTGCAATTATCTCTACTTTCTACTCCTTGCATTTTAAACATAGACTCATTAGTCTTTATTTCATCTAAGCAGATTTTTGTTAATGGCCTGTTATTTAAAAAAAATTTATAAAAACCATCAAAATAATTCGTTTCATACAGAAAATAAATTTCTTTTGAACTTGGTACTGCTCAAACTTGTTGTTTGCCACATACCAAAATAAATAGTTGTAAATATTGAATAGTTAAGATGATGCAAAGTTAAATTTGACACTCTTAACATCAGTAATAAAACTAAGAAAATTAGGTATCAGTAGTTATTATTCAGAATTGTAGAAAATTTTTCCTTTAGTAGGCTAATGCAGTAAAATCTCTCCTCAACATTTTTTCCTGCATTACTTTTACTTTTATACTTCAAGTCGTTTTAAAAATGGTACTTTTACACTTGTGTTTTAGTAAAGAGCTTAAATTAATACTCTAATTTCTACGAAAGTGTTTTTAAATAGTAGGACTTTTACTTCTACTGGAGTAATAAACATGAACACTTTTGACACCTCTGCTACCGAATAACTTTAGAAATGTTGCATTTCAGCAAGTTTCAAGAGTTTAATAAGCATGTCTCTATGAGAAATTTATCTTTCAGGAAACCTCAATTTTTAAAATGTTGCACACTGTTTTAGAAGCATTTCTGTTACCTGGTAAAAGCCTTTATGAGCAGGGTTCTCCAGGATCTGCATCTCTTCAGGAGAACTAGAGACAGTTGATTCTTGTTCCTCTATTTTGCTCTGTGTTTGTTAAAGAAAGTTGGAAAACAAATCAACACAGGTCTTTAATTATAGAAGGTCTTTGTTGTACTGTCTGAGTGATTTTATAGACACAAATTTCAGTTATAAATCATTGTTAGATCATTAACCATACAGTTGAAAACCTGTAATGTGAACTTAGGTTTAAGATGAAGAGGCACCAGGATTTTGGCTTTACCCTCCTTAGTCCTGCAAAGTAATAGAACATAATCCGGATTGCAATACAGCATGTAGGATTAAGGTGGTAAGGTCATACCTCCAGCAGAGACTTTTCCTCCATGGTTATTTGCTCCAACTCATCCAGCTGTTCAATAAGCACTCTGGCTTTGGAGAAGACCACCAGGTTTTCTGCTCTTTCAGGTAGGTTGACCTCCATTTTCCAATTCTCCATATCTTCTAACCTCTTCTGCATTGTCTGAATCTGGGACAATACTGCCTAAAAAAATGTCAAAAACAACCTTAAACTCAATTTAAAGTACTAAAATCAGACAGAAAACATAGCAATTCAACAACATTCTGATTTAATATATGTTGAAATGTGAGCAAATTGGAGCACTTCAGCTCAGCTGACAACTAAACTGTGGATCCAAATTCAGGATGAAAGTAATATTCCACAGCTGCCCTGTGTCAGGACTCCTGTCTGTGTGTTTGTGTTCTGTGTTTGTCTCCCTTCCTCCACCAGGAGGCGCCTGGTTCTGGTCCGCCTCCTCACACACCTGCTGATGGTTTACTCGTTAACGGAGTGTTCTTAAGCTGCTGAATGCCACTACCTCGACGCCAGAGTGTGTGCCAGTTTTGGGTACTCTAGCCAAGCTGAGTTTTGCTGAGTCAAACTTGTCAACCTGAGTTTTAACATTGTTTTTGTCTTTGCCTCTCGGCAGGAAGTCATCCTGCAAACTGGATTTATCGGACCTTCTCTCCCTGGAAGGATCAAGAGAGCTGAGCTGGGGTTACAAACAGTGGGTTGGGACCCACTTTCCCCAAGAGATTGTTTGAGCTTCGCACTGAGAAAGGGATTCATCTCCACTACGACCCGTTCAAGTACCGCAGGAAATCTGAGTGGCACTCAGCTTCTCCGTTCACCCACAAACAACTGCATTCTGGGTAAACCCTGTTTCGCCCTCCACCGAATCAGACAAACACTGGAACAACAGCATACAGACTGGTGTCAAGTATTCAAGAACTTCTCTGGAAACGTAAGTCAGCAACCAGATCCTCTTTTTCAAGTTCACAAATCAAACTTCCCACTGAGCCTGAACTAATCGCTGTGTCTTCCCCTCATTTTTCAGTTCTGGTTGAGCAGTGTTCAGAGCAACACTTCTCTCAGCATTATCTCTTCAATAAAACCTGTAAACCTTTTCCCCTGATCTCCCTGTTTGGTCTTCAGCATTTGGGTCTGAACCCTAGTAAAATCATGACACCCTGTTTCCTTTAGTGAAACAAGAGATGAACAAATCCTTTTTTTTAATCTCCTCTTGATACAGAAACCTGTCCTGAGTGAATCAGTGCTACTGTTGAATGAATGAATGAATGTTATATAAGTAAAGACATTAACCTTGACCAATATTGTTAAAAAAGATTAAATAGATAACACAGATATAAATGTACTTAACATTTCTTATCAACAAAAATGTTTACTTTAGCAGCAAAAATAAATAAATAACACTTCCATGTAAAGTACGGTAACCTGCAAACAGATATTTTAACATATACTATAAAATATAGCAGCTGCCTGAAACTTGTTGTAGAAAATGTAACTATGGTTGTTTATGATATAAATGAATAAAAAAAGACTGGATTGGTGACATTCATCTGATATCCGTAGGACAGTCAGAGCAGCGTTGGTGTTTTACCTCACAGTGGTAAAGATGTTCTGTCAGAGTTATGTCTTCATCGTCCATGGAGTATAATATGGTCCTTATTTTTGTGACGTTTTTCTCCATGCCCTTAATGTCAGCTTCAACCATCTCTACTATCTGAAAGAGAAATTGACATCAAGTGTTTCAGTTAATCAGGAATCATCAGAGCTGCTATAACTGTCTAACTGTGACCTAATTCATATGGTGCCAGCCTACAGGGTGAAGCTCCGTAGCTTTTATTTAAGTTGAGGATTACTAAGATTGCTTAGTGTGAATTATCTACCAAATAACACACATCTAGTATGTTTTTACCTCAGTGAACTGCTGAAGTTCTGCGAGTGGCTGAATGATGGTCTGTAGCATTTCCTGAACCTCATGGTCTCTTTGATCCAGCCTTTCTTCCTGACTGCTGACGTCACACACAGCAGAGATCTCCTCCAGCATTGATTTAAACGTTTTCAGGGTATGTCTGATCCTCTTCGAGTCCTCCAGGATCAACTATCCCAGATATATCAATCCAAAGAGTAAAAGATTACAACCAATACTAAATACTTCAAAAAAAAAACTCAGAAATCATTGCATCATTACTGACTACATGATTACATGATATGGTCAAAACTGCTCTCTAACCAGGATGGCATGGCTAGAGGTTCACCTCAAACTCATGCAGATGATAGTGATTGACACCCCCCATTGTGTGCAAAGTATAAGCGGGGTGGTTAATGATGCTGAATTTGGTATCTGATAGCAGGCTTATGGTTTATTATCAAACTGAAGATCTGCACTAGAACATATGGGCCTGACCTGCCAAAGGTAAAGAAACATGTAAAGAAACACATGCAAATTTGACAGAACGCAAACCTGATCTACCAAACGAGCGCAGGCAGCACTGTCATAATTGGCATAATTACAGGCACAGTCCATTCGGTGTGTTTGCTTTAATGAATATGTAGAAGATTTGCTGCCTATCAGAAAGTACAAAATATTTTGAGGAAAATATGCAAATGTAAATACCACATGCAGCAAGTTTTTTTTCCAAATCTGAAACAGATTGCATGCCCAGTTTCTGCATACATGTTTAGTAAGTTTGATGCAAGGACAAGAACACTATCCAAGGACATGCAAGGACATCATTGCATGCAATAATGTCTGTTTTGATTGTGGTGAGAAGTTGGCACAGATGCAATGACAGAGAAGGGAGAGAGAAACCCCTCTGTGGGTGTAATAACCTATTCAGACTGTCAGAGAATAAAATAGAACATATCCATCATCTATTGAGAAACACTTTAACTGAGGACCTAGATGAACTTAGGGCTGACTTGGAGCCAGTCACAAATAGAAGCCAATGGAAAAGTTCCTCTCACTTCTGCATGGATCATTCCAGAGTTAATGCCATCCCCCAGAATAAATGATCAAGTGTTCTTTCTCAGATTCCTTTTAGAGGTCGAGGGGCCATGTGGATGTTACTGATCATGTGGAAAAGGAGCTAGCACAGTCTTTTAAAAAAGGCAATATCAATTTGTGTAACCAGCTGTAAGACTCATGAATATGACAGTGTTTTTCAACAGATGAGTGAGAATTTCCCTGTTAATCAGCTGTTAAATACATTATATTATGCAATAAATAGCTGCTCTTTTATGACATTTAAAAACTTTAAATCTATCATATTATTCAAGTTATGCATTAAGAACGAATATCATTGATAAGACAAAAAAGAAAAATCTGTGTTTCTTACAGGGTTGTTGAACATTTATTTAAGAGAACTTATGCAAACCAACCATTTCCCCCTTTTTTATAAACCACAAACAGTCATAATACCATAAGAAAGGAAACTAATGCAAAGAGAACTTCCCAATTAATTAATAAAAAATAGAATGGTTTGGTGTCTTTGGGAAATAATCTGGCCAGCCTTTCTCGGTCTTATAGTTCAAGATATTGACTCAAATACTTTGACTGGGCGCAGCTGTTAGAATGATCCAGATACCAGAAGCTTTAGTGGCAGTAGGTCCTGATTTCCTTTTTTTAATTGTTTTATACAAAAAGTGGGGTCATTTCTCTTCTTTAGCTGCTTCCTCTCCATTTATTAATGATGCCTGCTATTTGTGAGCTTCGCTAATATGAATGGTGGGAACCCTAAAACAAATCCAATCTGCTTTCCCAAACTCTCCATGGTGGCAAACAGTAATATTATGTATGGTGCACATAATCTTAGCAGATTCCAGCAACATTCCCATTTATTACAGATAAAGTTCTCTTTTCTTTTTTGCAAAAGCCATTTGGGATCTTACCAGATCAGACCCTTACACTTTAAGTCAAAACATGTACCATAATAGAAGTCAAACATTTGTAAAACAACAATAAAAAAAAAAAGGACTTCTGACCTGTATATACTTGACATGATTGTGCAGACTTTTAGCTGTTGTAAACATGCAGGGATTGCTGAGCCATGACTGGGCTTCTGCTATCCAGTTGGACGCTCTGTCTGTTGTGTCTTCAAAATCTTGAAGGCAGGCTGGAATCTAACATCAGGAACAAAACAATGGAAAACAAACAAAAAAAATTTACTTAAAAATACCCCAATTAGATATCTCGTTCGGATAATGTATCTTTTTCATAATTTCTTTCAGTGCTGGGGGACAAAAAGTTAATAATAGGTTGATAATTAAACTAGTAGTGCGTATGGAAGACCTTGCTGAGGAAGGAGGTGCGGTTCTCAGCCATCAGGGATGCATTCCGATAGAGCTGAGATGGTTCTGTGAGCTGGTCCATTAGAACCTGGGCCTCATTTGGGTGGTCTTCTGCAAGATCCTGCACTTCACTCTCGAGGAGCATTAAGCTGCTATGCCAAGCATCCAGTTCATCCCACACACACTAGAAAACAATAAAAGCCTTTTAACAACAATGTGGATCACATTAGGGTTATCTTTGTTTTTTGTTATTGGTTAATAGATAAATTTAAAATGCCACTGTATTTTCAGTTTTCTACGCTCTTACTGTAGAATAAATTAAAAAGTGTTAATGTCCAAAACCTGGCATATTCTCCAGCTCTGCTGGTGAAGTGAATAAAAAGTGCAATTCATTGATAAAAAGCAGATAAAGAAATTTGGAGATGTGGAAGACCAAATTATTATAGATATTATACGATCTGGAATTAGAAAACACGCGTTCATGACAACAAAACCAGAAATACAAAATAAAACAGAATTACCTTGAGGACATCCTGAGCTTCTTTAATTGTTGGACTTCTCTGCTCCAGTAACGTTTTTATTTTATCCAAACCAGAACCCAGTTCCTTCACTCTACGAGACAGAATCCTGACTGGGTTGTCCATTTCCAAAAGCTGTTGAGCAGAAATATACCATTTATTAAAAAATGGTTAAAGACAGATAATCAATTTGTCAGTAGAGATAAATGTGAACGTCACCGTTTCTTCTGCATTCTGCGCAAATTGTTTGAGATTTTGAATCTTTTTTCCGATATCTGTTGGGATTTCTGTATATCGACTCTCCAGGCTTCCCATGATACGTTCAAGTTGACTCTTTACACAGAAAATGTTTTCTTGCAATTCCTTTTTGGAGGGAAAATATGCCATCTTTTATTTTTTCGGTAAAACATTTACTTTCAAACATTTATAATAAATGTATTTTCATTTATAATTATTGGATATAAAATTGATCTGCTTCCTTATGAATGATGAAAGCCTTTTTTTTTAAGCTGTTGATGCATAATGTGTGAGCTGACCTGCTTTTTGATTAGATTTGAACTCATTTCCAGCTTTGATAAGACTGCAAACATTTTTTTCTCTACATCTTGTATTTCTTCTTGAACCTGAAGTCTCTTTTTCTCCTCTTCTTCTGCTGCAGCCTTAAGAAGAAGGCTTTTCTCTTTCAAGCTGTGGGGATAAATAATGTTTAACATCTATCTCACATCTGGCTCTATCATTTCAAGAAGTCATATTAAACAAAATTCCACCTCCTAATGCTCTCTTGGATCTTCTCCCGTGCGTTGCCAATCTGTCCAAGGTTGTTGGAATCCTGGGAAAACTTTAGGCCCAAAGCGTGCATCAGCCGATGTTCCAGGAACAAAAGTGCCTGCTGCTCCTGATCCAAACCGGACAGGTGCAGCTCCACCTGCGCCAGAAGCTCTTGGGGTTCCTTTTGAGAGAAACTCACATTGGAGGCATCTGGCAGCTCGGCCTGAAGACTGGCCAAATAGCTGCAACTCTGCTCCATCTAAGCAAAGTAAAATAAAAATTTCTATAATAGCAAAGTTATACAGCACAGTAATAGCACTCAGTGGAGTTTCTTTGATCCTCCATTACTCTCTACCTGACGGTATGAATGATAAGACTCACGCTTGTTGTAATGTCCTTCCATTCCTCTCCCTTCTGTTCTGCACGGGCCAACAGGAGGCCCACGCCTCGTCTTAACGACGTCCAGTGTCTCCAGAGGGCACAAAGCTCACCATCCTTTCCAACTCCACAACCCTGAACTGGACATCCACCTCTCAGGTCATCCAACTTTCCAGCCATGGTTTGAAGATCTTCTTTTAGAACCTTTATAAAAAGATTAGGCTTGAATTAAACTTGAATCATCATTATCAGCATGCATCTTTAACATATCGCACGATAGGGATTGATAAGTTCAGTTCTAAAGTAATTCCCCACAGTCAAACAGTAATATCTTGTAACTGTTAAAATGTCAAACTTAAGGCTCTGATGGTTCCATCATCAAGAGAAGTAAAACTTGCTTTCACCTACTGTACCTTAGCTCTTTTCTGCTGAGTGATGCACTCTTCATATGATGTCACCAGCTCTGACGCACATTCTGAAATCTTGGATTCAAGATGTAAGAGTTCCTGCTTAACATCTTCATGCCACTTTTTATGGGTTTGTTGCCTTATTTCACACCTGTGAGTGGAGAAAGTATACACAAAACTGGCATAAAAACAGATTCAAAATGTAATGTTTTTTTTTGGTAATATTGTGCCATCCACAGTACCTCTCCAAGCATTCCTGTCTGAGTTTTGCCTGAGCTTCCAAAACAGCTCTCCCAACTAGCAACTGGCTGAGGATGCTGATATGAAGGCTCTCAGTCTCTGGCCATGAGAGGCAGCAATGCTGGGGCACCTTTTCCACTAGATGGTGAATGTGAGCTTGAAAGCCATCTTCAAGAACTTCCAAAGCTTCTTGGGTCTGTCTTTGCTCCTGGGTACAATCCAAAAACCTTCCTGGAGCAGACAAGAAGGTTGCCTCTGCATTATGAAGGAAGCCTATTGCTCCTTGAGCAGCCCATTGATAGTCTTTAAAGGATTCCCTGGCCTGAGACAGATTGACCTGTTGGACAAATGTCAACTGTTCAAAAACACAACATTCAAATGAGTAAATAAGAAGATTTGTTATTCTGTTAACAAGCTTACCATCAATGAATGACCCTCTTGCATTACAACGTCTCTGAGAGAATACAGCTCCTTGTAGTTTTCTAGGTTGACGTTATCTTTCTGTGCCAGGCTTTCCAACACTCGTATCCCAGACTCTACATTTGTCCTAATGAAGCAGCACTGTGATATGGCATTATCTATTGCTTTTTCATCTACCTGGACTTGTTTGATTTTTTCCAGTTGCCTCTTAGCTCTCTGTAACAGCTCCATCAATGTGGGAAGTTCAAATGAAAATTGAAGACCTGTCAAAAACTGTGCCTCCAGATTTTTCATATCGTCCGTGACAGAATGCTCCCAGGAGTTCAGCGTTTCTACCATGTGCTGAAGCTTTTCCCTCTCTGAATTAAGCTCAGTTGACTGCAACTCATTGGCTATAGCTTCCAACTGATTGGTGGTATCCTGACATTGAATACTGACAAGGGTAAGTTCAACCAGCAATGTCCGACACAGTCTTAATCTCTTAGCTATGCTCACTGACTGATTTTTAGCCTCCTCGATTTGCCTTTTGGTACATTCCATGGATGCCTCCGTTTGTCCTCTGAGGTATAAGTATCTGCTTTGATCAACAGCATTTATTCGTCGGATTTTGCACTGGTCATTCAGTTCCCCAATGAAGCACAGCACAGAGTTTCTTTGATCCTCCTGGCAATGTTGAAGCCCTTGAACCTCCCACTGATGTTCTATTAGCTTGTGCTGTAAATGTGTAATCACTGACAGAGTATTATTCAGATCAGTCAAAGAGAAGTTCTGTTTCTCCAAAGCAAGAGATGTTTGCTCTAAGTTAGCCTTGATGGTCGATAACTCCTCATTAGAGGATGTTCTCTCATGGATTAGCACCTCCAGTTCCCAGCAAATGGCTTTCTCATGAGCTAGCTGTCCATGGAATTCTGCCCAAAGGCCTGAAAGCCTGTCGACAAGGTAAAGGTTCTCACAAAGACTCAGCTCGACAGCTAATTTTGTGCATCGGTCTGAAAGTGAATCCACTAATTTGAGTTTGGTCTCCAACTTGACTGCTGCTGACTGATGACTTTTCAGCTCCCTCTCTAAATCACTGAGGTCAGCTTTCGAAACATCCCTTACATGGATGCAGGACTCTCTTTTCATGCATGTTTCTGATTCCCAGCCATCCAAGCTGGAAAACTCACACAAAACTTTCTTCCTTTCATCAAGGGCATTTTTCATGGTTTCAAGAATGTGATCAAATCTTTCAACAAGAGTTTTATTCAGGTCTGCTGTTTTACATACTCCAGGGTCTCCATTTTCCAATTGAGACGCTTCATCTCTCAGCCCTCCAACCTGCGTCTGTATCTTATCTTGTCTAGACAAAGCTTGCATCTGATATTCCCTCATTTCAGCAATCTGAAGACAAGCCTGCTCTGGAGAAAGAGACAACTTTTTACCAGAAAAAATATGATTTTCTGCTTGTTTGATCAAAATGATCAACTGTTGATGTTGGTTGTTAATTTTACTTGGAGAACTGCCTTCACAGCTTTCTGCTAAAGAGTCAAGATTGTGTTTAGTGACACAGAGCAAGGATTTTAGATTATGAAGATTTTCTTCAATTGCAGTCTTTTCCTTCTGACCCAGAGAAAAACGAATGAGGACAGCCGCCTGAGACTGTAAATGTAGGTAGAGCTGCTGGTACACTTTTAGGTCTGTGGTCAGATCATCTAGGTCTGAAGAACTTATATTGTTATTTTTAAATTTCAAAAGAGCTTCAAGTTTGGTTTTAAGCTTTTCAGTCTCGCTTATAATAAGCTTTGCCTGACATGCGGAATTTGATGCCTGTTGATCAGCTCTTTTGATGCTTCCTTTAAGGAGCCTCCATTCCTCCTGAAAATGCCCAAGCTGAGCAAAAACAACGGAAGTCTCTGCATCACTCAAGTGGACTGACAACTGGCTACTTAAGCAGAGCAAATCTTCTATCATTGATTCCTTCTGTTCCATTGTTTGCAGCAGTGCATGTAGTTTTTCAGCCAGAAGGGAACTGCTTTCCAAGGCATTTCTAAAAAAAAAAAATCAAATTAGATCACATTAATATTAGATTGTTATCTTTCCAGTATCAAGTAAGAGGAGTTGAACAGTTTGCTCACGGGCTCAGTTTTTCCTTCTCTGCTGCTATAACCTCAAGGAAAGCTGTGATGATCTTCTTCTTCAGGTGATATTGCTTAACCTGATCCAGCTGAGCCTCTTTGACTTGCACGGTGACAGAGGCATCCAGTAAAGCTGAACTCCATTCTTTCTCAGCTCTTTCTAAAGCCTTTGGATCTGAAAATGTTGCTGCATTGCTTTTAATAGCAGCCCTTTGCTCCTGCACACATTGCCTTAATTCCTACAATAAGCACAACAAGAGAGATGAAAATCATTAAGTTTAATTTGGTAAAATCTAATTTAACTGCTTCTGGATGCATAAAACTTTGTAGCATTTCAATGTTATATTTTAAAGTTAAATGAATGGCATATGAAACTAAAATCAGTCTTTCTGACTAGACCACATTACTAATGCATGCTATTGTAACACAATTTGCCATGGGCAAATTAAAGTCATACTTTCAAAGGAAACCTCTTCGATGATATTAGCACATATAAATCCTGCCAATCACAACATTCTGGTTCCCTCACATTTACAAACTATCTCAACATTTGTGATGAAAACATTCAGATGTTTTTGTTTATTTTTTGACATACCCTGGCATCCTTTAATTGCTTAGCCATTGCTGTGCTATTTAGCCGTGCTGGTTGATATCGGCAAGCCAAAACATGCTGAACCGTCCGTGCTAATCGAATGTCTTCATCATCATGGGAGGACTTTAGGTTTAGGTCCATATGAGGTGTCCCCGTAAGAAAAAAAAAGGAAGTAGAATTGAAATTTAAATGCATAGTCATTTACATTCAACCTACATAACCCCTGAAAATGCAAATGAAACAAAGTGATTCTGAAAGTGACATCATCATAGAAAGGATACCGAAGTACATTGTGTAAGTTATTCCAAGTGTAGTTGTCATGATCTCAGCACTGATGCCTGGTCTGATTACTCATTTCATACACCTGCTTAGCTCCGCTTAGTTGTCATTACCTGCTCATCTGATCCACCTGCATTAGTCACTATATAACCAGCCTTTAGACCAGTCTTCAGTGCCAGATTATTTTGAGCTGTTGGTGAGACTTATTCTAGTGATCCTGTGTTCTGACTGCCTGATCATGATCCGTTCTGCAACTCAACCTCTGAGCCTGCCTATTCCTGTTTGATCTGTTTGCCTGACCTGTCTTCTGATGCCTGCCTGATCTCTGCATGCTTGTGTACCGCCCGGAACGTTTCCTGACCACTGAGTCTGCCTACCCTCCTTCAGCCTGTCATCCCCATTGTGCATGCATTGGAAAAATTAAGTGTATTTAACCTTAATTTGAGTAGTTAAATTAGATAGTTTACCAACAGAATGAGTATTTTTACTCTTAAAATAATACAATTAGATAATATGCATTTGAAATCAGACAATGCAATTGTGTTTTCTTATTTTAAGTGTAAATTGTCTTGTTCCATTGGCAAAATTTCTCTTTAACCTCCTTAATCCAAGAACAAATACACTTATTTTAAGAAAAAAATGACTTATCTAGATTTTGATTTTTTCCAGTGATGGAACCTGGAACTGTGACCTGACTCCCTCTCAGATTCTCCTTCGGCACCTTACCAGATCTCTGAACTCCTAGCTCTGAAAACCTTCAAAGTCTCTGACATCAGCTTTGGCTTTTCCCTCTGGATTATCCTTTCTACGTTTGTCTGATCAGTTCTTATCTCCTGCCTGTCCTCTGACCTCCGATACACCTGTGTCTGGGACTCTGTGCGGCGACCACTGAGCCGCTTGGCAGCCAGCCTGCCGGAACAATCCTCTACCTCTGGACTCCGACTGTACATAACAGAAAGGTTCCTGCATTAGACGGGACGTCACCCACCGAGTACGAATTCTGTTTCCAATAAATTTTCTGACAAATCTAACCGTTTTTCAGCCTCGCATACTGGATCCTTCATTTCTGAGCCTGACAGTTATCCTAGTTGGTGTGAAGGCCTCAGTGGATTGTTAGAGGACATTTGTGAATGAAGAGTATCAAAAAGTGTGGGCAAACAGCAGACAGGACACAGAGAATCTTATGGAGATTTTTTAAAGCAGTGTTAAGTTATAAAACAACACTTTTCTTAATGAAAAAAATTAACCAATCTGTTAAAAAGGTAAAGAGTGTGGGTCAGTTGCAAGCAGACTAAGAAACGGTCCAGTCAAAGAACAGGAAGACCAAAACACTGCAGCAAAAAATAGTTCTGCATGGTACTAACCATGTGAGGATGAGTGCAAATGTTCCCCACATTTTTCAGTTTTTTTTTTTTATCTATAAAAGTTTTTAAAAATCATGTATTGTGTTCCTTCAACTTCTGTTAAATACCTTTTTGTGTTGGTCAGTTACATTCAATCCAAAGTAGCTTTAAGGTTATGAATATACAAAAAATTGTGAAAAATAATCTTAGAAGTGACTATAGATAAATAAAACAGTAATACCACGTCACATAAAAGCAAATATGTTAACACAGTCCAATAAAGAATTTAAACAATCTAATGTAACGTAACATGCTTATTTCTCTTGGTCTACATGACGGGTAATTAGACCCTGTAATAACCCTCCAGGAAATGAATCTATCCTTCCTGTTGGTCCCTCTTCTGGCAGCATCATGGGAATATTCAAACATCACTCAGGTCATCTCAACTCCTTTCTCTCTAATCCAGTGGTTCCCAAAGTGTGGGGCGCGCCCCCTAGGGGGGGCGCAATGCCATTGCAGGGGGGGCGCGGGAAGCGGTATGGATGAATGAAGGAAAAAAAAAAAAAAAAAAAAAAAAACAGCGCTTGCTTGACTGAGCATAATGGACAGTTGTGACACTGCAACCCAGATTTGAGAATATCTGCAGCAACAAGCAGGCTCACTACAGCCACTGAAAAGATTGGAGGATTAAAGTACAAAGAAAAAACTCTCAGGGAGCTGTTCAATGTTTTCACTCCATTTTGCACAGAGGCTTTTTTAATGTATAGATTATAGCAAAGTTAAATATTGTTACAAATAAAAAAAAAAGAAATATGTTTAAAATAACACAGACAACAAAGAATCCTCTTCTAATCTACAGTATAGAACTATTAAAAAAATACTGTTACACAAAAGTGTTCCACTGTAAAGATGGTCTAGTTGGTTTTGTTGCAACCTGAAGTGTGAAAGAAACTTCAGTGTAGTTTGAAAACAAAATATGTGTATAGATTTATTATATCTGGTTGAACGATGTGTGTGCCCAGTTTCTTCTTTTTTTTTTTTTTTGGGGGGGGGGGGGGGGGGGGGGCGTGGGGTGGGGGTGGGGGGGGGGGGTGGTTTGTTTGGGGTGGGGGGGCGTGGAAATTTTATTGTAATCCAAAGGGGGGCCCAGAAGAAAATCTTTGGGAACCACTGCTCTAATCTAACATGCGTTCATGATTTCTTGCTTTATTTGGAAACCCAGATCTAAACTCATGTGAAAGTACCAAACAAACATGTTTAAAAATTATATTATCTTTAAAAATATTTGCTGTATTGTGTATACTATGAACGTACAATTACAGGTGTAAAGATTTGAGTCTTTCTTTAGTAGATCCAGGCAGCTTAAAAGCTCTTTATAATTTAAGAATAGACTTGTTTAACATCATAAACAGAGAATACTCACCTTTATGATGTGACTCTGCTCCACTGAGCCTTGAATCTCAGATAATCTTTCTTGTAAGGTGGAACTGTAGTTGTAGGTTCCTTGTGATCCACCTGTCAGCTCTTCAGCACCTGGACCACATTGTAACCCCGGCAGGTTCCTCTCAGGCTCCATGCTTTCTCTGCTCTGAGACTAGATGGGAACAATCCAGGGTGGTGTCACAGCATTTGTCACAGTAGCATTTTTCTCTGATGTTTGTCCACAGATAGCAACAGTGCTTCCTGTTTCTTTTTTCCCGCCTCCACCAGGGCAAATATCAGGCTGTCAGTGTCCCAGCGAGTCAGTACAGTTAACACAAGAATGTGCCTGAGTGAGTGAGGAAGAGTGAGATGCCCCGGGGGTGAAGGATTCCCTCCCCTCTCCTAAAACTGTGTTGATTCCGGTTTATTTGGACAACCAAATTTTTTACAGCGTGGCCTAACTGGGCAACAAAACTGGTTACTAGACTACAAAGAACGGTGGTGCCTTGCTAAATTAGAGGAGCTTGACAAAGGTGTGTATTGTTGCTGGTTTCTATGTGATGTCAAAACAGGACATATATGCAGATTTGCAACCAGGAAGAGAAAATTATCCACATTAGGAAAACCTAGAACTGCTTCTTCCACACTTATTTGGTAAAAACAAGCAACATTAAGAAGCAGCTTTTATTTTAATGCATTCTTATTTTTTCACGCTCTTAGGTAATTATTTTTACAGATTTTACTGAAAAGGTAGCAATTGAAATAAGGCTTTAAAAATAATTGAATTATCAAGAGATCAAATATTCTGTTAGATTTCACTAAGCAGGATGCAAAACTATTGTTCTTGTCCACCTGTTTAAAGTCAAAATTTTAAATATAGGAGAAAAAAAATTATAAATTAGTAAAACCTTTATAACAGAAACCTATTTCATACAACAGAGTACAGCTTTATTCACTGGCTGAACAGTCAACCCTGTAAACAGATGTTAACCACGATAAGGACTGATGATGTAATGACATACTTTTTTTTTAAAAACAAATCCAAAAGAAAAACTTCAGGCATCTAGAAACAACTGGAAGAAACCTGAATGCTAAAAGAAGTGACAGGAGACAGGAGAGAAGTGCGTTAAGAGGCAGACTTTTCAGAAAGTATCTCTTGGCACTGAGCCCAGCTTGTGCAGCCCTTGGCTCTAATTTTAGCTTCTCTTTTGTGGATTTCCAAAAACCTTCAAAATGAACTTTTGAAGATGAGTGACATTCATATAGCAAACCTGTACTATCATCATAAAATAAGAGCTTTAAAATTGACTTTTCTCTCTCCACTTTTCTCTCTTGGTCTCTCCCTTATTCTTGACTGTGAGCTACACCTGTAAATTTCAAAGACAACTTTGCCTCACGATGAAAATCTTAAAAAAATTGAGTAAAAAAAAATGGGTACGGGCATATATATATATATATATATATATATATATATATATATATATATATATATATATATATATATATATATATATATATATATATATATATATATATATATATATATATATATATATACATAAATACATATATACATAAAACCTTGATCCAGCGGTTAAAGACTTGTAACCTCTGGATAAATGTTTCAATGTTTTGTTTCTGCTTTGATCCTTAACCTCCTGTGCCCTTGCTGAGCCATTTAACACCGATGATGTCATTATTTTCTCTAAGCTTTAAAGCTACCGACTTCTGAGGTAAGTATAAGAATGGAGAAAAGAATAAATAAAAAAGTGCTTGAAAACATATCCTGGCCTTTACACTGATAGAATTTCTGGTCTCAGAAGGCCTGGGGACTGTAGAGCAGTTAGAATCTGTTTTAAAGGGGTTAAATATGTTAAATACAAGGTTTGGGGCCTCATCTTTTAGTATTTTTATCAGATTTCAATTTTATTAATTCATTATTACATTGAGAAAGCAAAATAATTTAATAGAAGAAATGTGCCACTAGCTTAGCTTACCTTCACCAGTGGTAACACAGTTTCCTGCAGCACTCCATTTGGTTTCCGTTTGTTTTGTCCATCCAGCAGTGAAGGACTCTCTCGTCCTGTTGGTGTTGCACAGTGTTTCCCATCTGCGCATTCAGAATCAGAAGCTCCTCCCTGCGCTGCCCCCTCACCGTTGTTCATTCCACCGTAACCAGTCATTATGTGTTTATTGTTACTTGTATTCATTTGCATTGCAGTTTCGATTTCCCCTTGATTTGGCACTGGATCTTCTGCAGAGCACAGGGCAGGGCTCTCAGGTTTTCCTTCAGCTTGACAGATGTTCTGCTCCTTTTTGCTGACTTGAAATGTTGTTTCAGCTGAATGCTCAGTCTCAAACATATGTGATTTAGACAATGTCAGCGCCTCTTCATACTTTGATTGGGTTGATTGATTCTCCTTACTTTTAATTTGGGAAACCAGGGAGGTTGCTTCAGACTCCAGTTCTTTTACATGCAACCCAGGGCTGCCTGAAATGGGTAAACATGTTGGTTTCTTCTCACTAAATCCACTGTTTGAATTATCTTCTAGCTTTATATCACAGTGTTGAGCCTCTAGGGACCACCTGAAACCATCTGGGCTGCTGGCCCCAGTGTATCCACTTGGTTGTATGTCCCATGAATGCATGTCCAACACTACGGTGAACACTTTATCTTGACTTCCACTGACTAGCTTATCATGCCTGTCTTCCTTTGCACAGAGACCTTCCTTAAAAGCCTCTGAATGTGCAGCTTTCATACAGGGAGGTTTGTCTGACTCTGGATGGACTCCTACTGGGGAGAATCCAGTTGCCTTCTGAGGGAACTCAGTCAGATCTTTTTCCTGACTGCACCTAAGCACATCTGGATTGCACATAGTCGTGTTTTCCTCTTGCTGCATTCTTTCAGTCTCCACCTCAGGTTTGACCATAAAAACTTCTGTTGAGCTCACAGAATATTTTTCTTTAAAGGCATCACATTTATCAGATTCTGTTGGGAGATGTTTACCCACATGGTAAATGGTCTGAATGGTTGATTCAGATGATTCTTTTAGTGGTGTGATTCTAGGTAAATTACTGCTTCTGTTAGGACTATCTGAATCAGATGGATCTAAGACCAAGGCTGAGGTAAAGCTTCTGTGCAACACTTCAATACTTAGCGTCTCGGTTGTAAATATCTCTGTAGTATTACCAGATGGTATCACCCCCAATTGACTTTGATTATCATAATCTGACTCAGCTGAAATCTGTTGGTTTATTTTTCCTGAACCAAATGAAGGCACTTTTGTTTCTGACACATCTTTGCTGTCGGAGCATGGTGCTTGAATTTTAGCTAAATCATCATCTTTGTTAACCTCCATGATAATTCCTTTTTTACTCATAATAGAGCTGTCTTCTTGAGTCGATTTGGTGGGATCAGTTTCCTCCTTTAACGCTCCTGGTAGACAGGTTTGAGGTTGGGTTAAATTCTGGCTTTTGTCACCATTTTGGTGACTGTCTGTGTCTGTTGCAGGTGTTGATGCAAAATCACACATGTCTGCAGCTTTTTCCTCTACATCTAAACATGTGGTTCCATCTTCATCGCTTAAACAGCCATCTTCACCTTGGTTTGGCCGCTCCTCCATTTGCATTCGTTCACAACCGACCTTGTAAATGTTATTAAAACCAAAAAATATTCAAATGAGCTTTTTATAATTCATTTTACACGCTTATAACTGCTAAATTCTTGAAATGTGAGATCCTCACCAGGCGTTTAGAAAGAGAATCACTTAATTGTTGACTTTCATTTAGAACCTCTGATGCAGTTTTCATCACTTCTTCTCCAAGAATATCTACAAAAAGGCCCCGCTGGGCGAGAACGTCGCAAAGTGTCTGTTGAAGCTGGAAACATTTATCCTGATCAACCTATGGAAGAGCCAAAAATCGTTAAAAACACATGTTTTTATCATACCTATTACTTTTATCATTTATTGGTTCTAATTTTATTAAATAGTTCAAGCCCCACTCCCACAGACTGCCACTCTGGGTCCCTGAGCAAGACACTTAACCCGATACTGCTCCTTGGTTGCCCCACGATGGCAGCCCTGTTCCCCAAGAGGATGGGTTAAATGCAGAGATAAACTTCTCCAATGTGAGATCAATAAAGTTCAATTATTATCATTAAATATTATAGAAAAATTAGTCTGTGCTGTGGATTAGCTGGGTTTTACACCAAAACATTTTTTGATACTCACGAAAACACACCTTACACAGAGGTTCTTTATTTAAGTTTAAAAGCAAATCATGAACTGGAATTCAGACTTTTTATGTCCAACAAGAATAGCAGCAGGGGGATGCATCTTTTGCTGGTATTATAATTTACAGGACAAACTGTGGCGTTTTAACGCTCAGTAAAACATAAGGAAGGAAAATGCATTTTGTGACTGAGTGGCAAAAAAAAAAAGTAAATTTCAAGTTGTTAACACAAAGTGTAGGTCCATAAAAGGCATTGGAGTGCTGGGGCGTTTTTGACTGACTGTTTAAACGTAGTCAAAATTTGAATTTACATCTGTCCTAGTAAATTTGTCAGTTTTAGAGGAAAAGGACTTTGCAAACTTAAGCATGTATTTCTGCAAAGAAAAAACGCTGAGTTATTATCAGTCATATATTTGCTGCTATCGCTTTAGTTCCTGACATTACAGTTTCATTAAAAAATCCACAGAAAATTTAATACAGTCCAGAAAAAGCATGGAGAAGCTCTTTGAGCAAAGGAAGAAATGTTTTTGGGTTATAGTTAACGCAAAAGATGGCTGATTACCAGAATCAAAGTATAAAAAAGGGGTTAAACTAATAGATAGGAAATATTTTGTAAAGTTTCAGAGAGGGCAACAAAGTCCTTTCCTTCCATGCCTGTTGATCTGCACAGGTTAGCTGAGGAAGGCTAGTACATAATTCACTACCTTATATGACAAATTTGGTCATTCAGAAATAATTTTCCTATTTAAAATTATTTAAAGTGTCACAACAGTCGAAACTTGAGATGGTTTTTTTTTTACTACAGATAAAAATTCACCTGCCAAAGAGTGACAGACTGACCCGACCAGATAACCCACCTAATTATTTAACAATTATCACTTTGTTTTAGCAATCATGTTCCATTTGTAAAGGGTGAAATGGTAATTTTTCTGCACAATTACTGTTTAAAAACTACAACTACATTTAAGGGATTATTCATTCTATAGTTTCAAATAACAATTTTCTGAATTCCATTTTAAAAAACAATAAATAAATGTTGAAGATATCTAACTAATCAATGTGTAATTTTATGAGCATTTTAAATCCAAGCCTGATCGATGCTTATTTGCTATTTTATAGAAGTACATGTTTTTAAATTACCTGACTGCGTGATGATGTTGGAACTTGTGCGGCTCGGCTGCATTGCTGTAGCTCTCCGATGAGTCCTCTTACTGTCTCAGCGGTTACTTCTAAATACTCTTGCTTCTTCTGGTTGAAAACTGACTTGAGGCTATATTTGGGACAAATATAGTCAGTTTTCATGGAATTCAAACTGTTTTTATCTTGGTTACTCTAACATAAACCACCACATTGATAACTCTGTTACTCTGCTGCAAATTTTATTGCATTATCAGATGAGCCTGATGATGTAGGCTGTGTTATCTCATTTGCACTTTTGTCTTCTCTTTCTTTAATCTTTTCTCACTTTTTTGTAGTGTCCACATAACATGAATTATTTCCTACATGAATAAAGGTAATAAAACTTTTTACATATATAAATCAAGCAAAGCATTATGGCGAAAGCGATAATGCTCCACTTGTGGCCTATTTGGTAGGGCATTGCGCTTGGATCCTAGAGGTTCTGAGTTCAAGCCCCATTCCCACGGACTGACAGTCTGGGTCTCTGAGCAAGGCCCTTAACACCACACTGCTCCCCAGGTGCCGCACAATGGCAGCCCACTGCTCACCAAGGGGATGGTTTAAATGCAAACAGTGAATTTCATTGCTCTGCACTTGTGACAGTGTAATGACAATCAAATTAATCTGTTGGGCTCTTTCTGGCATTAATTTTATTGCCACTTGCCAGACAGGACACACAAAAAAAAAAATAAAGTTGGAAATAGTGGTAGAGTGAGGGAAATTGTTTTTTTTTCATTCAGTCCAGAATTTCCTTGCTAAATTAGGAATTCCCTGGTTTTTCATAAATAGTAAGAAACAGAAATATAATTTTATTGTCAGTGGAAATGTTTGTCAGAGCAAAGCAAATGGGCAAATGGATGCAAACAGGTTCACCAGTCACACTATAAGAAAAAGTTACAAGGCTATAAAAGCTATGGGAATTGAAATAAAAAACAGGAATCTAAAATGAAAAAAAGACTGTACAGTAAAGGAAAAAAGAACTATGTCTGACCCTGTTTAACAATAAGATCTACAATCTACTATCCACAAACTTTGACAAAACATGACTTTACAATGTTACACAGTGTTATCCTTTGTGAGATGCATGATTTATTTCATAAATCGAGAACATGTACCTGGAAAGGTCTTTTAAAACAGTGCTGATGGTAAAAGCTGCCTCTGCAGGAAGCGTTTCCTGTGTTTCTCTCATCCTCTTCAGGTCATTAACTCTGGTAGCCAACTCTGTCATCCTTTTATCACAGTCCTGACAAACACAATACTTATTTTACTTAAAACATCCACATACATGTGTGGTTCAATCAGTTATCTGGGGATCTAATAACTTTTTACAGCATTTTTTTTATGTTACCTGCATTGCCTGCTGCTGTTGTGTCACCTGGCGGATATCTGGCAACACAGACAGCTCCTCCACATTTTTGGCCAGACTGCTTAGATCTGTCTGTATGAGAAAAGCTCTTCTCCTAACTTGTTGAATTTTTTCTTCCTGCAGGATTGAGGGTTGAATGAGTTCTTTGAGGCCACATTCTATTGCCCTCTTGTGGTTTTGAAGAGTACTGATCTGATCAGAAAGGGTGGCTTGGCCTTCTGCTGTGGAACTGGCTATAAAGGAGTCCCTCAGCGTCACAAGCATTAACAGATCTTCTTCAATTTCAGCAACTTGTTTCAGCAAAGCCTTAAGAAAGGAAAGAGATCAACATGTGAAACAATAAATTCCGATACATGAGGATTCCAGTTAAAAATAACTATGTGTTTAAGTCAGCGGACAGAGAGTGTATGGTTATCTTTCTGAAAGGGTTGTACCTCCAGAGCTTCTGCATCAGGCTTCAGACCGCCTAAGCTGTCCTTTGGGCTTTGGAAGGCTGCTATCCTCTCATAAAGAGCTGTCAAACGATGGCGGCACTCTTTCAGTAACTGGTCAAAGTGTTCTTCATCACTCAAACCTTTATCAAGCCGCGCACACAAACCCTGTGGACATTCCAGGCAGACAGAGCAACAGTCTTAAACTGAGATCTCAGAAAACATCTTTAAACCTGTTCGTCATGGTATTTTAAAGATAAAGTCTGACATCCATGTGATAACTGACCCTCCTTTATTACAAAATAACATTATTTATGAAAAAAGTAGGATACACTTTGTTTATTTATCATAAATGCTTGTAAAAGCTAGAAAACTGTTTGAATAATTGTAGAAAGAAGGTCTTTTTTTTGGTATTGACCAAATTAAAAGTCTCGGCCGAAAAGCAGTTAAATAACTTTTTACTTGCGGTTTTGATCTATTGGTCTTTAATCACTGGCGTTATTTATACATTGTTCAGTTTTAGATACATGATCATTTATCTGTGGGGTATAGATTAATTAACCATAACAAACTCAAAGTATATGTCACCTTGCAAAAAAATATCTGACGAATAAAGGACACAGCTATTTATTTGTTTATGTTTTTTAATAGATAAAAAAGAAAAGCATTTTTCTTAATGTATTTTCCGTTTTTCATACTGACTCAGACCTAAAAAGTGGAGACAATTGTATTCTATTATTTCTCATGTATTTCAGGGTGGCGTTATAACCCTTAAAACACATCATGCTAATATTTTACCTTTATTGTTGCCATAAGTGCTGACTGACGGGTCTCTAACTCATCCCAGGAGGAATCTTTCCACACAGGGTTCCTGGTTTTGTTAGCCAGCTCAATTCTCTTCTCCTCCAGGTTTATTAGAGTTAAGTTCAGTGATTCGGATTCAGCCTCCAGCTGACGGGCCAGGAGGGAGGCCTGTGCACGCTCAGCTGTGCCCGGCCAGGGGAAGGGAGCAGAAAGCTGTTCAGCCTGGAGCTGCAGCTCCTTCACTTTACAGCAGGCCTCTTGTCTGCTGGTCAGATACAGCGAGGTGAGCTCTAAATCATCTTGCAGCGCCCTACAGCAACAGAAGACAGGACAATTATAAAAACGGGACCACCAAAGGAGGTGATGTTCTGGTGGTTTAAACATGAACTTTTCAAAGATATATATTTGGGTCTGTTTACCTGTAATAAGGCTGAACTGATTCTAAAAGGTTCTTCCACTCTTCCTCTGTTTTCTGAATCGTTGCCTGAACCTTTTGTTTTAGGTCTTCTTCCTGTAATCTTTGGATCAGACAATCTCCAGTAACTCTGAGCTCCTTTAGGCAACCTTCTGCTACTGTTGTTACATTTAACACAGCCTGAAACAAAAATATATGTTTGTATTTATCACAAAAAGTCCCAATGACTCCATATATTTAACAGATTACTGTTTGACAGCTTTGCTTGGCAACCTACTATCCCTGTTTGTTCAGCTTATGAGTCACTGTACATGAATACTGCTTAGTGAAGAACTGGTTGGACCGAATTTAGACAAAGAGCGAAACAAAGCAACACGTTACAATGCTTTGTAAACATATTAATATGACAGACTAACACAAAGTAGCTGTAATTGAGAGGTAGAGAGAACATAACACACATTTTATCATTTTTAAAAGCATTTTTTTTAACAGCATCCCTTCAGTATGATGCTGCCAGTGCCACCTCCATGTTTCCTAATATAATGAATGGTGGTGTTGCTAAATACTTTTAGAGGGCTCTGCAGCTTTTATTAGAGGCATCTATAAAAGCACATGCTTTAAAGGTTTATTATCCTTGATGTGGATGCAACTATCAAATATAGAGTAGCTCACTACTGTATTTTAATACTTGTTGCATTAGTGGCTGAATTCAAGTGGTACCAGAAGAAGGTGTTATTAGTTAAAAATGCAAAAAATAAAATAAAAATACATGTCAGTTATAATTTCCTTTTACTGGTTGTTTAGTTTATACTTAATAGTAAAAAATTTATAGTAAAAAAAAAATGTGATTGATGTTAAAGGTAGAGTGGAGGATTTTCTAAAATTTTTGAAAAGACCCGCCCTCTCCACTTAAAAAAAAATGCACATATACAACCCTGCGGTGTTGTGGTCAAGACCACCTAACCCGAGACCAAGACAAGACCAAGACCAGAGTGTATCGAGACCGAGACAAGACCAAGACTTTTAGGGTCCGAGACCAAGTCAAGACCAAGACCAGCGCCAGTATGTGACAATAAAATGTGAAACATGATCAAAATCACTAAAATTGATCTAAAAGACCCACATTCACATAAAAACACCTAGATATTTAACACAGAGAACTGGAATAAATATATACATCTTTATTTAGTACTTCTGTGTAGTAATCACAGAATTTCAAACAATTAATCAAAGTCGATCAAAATTGTATTTTCTCTGCCGTTCATGAACAGTACATACATTTATGTTGTTTTTAAATGTGCTATTTCAAAAAAATGTGCAAAATTCTGTAAAATGTGTAAAACTGAAAAAAAGCCAATCATTTCTCTTGTTTCTCTAGATTAAAGCTAAATTATATAACTTTTCTTAAATAAATCTATATCTGTCACCAAGTTGTGAAATATGTTATGAGGCAGATCATTTGTTGAAAAAATAGATTGATCTCCTTCACTGCATTTACCAATTAGACAGGTTATTGCTTGGATTTGAATCCAAGCATCCATTAAAAAGAAGGATCTTAAAGAAACTGATAATATTCTGATGATTAGCATTATTTCCACAGTTGTGGTCTTGACCGGTCTTGAAATAAAATGCCGAGTCCTCAGCGCCCGAGACCGAAACAAGGCCGAGACCAAATGCGGTCAAGTCCGAGACGAGACCGAGACCATAAAAAAATGGTTTCGAGACCAAGACCGATCTCGAGTACTACAACACTGCAACCCTGTACTCCATCCTGAGAGGGAATGCCTATTAAACACGTGCGAGAGCATGCACAAGCCCATTCTCCTCGTGCAAGATCATACAAGATTACTGTCTAAAAGAAGAATTGCAATTTTCCACTATGTCAGACTTACCACTAGTAAGTGAAAAGAGGGGTGAGCACGTAGGACGGCCTTACGTAAACATATCACCAGAATGATTGACAATTAGGAGGACCATTTATTTTGATGATCCACCCAGAAATAGAACATCCTCCACTTTAACTTTACGCTAAATGACACAAACCTATCATATAGTTCTGGATTTCAAATATTTTAAGAAAGTTTGTGTTTCCCAATGTGGAAAATGTTCCTACCAGAGCACAATGAAGACTCTGCTCTGCGGAAGTCCTTATTTCACAAGCATCAGCGAGAGGAAAGTCCACACTCCGTCTCAGATCGTCAAGCCACGACTGAATGGATTTGACCAAACCCTGAAATATTTCCAAATCATTTGTCATCGAAGGGGTCGCCTCTTGTAAGCCACCTCCGATGTTTGTGAGAAGGTTGTGGTATCGTTCTAGCAGTTCACTGCTCTGATCCAGAAGCAAAGACTGAGGAAGGCTGCTGCTTCTTAAAGATGATACCAGCTTAGCTATAAGCTCTGTCCTCCCCCTGCAAATCACAGAGAGAAGAGTCACAGTGAAATTAACTCTTAGTGTGACCAGGTGGAAGTTGGCGACTTTGTCCTGTGGGAGTTTCTTAAAATCAAAGATGAGCAAAAAGGATTTTAAAAAATCTATTAACTGATTCATATTCTGTTTATTACATCTGCTTAATGATTAATGAAAGTTCTGAATTTGATTAATGTATATCTACACCAACATTTTTTCTAATAGTGTGAGTATCTCTGATCATTATAAAATGTTTTATCAAATAACGATAAACATTTTGTGTATAAAAAAGGGATTTATGCCAAGGTGGATCTATCTTAAGTTGAATATCTATTTAAATTGGTATAAAAATCATCCAGATTGCAGATTTATTTAAACAAAATGTACTGGAAAATACATAATTTTTGTTAAATTCCTGAAACTTAAGGCAGTATTGTGAACTATATGGCACATTTGAATGAAAAAAGCAGTTTTAATGAATAATATTGATAAGTTATAACTGAAATACGTTTGATTTGAGCCTTAAAAACTTCAGAGCAATTTACCTTTCGTGAAGAATTTCCTCTTGCAGAAGAATACGATCCTTCACCTTCAGTGCCTTTTCCTCAGCTGTGTGAAGCCACTTTTCCAGCTGCTCCTTCTCCATACGCAGCCTGCAGCATATGTAAAGCGTACAAAGATCTCAGGCTTAATGCACAGATTGCACGATATATGAAAAAATACAGATGATTAAAGAGATTAAAGTGAGAGACACTTTGCCACTCCCAAAACAAGCTGAACTTGCAGAGGCTCTGTCTCTGTCTCGTTTATCCTGTTTTCATGTCAGACTGTTCAACGTTTGTTTAAAAATCAAAGAGAGCCTCAAGGCTAACTGTTTTCTGATTTTGTAATATACATAAAAGCTTAAAAAATGTTTTAAGGCCTGTGACATTTTTTTAATAAATTCAGACAAAAATTACAAGAAATTACAAGAATCCAAATATAATGTTAGATCCTCATGAAATGTATGAATTTTAGTGACTACAGATGAATGAAAATATAAAGTTACCTGTCCAAATGTTTTATATTCCTCTCAGTCTGCTCCTCCACTTCAGAGAAAAGCTGGTGAGTGTTTTTGATCTTCTCTTCCAGCTTAATCCCACTGACAGACAGACTCTGGAGGCTCTCAGGTGTGGCTATGGAGGCCAGAACCTGCACATCCTCCAGCAAACTCTGCACCTGTTCCTCTTCAGTGTGGAGCTGCCGACATAATTCCTGCAGGGAAAGATGTTAGAGATTAACTTTTTAAAACACTGAAATGTTGTGAGATGATTTGGCCAATTTCAGCCAAATCTCTGGTTAAAACTCTCCCTTGATGTCATGGTAAGCCTTTATGATATTTTTTCATGCACTTTTTAAACCACGGATAGACTCAAAATATCAGGTAAAATGATGATACATGACTCATAAGGTACAAGGAATGTAAAGGAAGTGAAAAGGGCTGAAAGAAAACCAGAGAGGAATATATCTGCACATAGGATTTAAAATTTGCGCACATGATTACGGAGGGATGGGGCAGAGATTGAGAGAGAAAATAAGAAAACCTGCCGTTAAAATAAAGACTGAGATCCTATATCTATGTAGACACATTCACTGATGAATAAACAGCTTGTGAGAAAAAGTTAAAGGCTTAATACTAAAAGGGTCTAAATTGGTCAAAGAGTATTTTGGATATATATATGTATATGTATATATATATAAATATATATATATATATATATATATATATATATATATATATATATATATATATATATATATATATATATATATATATATATATATATATATATATATATATATATATATATATATATATATATATATATATATATGTATATACATATATATACATATATATACATATATATGTATATGTATATACATATATATATACACATATATATACATATACATATGTATCTGTATATACATGTATACATACACATATATATGCATACATATATATATATATATATATACATATATATATATATATATTTATACATATATACATACACATATATATATATATATACATACACATATATACATACACATATATATATATATATATATATATATATATATATATATATATATATATATATATATATATATATATATATCAGCAACTTTAGTAACTGAATATAAATAATGGTAATTTTGAAAACTTTATAAAACGGAGATATATTAATTTGCTACTTGCTTACATTTATCAATCAAACCACTGCTGTTGAGCTCCGTCTATAGATCTTAATCATCAAACTGAGAACATCTGAAAGGGGTTTTTGAGGTGAAGGTTTCAAAAATCATAAAATAAGCTAAGCATGTTTGCAGCCGATATTCAGCTACCTTAAGTTTCCCCAGCACCGTCTCAACATCATGACCAGAGAGATTGTGGAGGGAGTCCTGAATCCTCTGGAGGGAGCTGAGAGATTCTGTCATCCTTTCAGAAATTTGTCCCATAGTGGCCACCATCTGGTTATACACCTCCTTACTTTCCAAAAAAAGCTCCTTCACTTGCTCTATTTTCTTATTCATCTGAGTCTCAGCCACCTTAAAAACAGACAAATAAAATCTCTCATAGTATTTTCTACAGCAAAATATGCTCCACATATTTCAGATTGATAAATAATATTACTAAAAAAATATTATATCAGGAATTATTAATTCAAAAAGTCACTTTATTAAATAAAATGTATTAATTTAAATAGATACGATGTAAGGGTTAAAAGTGATGTGCCTAAATATGATCATAAAGGCACAAATGTGTCATAAAAATATAAAGCAGAAAGTCTAAAAAATATATAATTTGAAATGCTACCAGAACATTTTTACATCCATTCATCCATTTCAGCCCCAAAAGCTACCTGCAGCTCCAGAGGAGTCTCTGCGCTTTGAAGCAGCGACTGAATCTCAGCAACTCTTTGGTGGAAACGCTCTGCACTCTCCTCTTGGGTCATAATCTCATTCTGCAGCCAGAGTAAAAGAAGTTAACGTCTTTCAAAAAGTAAGCTGGGGAATCAGAATCAACATCAGTTCATATTCTAGCACACAGATGGGCTCAGTTTTACCTGCAATCCCTTTACGTCGTCCTCAGTTTGGAAAGAGGGACACTGAGAAAGCACAGCTATTCTACCTTTGGTCCAACTCTCCACTTCCTCCCCCATCTGCAGGAGTCCATCCCATATGGTCAAGCAAAGATGGAAGTTTTCAAGGTGGGAATCGGTTCTTTCAGATAACTGAAAATAATTATTTTTCAATAACATGTCAGTTATAGAATTAAGAATGAAATATAATATTAGTACAAATTTTAATAAAGATTAGAAATAATTATATCATTTAGGCTGTAGTTTCTCCTCTTATACAGACTAAGACTTAGATGTTTTTATAATTTAAATACAAAAACACTGCATTAGCATTTAGCCTAGAGAGGTGAAGGATAATCCTAATAACGATGCTTGTAGCTGAGATCCGCGTCCTGAGCATTATGGACCCTAATCTGCTTATTTTTTTTATTCTTAATTGCATCATCCTTTGTCACCCTCCAAAACACAGAAAGAACAGCAAAATATATCAAAATATGTCTGCAAACTGGTTGAACTTACATCCAGCCAGCGATCCATGAGTGCATCCGCTTCCCTCTCAAATGGAGCAGCGTTGCAGCCTGGGATCTGACGCAGGATAGACTGAAATTGTCTAGAGATACAGCGGACCTCCTCTATGTCATCCCCGAGACCATTTAACTCTTCTTTAGTTTCCTTAACCTTCAGAAACACACACAGATTTTACCTTTGAACTTCCCTCAGATCACACTGACGTTGACTTTTTTTTTACTAATAAGGGGACTTTGATAAGTAATTGGTTGCATGAATTGTATTTTGGGATATAGAAGTGAAGTGCTAGAGGTATACATCCTTTGCAAGGTGGTGTATGCATAAAGCTAAACATCCTGCTGTACCTTAGAATATAGCCTCTGCAGGTAGTCTCTTCCTATGTAGGATGCTTGTTCACCTATGGTTGTCTCAGCTCTCTGCAGAGTGCCACTAAGCTCACTATGCATGCTCTGAAATTTCCTCAGCAGCTCTGTCAGGAAAACAGTCTGCTCCAACCTGTGTGTAGATCCAAACAAAAACGCATCAATAAAACACATCGACAGAAATGTCACAGCTAAACCCGACTTTATTTTTACCGTTCTGATGTGGCTTTCATCGTCTCCTTCCAGAGACCCTCAGTTTCACTGCTCTGGTTCTCCTCTGGAATTCCTGGTTTTGAAAAAGCATCACGTATATACTGTACCTCAGAGCCGAGGTTGGCAAGACGGCTTTCCAGCTCTGTCAAAGCACGCGTCCTATGGAGAAGATTCAGTGGATGTAAGAGGCTACTCACTTTTTATGTTCATTGCAGCTCTATTGATTTAATACAATAGTCTAGATTATTGTTTGAACACAGATATCACACAAGATTTGTATTTATTTAACTGCTTTAGCTCCAGTAGGCTCAGAAATGTGTTGACAGAACCAGCTAAGTGTTGTACCTCTGCTGCAGAGCAGGTATTGAGGCTTCCATTAGCTCCAGCCTCTCTGCTGCAGCCTTGGTCTCTCCCAGCACATCTAATAACGCAGATTTTCTCTGAACCAAACTCTCATGATCATTTTCATCTCTCCCAGCCTGACTGTTGGTGGTTCTTTGTCTCTGGTCTTTGTTTTTTAAGAAACCCTCTTCAGATCTCCATATCTGAACTTTGTGTTCTTGAAGCTTTTGCATTTCTGATTTATTGTCTCCTTCCTGTTTCATCCTTTTGACCTCCAACATTGATTCTTCTTCTTCTTTAACACTTGTAGCAGACTGGTCCTGGTCTTGCTTTGCTGAATCATTTCTCCATGTATCTTTGAGACCCATTTCCTCTCTGTTTTGGATTTCTTTACTTCTGGATGTCATCTGCTCAAACACAAGGTCTACCAACACCTGACATGTAACAGAAGCACCATCCATGGTCAGAGTCATCCCAATCGCCTTTAAACTATTGTCAATAATATGAGATTTCTCCATAGCATGCTTCAGTCTCTCCATTGTTGACTGTCCAGATAGTCTTTCCCCTTCTTGATAGGGGTCCCAGTTCGCCATCAGGGTTGGGTTCTCAGCCTTGATGTTTTTCAGGGTGGCCAGGAAGTTATCCAGGTCACGTATAGTGGACTGAACCTCCTCCAGCTGCTGTCTGAGCTGCTCCAGATGAGAAAAATCACTGAGGAGTGGCTGGCAGAGGGATGGCTGCGATGACCCCCGCTTTGATAGCCTTCCCATTTCCTCCTTCAGTGTTTCGTCAATCTCCTAGGATACACATCAAGGATTAATGCTAATATTTGCATATTTTAATCAGAACTGGTTGAAAATGTTAGTTTACCTTAAGCTCTGAAAACACTGTGGATTCAACCAACATTAGAGAGGAGACGTCCACAGAGCGCCTGACTTTCTGATCCAGTTTATGTGCTGTTATTGTCCTCCGATTGTCTGCAGACTCCATCAGATAAGAGGCTTTTTTCAGAGGCTCTATTTTTCTGCACCAGCGATCATAAAAAAGCCACATTTTAATAATGCATTGTGTTAATCACAGAGTTAAAATATTTTATCAAGAATAGAAAATTCATATTTTTCATTAAACATAGTTAGATCAAACAAGTTTTACAAAAAATCTCTGAGTGACTATTTTATTATGTTTGATTCGTTTGTATCATGCAAAACTGAAAAAGAAGTTTAGAGTTTTAATTGATACTTAAAAAGAAAGAATATCTTTTGTTCTCTACGGTCATTCAGGGTAAATCTGCTAATTTTACATTTTAGCCATAAACCCAAACAAAGACAAACATGTTCACATGTAAAAGACAGTTATGTCTCTGGAAAGCATCGCCAAATCAAATGAAAGTTTTTGATCCTATAAACTTGATCGTATGTGTAATGTAAGCAACAATATGTCACAGCTTTTAAAGCTCCAGCCCAGCAGGGCAAAGTCCTTCAGCCATCCCAACTCCCACTGATGGCAGCAAGGACACAGTGAGCCTGTGGGAGTCGAAAAGGCATTCGCTGCCAGTCTTTAGGGTCATGCTGACCACAAGTTGGTACTTTTTGGATTGTTCCTTTATAAAGGTTCAATAAAGTTGGGTTACTGAAGCTTGGGAGACTGAGTCATAAATAACTTCAATTTTCTCATTATGTTAAAACAGTTCTTGTTCTACTGAGTAATTTTAATTATATAGGCTCCTCACTTTTATGGAAAGAAGCTTGCTGTACTACATCTAAAATGGCCTATAATCCAAGGTATTTCTGCAGCACTGATTGACTCTGCTGGCGACCAACACAGGGAACACAGCACATGCAGCGGTTTCTAAAAGTATTCATACCTATTCAACATCATTCCAACACATAAATATGATTTTATGTAAATATCAATATAATAATATAGCTCTGTTTCCATTTACATGGCTTTTGTGAACCTTCTTATTAATTTGAAAACTCTTGCATGCTCTGATGGGTTTTCTTATTCATTCTCCCATTAGAACTCTGCATCTCTGCAGCTCCTCCAAAGCTACCACTGTGATCTCCATCTGCTTATCTAATAAATGGTCTCTTTATTGTGAGTTTAGATGGAGGGCTATTAACCCTTTAAAGCCCGATCCAAGAATAAAACAAAACAGAAAATTACTTTTTTTGGTTTGAAGTCCTTATTTGGACTTTTACCAAAATATGTAAAAAGTAAAAACAGAAATACATTTTTGATATTAATAATTTTATTACTATGCGATAAGTCAAGATTATTATTTTTGTGTAGTCTTCAGCCCTCTGTTATCAGGTATATCTGATTGTGTACAATAGGATTTTAAGCAAAGTTTTTACCATTAAATTATGCAAAAGGTGTCAGACGCAAAACATTTCAGAAACCGTATGTATCAAATATGATACATTTGGCATTACAGGGTTAATGCATGCAGTACAGTTCTCTGTGAGATATTTAAACCTTGGATTACATATTTTCATAACTTAATCCCTCCTCTTATTCCTGGTTTATCTGGTGCCCAGGATTTTATGTCGGTGTATGGGAATAAATGGAGGCAGATTCCCCCCCCCCCCCCGTAATTGGCAGTTATGCCATTATGTGTAGGTCTATCACATTGAAATACAATAAAGTATCCTACAGTATTTTATTGTAACCTGACAAAATCTAAAAAGGTTTAAGCTGTATGAGTAAATGTGAGAGCAGAAATTCTCTTAAAGCTAAATGACTGAACACATGAGAGATGACAGAGACGTACTACAAACCTCCTCATTAATCTAGATCTATATTTTGCATCTAGTACTGTAACTCCCCAAAACTGATCGGAGAATACAAACTACTTAATCCTTGCCTTCCTTGTGGATCCTCTTTAGGAGGGGGGTCCATCTGTGTTAGGACAGCTGGTTCTGGGATGACGGTCCATTCTGCCTCCTGTTTGCTCTCCACAGTGTTACTCCTAACAACTGCCTGGAAGATGTGAGAGAAGCATAGTAACAGATCATCGAATCAACAAGGAAAAGATGGAGCAGTGTGCGACTGCTGTTACTGTCTGCTAAAGGGTCATGCATAGGTCAAGCACGGGCAGTGAAACTACTGAGTGGGTTTTTATTGGACGGATTGATGTAAATTAAGATATAACTAAATAAAGTATACATGATTCATTTTAATAGGATAAATATTGAAAGTCTTCCCATAAATTCGGACCAAAGCATATTTCTTTAGAACTTACCCAGATTTATAATAAACTATTGGGTTTAGTTCATTCTAACCTAACAGTAAGATCAAAACTGACCAATTGCTTATAGCTAAAAAACTAATAATTGTAAATTAAAAAAACATTTAAAATAAAAACTTCAGGACTAAGAAATAACAAATTCTTTAGAATCAAAGTGTATAAAGAATCCATCTATCTGCAAAAATCTTATTATTTATATAAGAATGAACAAGTTTCTCTCTTGGCTGAAAGGAAAGAATTAACTTCTGTTGTTTATTCTTATTTAATAAGGCAAACCTGAAAAACTCTTGAATGATTGGATGACTTGGGATGCTTGCCTTTTGATCTAAAACATATAACATCAAAGACAATATATTGATCAAGTCTTTGCTATTAAAAAAAATCCAGATCATAATAATGGTAACAAAGGAAACCTTGTCTGATAAGATAAATTAAACATCAGGTCGAAACTGAGGGAGTAACCTTAAGGTTTGCATATCGCAAAGCTGATCTTCAAAGAAGGTTCAAAGTTATTTCTGCTTGTAAAACAGCAGAGAGGTGTGCAAACCTTGTTTTTTCTCCATCAATTTTGATATTCTAATGAACAAACTGCACCTACGTCAGGAAAATAAATGGCACTGATTCGCTATCCATAAAAGTCAGCAATGGCCAAATCTGGCTGTAGGGATGTTGTCACATAAAGAGGAAATGCCTAACTGGATACAATGAACTTATAATTTTTTTTATAAAACATAAGCTAAAATTAAATAAAAGCTCAGCATCACAATCAAGGCTGAAGACGGCAACTAGTAAAGGACAAATGAGGAAAACAACAAGGATAGAGGCTCTTCAAAGAATTAACAAAAAGTGAAAGTTTTTCAAAATAGTATTTGTTCTTTCCTTAAAACTTTTCAGTTGTTTGTATTTAACATGTGGAGATTAAAAACAAAAGTGAAACAAATAATATTAGTAATATCATTATGTTCTTAAGTAAGCCGTTAACTGTTGGATGCAGCTTAAAGCAAAAAAAAAAAACAGTTCTGGTTACTTAACGCTTACAGTAAGAGAAGGATGGGTAAGATGTGCAAAGCATCATTCAAAAGTTTAATCTACAAAAAAAAACTAAATTTCTAGATGATTACTAGAAGAAAACATGCTTTACTTTATCTTAAATGTATATAGAATGAAAAATACTGACATTAAACTTCTTAACCATGTAAATAAATAAAGCTTCAAAGCTTACAGAGATCGATCAATTACACAAAGAAAACAATTTATTTCATCATACCTGTATGTGACTTTGTGCTTGCTGATTGCTCTCTGGAAGGTGCAGCAGGCGAGCTCGCAGCAGCTGCTCTTCAGCTCGTAGTGAAGGCTTCTCCTTTTTCTCCCACCCGTCTCCTTGGCTCTGCATCAAGTGGTCCGTCTTCCCTGATGGGACGTCCTGAACTCGCAGCTGGAGGGCGTCATCGAGTCTTTGAGCATGCACTCCCTTGCCTAAGGGCAAGATGTCTGGTTGTGCCCTGTCAAGGCTCTGCACTGGAGTGAGACTGCAGCTTGGCTGCATGTCGGCCAGACTCAGTGGGGTGTTTACCTCAAGCTGCCGTCCCCTGCTGAGATAAGAGATGTACATAAGGAGGAGGCCAGGGGGAGTCAGAGCTGCTCAATACAACAGACATTTCATTAATTTTGTAGACAGCAGGGATTAGAAAGATAAAAGTAAAAAAAAATGTTTTGCATCATCTAAATCTATAAGCTCAATGATTTATTTTTTCTCAGATCTGCAAAATTTACATTGGTAAACCTAAAAGTGGTTAAACAACACTTGTCTTATTTGTTAATATGCAGTAAGAAAGGACTATAATGTGAATGATATAATTAGAGATCACCTAAAAAACAGAGAGCTAATAAAATCTAAAACAAGCTGATAAAAAAAAATTGAGACCGAAATAAAAAGAAGAAAAGCAATTGATACGAGAAGGAATTCAAGCTGTGATCAGTTAGTAAAGCTATAATCCGAAAACGAAAAGGTCTGGAAAACAAAACAGCGAATTTTATCACTGGGATCCAAAACATGGAAATTGGTTAAAATACAGGAGTAAGCAAAAAAATTTGATCAAAATGGATCAAAGTAATAAAAAAATGACGGGTGAATCCAAGATCCAAACCAGAAAAATATCAAATAAAAAATGACAAATCCCATTACGGCTTTCTATAACTCAGCACATAACTGTGTGAAAGCATTTATTTCATAAACTATGAATTTTGCTATTTTTCTGTATTAGAAACTCATATGGGCAGAAAATCATAAACTAAGCTCATATTTTATTGTAAATAAACTGATTAAAAACACAACATTCTGGCAAGCCTTAAATGCATGTTTAATCATGACAGTAAGTTATTTCTGTGCTATTCTACTCCAGTTGGAAGAGCGGCTAAATGTCTGAATGTCATTCATTTTCACAATCCAGGAAAACAGGAAGCTGTGGATTACAAAATAATTGTACCTAGACACTTTACTAAACTTTGAAGCATATATATAAAAATGCTTTTTTTTTTTTTTTTTTTTTTACAATTTGAATGACTTGTAAATGTTGCAACAAAATGCAGTGGACACTGCTCATGCTGTTTTTTTTTTTACTTCTATAGATAAGCAGTATCTTACCTCTTAGGCAGGAATGTTGCCACACTAAGTTGGGTTTTCTGCTCTTTGTCAGGTTCTGTCTGTGGGTCTGTTGGCAAGTGGGAGGATTTCTCTAGTGTCAGGGTTTCACAAAGTTCTCCAAGGACTTGAAAACGTTCCTCTATTGACCCAGTCCCCTGGGTAACGTCCTAGAAATAAGGAGATAAACTTCTCTTAAAATGAGAACAACCTATAGCTATTAATCCTTTTAATTAGCAATAGGTGCTGCAGTAATGTTAAATTCCTGCTGGTACCTGATGGCCGTGCTGCAAGGAACTGAGGTCAGTCTGGTCAGCAGCTTCATGCAGAGCATTAGTAAAAGTTATACCAACAGAAAATGGCTGCTCTACTTTGATTTTACATTTTTGGATGGAAATAAAGTCAGCCATTTCCCGGCGCACACCCTGAATGTAACAAAAAAGGAGATGCTTACTATAGTCTGTCAGCCTTGTCGACATTATTATGTTAGTTTATCTTTAATTCACAGCAGGTCAAACATTTGTAAACAGTCAGTACACTATATTAGAATCACACATTAGAATTAAAAACATCCATGGTGAGTTTAAAAACCTTGTATTATGTTATTTTAAATCTTAGGCAGAATAACAACGTTTGTCTTTTGAATTTTTATTGTACTCTTTTCATTTTCTGTCATACCTCCCACTGGTTTCTGACTGAGTCAGAGAGAAGCATCAAGTCCTGGAGCTGCGGCCCTGAACAGAAGGCCCCAAAAGCTTCCACTGCCCCCAGAAACTCATCGAGCATGGCAGGCTGAAGAATGTTAAGAGCTTTCTGCACAGAAAAACAAACAGCTGAACACAAATATCTCACATATTTCAGAATGTTTCCTAAACCCAGAGCTTTCATTTGATATAACCTTTTCCAGGGTTTATAAAGAGAAGCAGCAGGTAGGTTCAAACAATTTTTTTTTTAAATGGATTAAAATAAGATCTACCTGTTTTTTCTTGATGTGTGACTCAGTCATCTCTCTGCCACCGAATAATTTTATAGCTTGCTGTATGCGTCCCTGCAGGCGAACCCTGGCCTTCTCCAGTCTGCTCCTGGCCATCGACTGGGCTTTAGAGTGAACCTCACTGCGGATCATCGGCGGTGGCTGGGTTTGACTTGGTGCCAGTTTGATGTTTGGTTGCGACGCTGTTCCCGACTTTTGTTTGATACTTTGACCGTGTGAATAAGATGAACGCTTCGTTTCCACTGTAACTGACCCCGCTGCATGTATAGACAGAGCAGGATGTTCAGTTTGAACAGAACCCTGATGCTGGCGTACTGGTACCATGACAGGCTCAGGCGTGGTTTTTATTTCAACCAGGGATACAGTCCCTTTCCTCTCCTCTGTGCTTGATGGCTGGAGTTTTGAAACCTGGAGACGTGTTGTTCCCTGATCAGGAACCTGAACCAGTTCTGGAATTTGCCGTTTAACATGAACAATCTGTTTGGTTCTGGCCTGAACAATCTGTTTGGTTCTGGCCTGAACATATGACCCAGTTTCTGGATGGAGAGTTTCAGACAGTTGTATCTGTTCACAGAAGTCACCAATTTGCTTCTTGAATCCACAGGAACTTAACTTTTCAAGTATCTCCTAAACAAAATTAAAGTGATATTAATCATATTTCCCACAGTACGGTAACTTATTGTTTAAGTGCCGTTTAACGGATTCAACTTACTTGAGTTTGAGAGACGGTGGCTGCAATCCGGACCTGCATGTCAGCTCTACTTAAATGTTGCAAAGAGGCTTTTTGTTGCTCAGAAACAAAGTCTTCCAGGAACTGCCACTCAGCTACCACCTGCTGTGTTAGCATCATCCCACGAGAGATTAACACCTATAAAGATACAGTGAAATTAATATATTAAACAAATCCAAAACACTAAGGTTGGTGTTTCTAAATTAGATTTTGTTGTCGCTAACTTTGACAGCAGAATCAAATGCAGAGCGCCCTCCTTTGCGTTTCTTTTCCATCAGCTGCTCATAACAGTCCAGGGCTTCTGTGCTCCAGTGATCCAGTTCAGCCACACATCCTTCAAGTTTGGATGCTCCTCTCTGCAGTTCCCCACATAACCTTTCGGTTTCAGCAAGCTGATGAAAAAAACACAAGGGATCAAATGTCCAGTTAAAACCGTCCACCTGAATGATCAGTTCTTTATCAGATAATGAACACGACAAAGCTAAATCTACACAAGGCATGGCTTCCCATTTAAACTGACAGGACAGGAAAGTAGAGCAATAATCAGAAAAGAAGCCAAGGCACAACAGTGGTGACCCTGGAGGAGCTGCACAGATCCATACCTCTGGTGGAGAAACTAACCAAGATATCCTGAAACATATTCTCTAGTGGCAAGAAAAAAAAAAACTTCCTTAAAGAAATCTATACCCGTTGACTTTAAAGTTTAGCTTAAGTCTTCTTGATGTTGCATGATTATGGAATAGCATATTTTGCAAAATAAAACAATCAGAGCAGCAATAAATTTTCTCAGCAAAAGAACTGACTCCAGGAGCCACATCATGCTTTATTGTTTATGATTTTTGAGAAAAACAAAGTAATTTTCCTCCTGCAAAAACATTATGTACTTCTTTTTATTAGTCTTTATCTTTAAATGTGTTCAGAATACGTTCAGGTTTGTGGTTTTAAGGTGATAAAATGTAACCTGACTCCGCCAGATGGATTTGCTCCGCATATCCATCTGGAAACCTGCCTTGAAGGTTGAAGTAAATTTGGAAAGGGGTGAAAATACTGGTTAGACGATTGGCCTATGTTGGTGATAGACGGGCCAAATAAACCAATCAGATCAACGAAGCATATGACGTACTAACAGCCAAGCTACTCTTGCTGAAACCAGTTGGGAGAAGAGCAAAAACATCTTTTCCTTTGAGAAAAGCCTCCAGAGCAGTGTTTTGCTCTTCTTTCAGTGAAGAAATACTCTGTAATTCCGATAAAACTTGCTCGATAGCCACGCTAACGCTAGTTTCATCGGCTGAAGCCGCCATGTTCTTTAGACTGAACTGTCGCGCTTCTCGTTGCGTCACACCTCAACCCGCCTCAAAGCCAACGCTGATCTGACGTTCGTTTGGTGAACGGCTCCAAATTTTCTTCAACGGAGAGTCTCCAGACTGATTAGCGAGTGAAATCTTGAAAGCTCGCGAGATCAGGATGATCTCACGAGGCTAGATAAAATGTGGAATAGATCAAGAAGTAAAAGTACTTTAGCATTTCCTATCTAACTTCCATGTTAAAGGTATAGTGGAGGATGATCTTTTTCCGGGTGGATCATCAAAACGATGACCTAACACCATCATTCTGGTGATATGTTTATGTAAGGTCGTCCTACGGGCTCATCCCCATTTTCACTTACCGGGGGTGAGTTTGACGTAGTGGAAAAATTGCAAATCTTCCTTTGGAAAGTAAGCTTGTATGCGCAATGCCAACAGCAATTTTAAAACAGAGCATGCGTGAGGAGAAATGGGCTCATGCATGCTCTCACATGCGTTAAATAGGCGTTCCCTCTTGGGAGCGGTTAAAGGGTTGTGTATGTGCATTTTTTTTACAGTGGAGAGGGTGGGTCATTTAAAAAAAATTGCTAAATCGTCCGATATACCTTTTAGAAATGTGTAAATAAACTATAAGAAAAAAAACCTTTAGGAGAGTTTTCTTCAGGTTTTCTTTAAGGGGTGTTTGAAGGTCTGCAGAAGGGATGTTAGACGACACATCTACCTCTCCAAGCTTTGTTCTCATGGACTGACAAAAAGAGCAAAGATGGAAATGATACATTAACTTTGTAACAAATATTTAATGAAATCCACCTTTTCAAACCTGCTCACCTGTAGTTTTTGTCTCATATCCTTTAAAGGGACTGAAGATACCTCCAGTGGCAGTCTCATGAGCAAGTTAGCCTCTTGTATTAATGAATCTGACATCTGGATAGAAGAGGAACCGACTTTGGGTCCTGAAAGTACTTCCTAAAAACAAACAAACTCATATCAATCCTCAATGTTATTATTTCAATAAACAAAAGCAATTTTCTATATTTTGTAATAAGGCAATGTTGCCAAAATAGACACAGAACTCAGAATTAGCATGCAAACTTACAAACACAGTCTTTTTCATGCGTTCAGCCCACTGCAGGTTGACTTTGCTGATTTGTTTCACCAAAGTGAGTCTAACCGAAGCTTCTGTCATTTCACTAAGGAAGTTTCCCACCTCATTTAACTGAGCATGACATGAAGCCCACTCGCTCACACCCTAGAACAAAAACATTTTAAAAAGTAAATCCAAAGCCCCTCTTTAAAGATTTCTGCTTTATATATAAATTTGGGATAATCCAACAGATGTTACCTGCGTTTCTGCAGCTGTAGATTGAGCCAGCCATGCCTCAAGAGAAGAAAGGCTCTTACTGTACACATCCCATGCAGACACCACTCTCTCCATCATTTCCTTAGCAGTTGCCGTACTCTGTTTCACCAGCTCTGCTTCGCTTTCTGCTTCCTTCACCTGACGAGTGACACGCTGGGAATCTCCACCTGGGAAACAAAGTGTGTGGCAAAATAAATCGTTGGTTCCTAAGAATTGATAACAAAACTCTTTAATGACAGTGGTTAGTCTTTGATTGTAGTCATATTCAGTAAACTACAAAATGGATTGGATTAGACAAATTTTTTAGATTAAACATACCTTTTTTTAAGATCTAACGTCTGAATTATAAATGCTTTTTATTGGTCTGATGTAATATTTTAATCCTTAGTTTGATGTGTTCATGATTTGTAAGCTTATTATTATCATAACTAAAAGAAATATATGGATCTAGAAGAGTCTCAAGTTAACAAGCTAACATACTATGTGTGATCTACACAAGCACACCAGATCCACACATGCACATGATGATTCAAGCAAGCAAACCAAATTTGCACACTGTTCCGGTGACTGGCTTATAACAAATCAATGGCCACATGGTTCATGTTCCTGGGATTTGCTGAAATAATGAAGTTATCTAATTGTTGATGTAATTAAAGCTGTAGTAATTGTTTCATAGTAATTGTTTCATAGCTAGTTTAAAAAAAAATGCATTAGTCACATCAGGGGAGTCTAAAAAATCCACACAGAAAATTCAGTGAAGTTAAAACACAGCAGTTAGTGTATAAACCACTATATAATCATATGTTCATCCCATGTGTGTGTGTTTCACTTTGTTAAAAAGTTGATGGCAATATTGAGTTTTGAAAAATAGCTTAAACTGTTTTATATGAATTTATTTTCAATCAAGCAAATATAAACCATCTTCATGCTAATCAAACTGTTCAACATTTTAGTTTAACATTTTAATTTAACATTTTTAAGTTGGATTTTCTGGATTCCTGTTTTTTCTACCTGTGATCACTCATTAAATCTGCAAGAAACTCATCTTTGCCTCCCTGCCTTTGAGGACCCAAATGTTCTGTCTAAACATTTGGGTCCTCAAACCTCAACCAAACCCTGACACCTCTTGGCCCGGCTCTACTCCACCCCACCAATTTTCAAATGTTTCTATTACTCAGAGAATTGGAGCTGTAATATTGTTATCTCTTAAAAACCTTCTTCCAAGGCCAGATTAGTCTTCAGAACTGCAACCAATAGAAAACATGCTGGGTGAGCCAAAGAGTCTGAAGAGTAATTGGGGCAAGCGTCTGCATCTGTTTGGTAAATTTGGTAAATTTCAATTAAAGGTCAATCAGAATCAGAATCAGAAATACTTTAATAATCCCAGAGGGAAATTACTTTTGTTAAACGCTCCAGTTACAGTTTTATACAATATATATGTTGGGAGCTGGAGAAATTCCACCTTTCTCAAGCAGAGTCCGCCGTGGATCCTCTGAAGGAGCCTCCTGCACAGCTGCAGCTCATCAAGATCATCAGAGGATCCACTACTTAAGCTGTCTTAAGCTGCCCTCAGAGCCAAACCTGAAGAATCACAGAGAACTTCCAAGCAGCTCTGGACTAGAGCTGGGAAACCCTAAACCAAGGTCTGTTCATATTAGACGTGAGACGCTGAAGCAGCAAACGGACTCTGCTGATGAACTCTTCTCCAGATCCAACAGAGACCCTCCCAAAGCTAACCTCAAGAACCCTCAAGGTACAATCAGTAAACTTCAGGAAATCAAACCACTGTTGGCAACGCTAACTGAACTGTCTCTCACGCAGACCCCGGTGAACCAGAATCCAGGCCCCGAACCTGAACCAGTATATTCTGTGTGCTTGTCCATAAATAAACTTGTTAAACTTTCATCCCTGTGTCCGTCAGTGGTGTTCTGCATTCTTGGGTCGCTTTTAGTGAACCCATCATGACAGAACACTGCGGCCAAACTCAAGGCCCAGCAGATCACCTCACCCGTTGACTGGAGGAGCAGGATGCCCAAATTCAAGGACAAACCCAAACGCTCCGTGAGTTATACCGCCTGGTTGACACTCATAACCACATGCTACAGAGCTGTGCTAATTATCTGAACAGCGCTAATGCTGCACAACAACCATTTCAGGGTCCAGTTCCTCCTCCGAGTTCACCAGCAGTGACGTCATCAGAGTTCCGTCCTAGTCTCCCAGAAAGATTTTCTGGTAACATAAAAGATTGCAAAGGATTTTTATTTCAATGTCGATTGATTTTTCAGAACTCCCCTGGCAGCTTTTCCACGGATTACAAGAAAATAACTTTTATTCTCTCACAGTTAACAGGAAGAGCCTTGGAATGGGCTCAGGCAAGATTCGCCGCTGACGATAGCTTAAACTGCTATTACTCTGATTTCATCTCTGAATTTACCCAGGTATTCAACCAGGAAACTGACCAAACTATAGACTCCAGAGCTCTTTTCAACCTAAAACAGGGAAACTCTTCGGTGGCTGAATTTTCCATTAACTTCCGGGTTAAAGCGGCAGCTTCCGGATGGAACCAAAGCGCTCTAAAGGGAGCCTTTTTCATGGCATTAAATGAGCACATTAAGGATGAGCTCGCAACCCTCGACGAACCAGCTACCCTCGAAGATCTAATTCGCCTCTCCATTAGATTGGATAATAGAATTCGTGCCAGAAACAGTTCAAAGAAGCAGGGTACACTTTCTTCTGCCTCACATAACGTGACTGTTTGTTCTTCCTCTACAGAGCAGCTGCCCATTCAGAGGCCTAAGTCCCAGTCTCTACCGTTGCCTATTCAGGCCTCTCATTCGAGCGAAAGGGATGTCGAACCCATGCAGGTGGGACACACTAGGCTCACTCCAGAGGAGAGGCAAAGGCGTTTTCTAAGCAAATTATGTATTTACTGTGGCGAGAGTGGACACTTCATCGCTTCCTGCCCGGCTAAATCAAAAGCCTGGGCCCGCCAGAAGATCTGAGGAGTCTGGCGGGCCAGATAAACACTAAGAAATCTCCTTGACTGTTACTTCCTGCCACGTTGTTCTGTGCTAATCAAAACCTCTCTTTTTCTGCATTCATCGACTCAGGCTGTGAACGTAACCTAATCAATTCTAACCTCGTCCAGCAACTCCAAATTGAAACCATTCCTCTGACTCAGCCTCTCAGTGTATCCGCTATTGACGGAAAAAGACTCCATCAAGTTACCCATCAAACTCAGCCCCTCGAGCTACTTCTGTCAGGTAACCACCGAGAGACTATAACATTATTTGTTTTTCCCTCAGCATGTTCCCCGCTGGTGCTCGGTTTCGAATGGTTGGAGAAGCATAATCCTCACATTAACTGGACCAAGCGTCACCTGGAATCATGGTCCATCTCATGCCATGAAACATGCCTTCGTTCTGCTGCCCCCTTGGTGGGGTCTCCTAGAGGTGGGGGGGAGATGGACTCTCCTGACCTTTCTTCAGTTCCTTCTGAGTACCATGACCTAGCCCCTGTCTTCAGTAAGGTCAGTGCGACGTCCCTACCTCCACACAGACCATACGATTGCGCCATTGAACTTTTACCTGGTGCTCCTCTACCCAGCAGCAGATTGTATAATATTTCCAAGCCCGAAAGAGAAACCATGGAAAAATACATCAACGAATCTTTAGCTGCTGGAATAATCCGTCCATCTTCCTCTCCATTGGGCGCCGGGTTCTTCTTCGTGGGGAAGAAGGATGGTTCCCTGAGACCTTGTATTGACTATCGAGGTTTGAATCAGATTACAGTTAAGAACAAATACCCACTTGCTCTCCTTGCCTCTGCGTTTGAACCTGTACAGGGAGCTACGGTGTTTTCTAAACTGGATTTAAGAAACGCTTATCATCTCCTTAGGATCCGTGAAGGCGACGAATGGAAAACAGCCTTCAAAACACCCTTGGGCCAATTCGAATATCTAGTAATGCCCTTTGGTCTAACTAACGCTCCAGCCTGCTTCCAGGCCCTCGTAAATGATGTTCTCAGAGACTTTCTCAATGTATTTGTTTTCGTGTACATTGACGACATTCTCATTTACTCCAAGAACCTCGATGAACACAAGAAACATGTCCGCCTTGTTTTTCAGAGACTGCTGGAGAACAAGCTGTTCGTGAAAGCCGAGAAGTGCGAATTTCATCAACCTTCAGTCACCTTTTTGGGGTTTGTGCTCGAGGGCGGCGAGGTAAAACCATCTGAGGACAAGATTAAGGCAGTATTAGACTGGCCAGTTCCAGAGAACCGCAAACAGCTACAAAGGTTTTTAGGTTTTGCTAACTTCTATCGTCGGTTTATCAGAAACTACAGCCAGACCGCCCTTCCATTAACTTTTCTGACCTCTGTCAAACGCATTTTTCAGTAGACTCCTGAGGCTCAAGCAGCGTTTGATAAATTAAAATCCTTGTTTTCCAGAGCACCTGTGCTTATGCAACCTGACCCAGCGAAGCAGTTTATTCTTGAGGTGGATGCTTCAGATTCTGGTGTTGGAGCAGTCCTATCCCAGAGACTAGATTCTGATCAAAAGATACACCCTTGTGCTTTCTTCTCCCGTAGACTTTCTTCTGCAGAGCAAAATTACGATGTGGGTGTCCGAGAGCTTCTGGCCAGTAAACTGGCGTTGGAAGAATGGAGACATTGGCTGGAAGGAGCTGAGCATCCGGTTCTTGTTTGGACTGACCACAAGAACCTGGCTTACATCCAGTCAACCAAACAGGCTAATCCTCGCCAATCCAGGTGGTCAATTTTCTTCTCTCGGTTCAATCTCATCATCTCCTACAGACCCGGATCCAAAAATGTCAAGCCCGATTCTCTCTCTCGTCTCTACTCCGTCGATCATCCCGAGACACCTGAACCTGTTCTTCCGGCTTCCTGCACAGTGGGGGTGGTCAACTGGGAAATAACTGACCTCATCAACTCAGCCCTGGCCACTGAACCCGATCCAGGTAACGGTCCCACTAACCGAACCTATGTTCCATCATCCGTCAGGTCCCGTCTCATCCATTGGATGCACGCCGCCAAGTTCTCTGCTCATCCAGGAGTCAGCAGAACTGTAGCTCTCATCTCAAGATGCTTCTGGTGGCCCACTCTCCAAAGGGACGTCAAGGAGTATGTGTTGGCTTGCCCCACATGTGCCCGTAACAAAGCCTCACACCAACCTCCTTCTGGCCTGCTCCAGCCGCTTCCTGTTCCCTCGCGTCCTTGGTCCCATATAGCCATTGATTTTGTCACCTGTCTCCCTGTCTCTCGAGGTATGTCCACCATGTTCACCATTGTTGACCGTTTCTCGAAGTCCTGCCATCTTATTCCCCTTAGAAAACTTCCCACGGCCTTCCAGACAGCCCAGCTCCTTATCAAGCATGTTTTCCGGCTACACGGCATTCCCCAAGAGATCCTCTCGGACAGAGGCCCACAGTTCATTTCCCAGGTCTGGAAGGCTTTCTGTTCTGCCCTCGGCTGCAAACCCTCTCTCACCTCTGGTTACGTCCCCCAATTTAATGGTCAGACTGAGAGAATGAACCAGCAGTTGGAATCAACCCTTCGCTGCCTCACTTCAAGCAATCCCGTGGACTGGAGCCAATTTCTCCCTTGGATAGAATACGCACACAACTCCCTCAGATCTGCATCCACCGGACAATCCCCGTTCCAGGTTAGTCTCGGCTATCAACCACCTCTTTTCCCCGCAGACGAGAGAGAGATTTCGGTCCAGTCCGTAAACCAACACATCCGCCGTTGCCAAAGAATCTGGAGAGAAACCATCGCCACCCTCAACCGGTCAACAGAGTCCAGTAAACGCTTCGCCGACGCCAGGAGACGCCCCGCCCCCGAGTACACTGAGGGCCGGGAGGTATGGCTGTCCACTCGAGACATTCCCCTCAAGGGGATGTCTCGAAACCTCTCTCCCAGGTTCATCGGGCCCTACAAGATCACTCGAGTCATCAACCCCTCAGCCGTCCGTCTCCAACTACCTCAGTCCCTCCGAATCCACCCTACCTTCCACGTTTCCCAAGTCAAGCCTGTCTCTTCGAGCCCTCTGTGCCCACCATCCGACTCCCCACCACCCGCCCTGGAGGTCGATGGTCATCCGGCCTTCACTGTCCGTCGCATTGTGGACTCCCGTCGACGAGGTCGCGGATGGCAGTACCTCGTCGACTGGGAGGGCTACGGACCGGAGGATCGCCAGTGGGTTCCGGGCTCGTACATCCTCGATCCTGCCCTTATCGAGGAGTACGAGCGTTCCTGCCCATCAACCTCTTCCGGACCGCCAAGGGGCGGTCGTTGAGGGGGGGTGGTACTGTTGGGAGCTGGAGAAATTCCACCTTTCTCCAGCAGAGTCCGCCGTGGATCCTCTGAAGGAGCCTCCTGCACAGCTGAAGCTCATCAAGATCATCAGAGGATCCACTACTTAAGCTGTCTTCAGACCTTGCCTCAACGCTGCAGTGTTGTTCCAGTTGGAAACCTGAGCCTCCTCTGTGAAAGCTCAGGAAGAGCTAACCTGCCGAGCCGACCCTCAGAGCCAAACCTGAAGAATCACAGAGAACTTCCAAGCAGCTCTGGACTAGAGCTGGGAAACCCTAAACCAAGGTCTGTTCATATTAGACGTGAGACGCTGAAGCAGCAAACGGACTCTGCTGATGAACTCTTCTCCAGATCCAACAGAGACCCTCCCAAAGCTAACCTCAAGAACCCTCAAGGTACAATCAGTAAACTTCAGGAAATCAAACCACTGTTGGCAACGCTAACTGAACTGTCTCTCACGCAGACTCCGGTGAACCAGTATCCAGGCCCCGAACCTGAACCAGTATATTCTGTGTGCTTATGCATCAATAAACTTGTTAAACTTTCATCCCTGTGTCCGTCAGTGGTGTTCTGCATTCTTGGGTCGCTTTTAGTGAACCCATCATGACAATATACACACATCCAACTATACAATATAATAAAGATAAAACAATAAGAATAAAAAGAGATAAAATATATACACATATAGCTCTTCTGTATATATATCTGTAGGTATATCTATGCATATGTAAAAACTAAATCCAAATAAAGTGAAAATCCAAGTAAAGTGATAGATCCAAGTAAAAACAGTTGCAGTTAACCAAAAATACTAATAAATCTAATCTAAAAAAAAAAAAAAAAAAGAACATTTCTAAAGCCATTAGACCCCGTTTCTTTTTATAGGGGAATAGACTTGAAGGTGAAGACCTGTTTTAAATACAGGTGCTGGTCATAAAATTAGAATATCATGAAAAAGTAGATTGATTTCAGTAATTCCATTTAAAAAGTGAAACTTGTATATTATATTCATACATTACATACAAACTCATATATTTCAGATGTTTATTTTGTTTAATTTTGATGATTACAAATGACAACAAATGAAAATCTCAAATTCATCATATCAGAAAATTAGAATATTGTGAAAAGGTTCAAAATTGATGGCCCCTGGTGCCACACTCTAATCAGCTAATTAACTCAAACCACCTGCAAAAGCCTTTAAATGGTCTTTCAGTCTAGTTCTATAGGCTACACAATCATGGGGAAGACTGCTGACTTGACAGTTGTCCAAAAGACGACCATCGACACCTTGCACAAGGAGGGCAAGACACAAAAGGTCATCGCTAAAGAGGCTGGCTGTTCACAGAGCTCAGTGTCCAAGCACATTAATAGAGAGGCGAAGGGAAGGAAAAGATGTGGTCGAAAAAAGTGTACAAGCAAGAGAGATAACCGCACCCTGGAGAGGATTGTGAAACAAAACCCATTCAAAAATGTGGGGGAGATTCACAAAGAGTGGACTGCAGCTGGAGTGAGTGCTTCAAGAACCACCACACACAGACGTATGAAAGACATGGGTTTCTGCTGTCGCATTCCTTGTGTCAAGCCACTCTTGAACCACAGACAGCGTCAGAAGCGTCTTGCCTGGGCTAAAGAGAAACAGGACTGGACCGCTGGTGAGTGGTCCAAAGTCATGTTCTCTGATGAAAGTAAATTTTGCATTTCCTTTGGAAATCAAGGTCCCAGAGTCTGGAGGAAAAGAAGAGAGGCACTTCATCCACGTTGCTTGAAGTCCAGTGTAAAGTTTCCACAGTCAGTGATGGTTTGGGGTGCCATGTCATCTGCTGGTGTTGGTCCATTGTGTTTTCTGAGGTCCAGGGTCAACGCAGCCACATACCAGGAAGTTTTAGAGCACTTCATGCTTCCTGCAGCTGACCAACTTTTTGGAGATGCAGATTTCATTTTCCAACAGGACTTGGCACCTGCACACAGTGCCAAAGCTACCAGTACCTGGTTGAAGGACCATGGTATCCCTGTTCTTAATTGGCCAGCAAACTCTCCTGACCTTAACCCCATAGAAAATCTATGGGGTATTGTGAAGAAGAAGATGCAATACACCAGACCCAACAATTCAGAAGAGCTAAAAGCCACTATTAGAGCAACCTGGGCTATCATAACACCTGAGCAGTGCCACAGACTGATCGACTCCATGCCACGCCGCATTGCTGCAGTAATACAGGCCAAAGGAGGCCCAACTAAATACTGAGTGCTGTACATGCTCATACTTTTCATGTTCATACTTTTCAGTTGGCCAACATTTCTATAAATCCTTTGTTTTTATTGGTCTTCAGTAATATTCTAATTTTCTGATATGATGAATTTGAGATTTTCATTTGTTGTCATTTGTAATCATCAAAATTAAACAAAATAAACATCTGAAATATATGAGTTTGTATGTAATGTATGAATATAATATACAAGTTTCACTTTTTAAATGGAATTACTGAAATCAATCTGCTTTTTCATGATATTCTAATTTTATGACCAGCACCTGTATTCTCTCCATTTCCTGAACCTTATTTAGCTCCTATGCTCCAGGGATTCAGTGAAAACACTGAAGCCCTGAAATACTGTCTTCTTTTAAATCCATATTAAAATCTAATGTATTTATAACTGGCTTTGACTCGTCCATTTTAACTCCCAACAGAATCATCATTCATTTCATTCTCTTTACCTGCCTATATTCTATCTCTGTATTTGTTTTCTAATGATTTATACATCACACTCCACTTTGAATTGAGTTTGAATGTAGGAAAATGTGCTAAAGAAAGTTTAAAAACAAATTCACTGGACTTTTTTGGGATGATTATGACCCGGATGACTGAGAATCATCACCAGCATATGTGCTATAGAAATAAACTGTCCTTGCCTTACCAGAAGTACCAATGAGTGTTTATGGTACTATAAAGGTTGCATACCTAGAGAAGCTTTGCTGGTATAAACATTCATCTTGTCCTTCAAGCTTTGTAGAGCATCAATCAAAATTAAGAGCAATCCCTGATGCTCTATTGTTTCCTGAAAAAAAAAATGTGAAAAAGGAGATTAAAATCGACCAGATCTTTAGAAGAATATAATCTGATGAGATGTAGAATATCATGATTCTATGAATAGATTAATAATAACGACAGATAATCAGATATCGACTTAGAATCAGAGAATCGGACTTAAAGTTCATCATTTTTGATTTAACAGTTTTAAACTCACATGCCAGTCAAGCAGAAGAACCTGAACGGACTCCTGGGATGTGTAAGGAGCTTTCCAGGTCTGGACCTTCGCCCTGACTTCTCTCAGGAGATCCTGCACCGTGTGGTAATTTTCCTCATATTCTAGCTTTATGATTTCATATTTTGCAGAAACTCGAATGCCAGTCACACTGTTTTTTTAACAAGATAAATGTTACAAATGAATGAAAAGTATTTTACAAAACTGTCTAATGTGACTACAATAATTATTTCACAAACCGGTTCTTTATGTCGTCAAGCTTTTCTTGAGGCACTGCCATATTTCCGGAATCATCCACATTATGATAAGTATCAGTGAGCTTCACATAATGATTCATCTCCTTGATTAATGTCTGCAAAAAATAAATTAGAAAAAAATAAGCTGACAGGTTTAATAAATATTAGGGTATTTGTTATTGTTCTTTAACAGAAGACTACCTTTAGTTGGTCTTGCTTTGCTCTTGCCTGTTTGGCAGCTTCTACATGATCTTTCGCTGCCCTTCCCTCTTCTGTTAGCGCAGCCTCTCCTCTCTGCAGCCACATCACGACCGAGTCCAGAGGAGGAGGGAGACTCTGCTCCACATCGGCTTCACACCTTCGGAGCTGAAGAAGGACAGATGCATTGGGGGATTAAAACCTTCTGAACGCAAGAAGAGAAAGTTCCCTGTGATATTAACATCAAGCATCCATGAAGTCTCCCATGAACGATAAAGACAGCAAATAAGAATATAAGAAAGAATCAGACATTATTTGTTATTTAAAGAATTAAACTACAGCTCCAAGGCAAAATCAAATCTCCTTTTTTATTTGGTGGAAATGTTTCAGAACTTTCTCACAATAACTGAGAAGCTGCTTCATTCTGGTGATAATCTACATACTATCCTAAAATATGAATTAACTGCTTATTAATTTGGTCAAATTTAATGCAATACGATAAGAAATAGAAAAATGAAACACAAACCTTTAATTCAAGGATATTTATACCAACCAGTTTTTGCAAGAATTTAGTTGTGACACAGTTGCTGGTTCTGTCTAAACTATTTAACTTCCTTTGGTCAATAGAACAGCACTTTCCCCATAATAATTCATTTCTGTATCTCATTTTATGTGTTTAATAATTCTAGGAAATTATTCTGCATATAAAAAAAATGAAAACCCATCCCCTTTTTACTTGGTTGAGCTCACCAGATGGTAGTTTAAACAGAACAAGATGCCATGATCTCTTTCAAAGTCCCAGATCTTTCTAGAGATAAACAGACCCTTTTTTTTCACGGTTTCTTATCTAAAAATGGTTTCCCACTTTATGCTGCATAGGAGTTTGCTGCTTGTTGTTGGCTTTTGGGTTGTTATTATTTTATTTTTATTTATTTTTACTTCACTTCATGACTCAACTTAATTTATTGTTTTAATTTTGTTTGTTATATTTTAAATTCCTTTTTTAATTAAAGCTATGAGTGTATAAAACACTTTAAAAAACTAAATTGCATTTTTTAAGTACTATAGATATAATGTTGTTGATTCAGGTTTCAGGCACCTTTGCAACATGGGTGCAAATTATTGCTTTTATGTTTTTGCCTGTGGAGGACAAATGTATTTTAACATCTGCTTGCTGGTGGTTCCATGTGCACAAACATGGAAAAATTTAACTCACAAAGTCAGCTAAAAGGGGTTTAAACATTAAGTGTGACTTTTATAAGCAAAGCAGATTTTCTTACTTCTTGCTCCAGTCGCTCCCATGCTGTCCTCAGGGCTTGCTGTTCTTGGTCTAGTTCTGGGCATCGTCGTGTGGCTGCAAGGAGACGCATAACCAATCTTCTCTGCTCAGCAAAGGAAGCAGTAAGGCTTTCATATACCTAAAACAAAACAAGTAACTACTTTTATCCAACAACATATAAGTGCATTGTGTAGGTTATTGTGCCTTGAATTACCTGATATTTTTCGGCATAAGTTGATCCCTCTGTGGCTGTCCATGTTTCTGAAATCTCCTTATAGGCCTGCTGCAGCCAACAAGTCACATCCTGCGTCCGCTCACTAGGCGACACCTTTGTAAGGTTGTTAGATGTAAGCATTGCATAGTTAACTGAGGCAAATTACAGCTTTACAGTTGTACGATCATAAAACCAGCTTTACTTGAAGGTTTTTCTTTGACTAATAATAAGCTTGACCAAACTGTGCTTCAGTTTGCTTTTAGATTAGAACAAATTACGTGCAATTAACAGGCAAAAAAGGGAAAGAAGATAGCAGAGGAGCATGTACCTGGTGTAAAGGTGAGAGAGCAACTGCTGGAGCGAAGTGAGCATGCAAGCTCTCAGGGGAGAAAATTGGAGTTTGCTCTGAAGGAAACAGCTAAGCCACCATCAGTTCAAAGATGGAAAGATGGAGCCAAAAGGAAGAGAAGATGAGTTCAAAAGCTGCAGTTTCAGGTAGAAGGTTTGGAGGTTCAAAGCGGGGAAAAAGACTCGTAGATTTCATAGTTTTGGTCAGCTGGCATACTAAACATTTTACCTGTATAATCCAAAAACTCTTATTGGTTACATAAAAGAGTGACAGAAATATCAACTATTAGCATGTGAAAAAAACTTAAAGTGGATGCATCTTTGAAGAAAATTAGTTGGGAAAAATGACCAAATAGGGTTAAAAGCCACTTTAAAAAGCCAATTAAAGAAGAAATAAAAAAACTAAACAAATGTTAAATTAATTTACAATCTTCCTTCTAACCTGCAGGTGGTCTTCAGGCGATGGCATGTCATTGGAATACTGCAGAAACTGGGCAGCATAAGTCATAATGGACTTTTCATCAGGATCCTTGACATCAACATCTAAAGAGAAAGGAGGAAGGTTGATTTCCATCAGAGCAATTGTGTTCTGCATTTGCTTTATTTTTGGAATGCAAAGGAAATTAAGTAAGGATATAAAAAAAACTTGAAAGTCGAAATGCTTCCGCGGCACCTTGGGGGTCCAGGAGACGAGGAATGTGGAGTTCCCTTTCAGCCAGATGAAAGGCTTCTTCCAGGTTCTCCAGACTGCTTCTGGTCTGGGCCTTTGATAGATCCACCAGTTCTGGTCTGAGCGAGCACAGGATGGCCAGAAAGACCTCCCCACTTCTCCAGCTGGACTTAAACTCTTTCACGTTGACGGTGCAATTAACCCTACGCAGAATCAGAGTCATAGTTTTTATCTTATCCTTTACTGACATGTTAAAGTTTAACAGATAGAAATAAAACTGATTAAATTTAAGCCATGGGAGCATAAGCTTGGCTGGACAACAAAAACAATAAAATAACAATGAAATCATTGACGTATTCAGACCCCTGCTGAGAAATTATAGTAAACTAGATAGGTTGAAGAATGTAGTCTAAAGTTTGGCATATATTTGGAGCATGCAATAAAAAAAGGAATAATTATATCAAACATACTTTTTGCATTGGTCCCTGACCCACATGAGCAGAGCCTTTTTGGCGGAAACGCGGAACCGTCGATGAAGAGGTGATACCCGACCAGAAGGGACTGGACTGGCTGGGATGGGGCTTCCAGACCAGGAGTCTAAGCTCGCTACAGAGTCGAGGGAGGAATGGCGGGAGCTAAAGGACAGAGCACTGGCCAGCTCCTCAATCTAAAACAGTTACAAAAAAAACTTTAAACCCAGATGACACAGATGCCAATGCTCAGCTTTGTAAAAAAAAAATCCACATGAAACAACCATTTCATTTAATCTGGAATTATGCTCACATGACAGCGGAGAATGATGGTCCACACGAGGCCAAGAATGATGGATGGACGTCCGTCTATGATGTCTGGAATATTTATGTTCACCAGCTTGATCTACACACATAACAATTCCACTCTTAATGTGCGCTTTGGGTACATAAAACTAACCTTTTAGTTTTTTAGTTTGTTTTTTTTTTTATCTTAAAAATACAGTAGGAAAGACATGTGAAGAGACATAATGTGATCAACGTTGTCTGTTTAAGTGCTGAATGTTTTAATTTTAGTTTTTTTAAGAAAGTGAGCTAACTAAAGGCAAAAAACCAAACTTACAGATTTTCTCTTGAGAAAGTTTAGTGCTGTCTCAATGTTGGCCCTCTGCTGGAAAACTCCTCGACCTCTCTGTCTTTTCTAGGGGGAAGTTTAGCAGTTTAAGACATTTTTTCTTTATTTTTTTTTCTTTCGATGAACACATTTCAGGTCTGTCCTCACCATTGACTGACCGCTCATCACTTCCAACAGATCCAGCAGCCGTGAACCATCTTTGAGGTCCAAAAACAGGTCTGACACATATGAAGGTGGACATCTCTGAAACCGAAAAATATCTGAATTCATTTAAAATATAACAAACAGATCAGGAGAAGTGGAGGGTGTATTTGAATGCATTTTACATTTACTACAGGATCTGTCAGTTGTAGATGCACCATAGTAAATAAAAAAAACCTGATTATACACCAAAAAATATGTTAGTTTTTGTACAAACAGAACCTTGCAAAAGTATTCACACCCCACAAGTCAATATTTCTGGTCTTGCATAAAACAAAGAAGTTGAAAGATGTTGAAGTATTAACATTTTTCACATTCAAAAGGTGCAGAATCCATATGTATTAAGCCCATTTCATACCACACCCCTACATACATTCCTAAATCCATCATCTCTTCTTTCCATTTTGTTCTTAATATGTATTGGGTCACGTGGGGGGAGTTGGATTTTGGGGCTTAGTTATACACTATAATGCAGTGTGGGGTTAAGTCAGGTCACTAACCTCTACTTAACAAAGTCCAGCAGTCACCTAATTAGTAAACACAGCCACATTGGTGTATATCTTGGTATAACTCCAGCTGTTCGCTGGAGGTTTCCAAGGGTTGACAGCAAACATTAGAGAACAAACAGTCTCATTAAGACCAAGGAACCCATTAGACAATTTAACAGCACAGTTCCAGATTACTTTAAAGCTGGGTTTTGTGATTAAACTAAGTTTCAAACTATGGACATTTCAGAGAGCTTAATTCAATCCATGAAAATTGACAGCTGATGGCACAACTGCAAACCTAACAAGAGGCAATGCTTTACAACCTAAATGACTGACAGCTAAACTAAAGGAAAAGTAAAGATGTACATGGTAATTTTGGAGGAGCTGCGGTGATGTACTGCTCAGTTGCAGGACAACTGTTGGCTTTTTATTCCTCAGATCTGGCCTTTCTGGAGGAAAATAATTTTATTAATGAGAGGCAGTCACAGATAGTCTAGCATAAAGTTTGCCACAAGCCATGAGAGAGCATAAAAAGTATTTGGAAGGAGATTTAATAGGCCGAAGTCCAACTTTCTGACCTGCATATAGAACACTATTAGTGGGGAAAAGATTATACCTCTGTAGCATCATTCATACAAAAGATAATCTAAAGTGTTAAAAGAAATCAAATGAAAAAATAACAACATCATAGCACTTTGTATGACACTAAACATGTCTGGCATTTGTGAAACATAGTGATGATAGCAGCATAGTAAGGGAATAATTTTCATTGATAAGGGCTGCAATTGAAGCTGGAAGAGGCAGCAAGACTTGAATGAGGTGCAAAGGTTCACTTTCCCACTGGACAGTTACAACAAACATGTGGTATCTGTCTGTTCTTTATGCATATTCATTATGTATATCCTATTCTTACAAAGCAGGTGGAGCCAAAACACAAACAACATGCAGCAAACAGTGGTTCTACAAAGCTTTAAAGCACATACTACATTGCAGTTTTTAGTTGTAATATGAAAAGTTATCTAATGTGACCTGATATGATTTTTAATTGTGTCACATGCTAGAAGAGGAAAGCCAATGAAAACAGGGTCTTTAATCAGAAGAGCACCAAGAAAACATTAAAAGACTAACTACTGATAATGTCACAGGTCTTTGAGACTTTTGCAAATGATCAAGACATTAAATACTACACTGCAATCTGAAAGAGATATTTTCCAGTTCCTGAATTTCACAACAGGTCGCAGGTTGTGGATTCAGTCAATGCTAAACAAAGTTAAGAAGAAGCTGGGTTCAGATTACATGATGTTCTGCTCCACTGAGGGACTATTTATACTTCAGTTCCATGTCAGCAGAGCAGAGTCTCTGTCCAAAGGGGGCTGGCTAGAGCTGCTTCACTGCTCTCTGACCAGTGAGTCGGCTTCTTTAGCTCTGCACAAAGATTTGTATGATATATGACTCAGCAGCAGCATGGTGACGCCATTTTTCTCAGAGATTGTTAACAAAGTGTGTTATGTTTTATTTTATTTGAAAACAGATTGCCTGAGACATACCGTATTATTTAACCAGATTAACAGACGTGAGCTGCATTTTATTAAAAAGAAGAGAGTTGAAAATACCCTATTTTCATCTTACACTTGTACTTAAGAACAAAGTGTAATACAAGCTCTGCAGACTTGATTATCTGGAGCAACCTTTTTATAAAGCATTACTGCTCCACCTACTATATTACTGAGAAGCCTAGGGGCTTTCTTGCTGTGACACAGAAAGGTAATCATGACTTTCCAACACACCTTGGCAAGTTGAGCATTTATCCAGTTGGTAAATGTCCTTTTCTGGATCTGTTCATGCTCCACTGTTAAAGAAAAAAAAAAAGAAAAAACACATAGTTAATTGTTTCTGGCATTCTTATGATGTAAAAAAAAACTCTATTGTGGAAGATTTGATGGAAGAACTTAAGCTGAGTAAAGAATAAATTCATTTGTAGTGATATTCCAGATTTGTAAATCAACAACTGAACCATAAGTGAAAGTCCTCAACCAAACATCCTAGTTTATGCCTCCCTGTAAGTTTGTGAATAAACTCAACATTTGTGACAAAATGAAAAGCGCTTCTACAGGAACGAGCACACCGATCACTCACCCTCTTCAGAGAACAGAAACTCTCTGAACTCCATGTTTACAATCTTAAGTTACTTTTGCCCATGCATGATAACCATAAAAGGCATCCATTTAAAACTGAGTAAAATGTGTCTTCTCCCCCCATGGAGCAGCTGTAGAGCGTTTGCCTTCTTCATTAGGCTAAAGTAAATGTAAGAACCAGGATCTGCCTGCTATACGGGATCGGCTCCAAGACAGAGAGAGACATGGATACGGAGATAAACACACACTCATACACACCGTAACTAAGCACAGTCCTGGATAGAAAGAAACCTCAGGCCAACACACACAAACACAGCCGACACTCATCATCACATGTTTGACGACTACAACTTTACACTTGTCAAAAACAAATCAACATTCTTTCCATAAATATATTTGGTTATATTAAAAATAGCCATAAATCTGATAGTGAGCTTTGCTGTTTGTTTAAGAGCCTGCCACGGCAGATACCTCTAAACGGTGTAATTGCTTAACTCCACCCTGTTCATAACACATAAAGACTAAACGTTAAATAGGGCGGTACTTGTGTAAAAAGTAAAAAACTTTCTGTTTTCAGTGTAAAGAATGGTTTGTGGTGGTAAATTTAGAAGAAAGAGCAACTACAGGCACATACAGGCAAACAAATACTTATGGATCCATCATCTGTTCTATTTTATTTCTACAATAAGTCAATTTTTAAATGATACTGTGTTTAAAACAGTTTTTTAATTGTTTCATGAAATCCACTCTTCAAAGCGGAGAGTTTTTTTCTGTTAGAAATAAAGAAGTTGGGATTCCAGGATGAAGTGAAACAATTATGGTCTTTATTTCCACAGCCAATCTAATGCTGAGATACTTTTTTCATTGTTTGACAGATGTTATTCTGGGCCTGTAACTGCAACTCAACTGAAAGTTCATGTTTCAGAATTCTGAAAATAATATGTCGATTTCCAAACATTCAAAAATAAGCTTTACATTGTATTAAGCTTTTCCTATTTATGACATTAATCAATCTCTTTTATTAGCTTTTTTGCATCTTCTAATCAATAGTAACAGAAGCATGATAAATTATTTTTTATTACACTTTTCTCACAGTATTTTTGCTCATCATACAGTCTAATCCCAGACAAAATAACCTTAGTAAATACAAAGATCTGTCATCATTCCTTAAGGGGCTAAAAGTTATCCAAACCAGCTTGCCCTATGGGAAAAAGAAAGCTCCCTAAAGCTAATAACTCTTTGTGTCACGCTTGGAAACAGCAGACAAAACAAGTCACAACAAACAGCCTTTTTAAAGTTATGTCACAGGAGGTTTTAAGCCAGACTTTGACTAGGCCAGTAAAATAATATACCGTAGATTTTCTTTTTAAACATTTGAATGTACAAAGTCATCTATATAATAAAAAGTTAAGGCATCCCTTATCATCTTACAACTACCACCATGTTCGACTATAATTTTATTTTGTATTAAATGCTGAGTTCATTTTATACCAGATTATAACATATGTCAAAAACAACAACAACAAAAAGAGTTTGTTAAAACCTTACAGAAAAGCTTTACTGCTGATTTTTTTAACAGCAGTAGTTTCATCTACTCTAGGCTTAATGATGACTCTGTGACTATTTTCAGTATAAATTACTTTTGTGTGTTTTTGAAGATCTGGCATGATCTGGTGTACTTTTGGACCTCTAAGTCTACTTCATATCAGAGAGGTTTTATTTAAACATTTGAATAACTCTAACGATAGGACTGTTATACCGTTTGGGCAAAAATAACCAAATAAATGTGATCCATAACAGTTAATTTATAAACCATATTCTCATAAAGGATTGGTTTAAATACCCTTGTTTTTCTTTAATAAATATGATCCCACAAGACAACTGCATGTTCTATTTCCTGGGTTTTTGTTTTTTAACAAAAAGCTAAATTTATCATCTATCTATTTAGGAGTACAAATGTGCCTGTGAATCTGTTTTTCATAATAATCTTACTTCTATTTGCCGTTTGAATTGACCAGCTATTATTTCTGTTAATGTGTCATGAAACAGCTCCTGCTCCTAAGGACTATTAATGAAATAATCAAAGTTGAGTGAAAAAATAAATTCTGTCTTCAAGAGGTAAGTAATTTTTATAATTTGTAAAATGATACTGTCTTTTCAGGAATCATAAAATCTGTTGGTTTCGTTCCCTTACAAACAGAAAGTAAAAGATCAAAGAAAATTCAAACTGATAGCAATGACCAGCAGTTGGCATCGTGTCCAGTGCAGATTCTCAGCGATAATCAAAAATACACAGAGAATTATGTATGTTTTCATGCATAGAACTCTAAAATCCTTTCAGATCCTCTTGTTTTTGTTTCTATCACTAACCTCATTTATATAATAAACCAATGTGTGAGCAGTGAGAAACCAAAGGTGGCCCACATGGTCACGTCACAACATCCACAGAAGAACAGAAATAGTCTGACCTTGTAAGAGCATGTGAACATTTTCAATGTCCAGGGGAATAACTCCATCGTCTTCCTCTGATCCTGAAGCCATGCTGTTGCCGGCTGCAACTTCAAGAAGGTCCTGAATAAAGTGGCTTGTTAATCATTAATCTAAGGATAAAACATAGAGCAGGAAAATCATAACAGAACAGTATAAAGGAATGAGTTGGTCTGCTGCTTGATTGGTCATGTCAGGAACACACCTAAGCTCACATACGCCCTCATTTCACCGCAGACACACTCTACAAGCACACACATGCAAACACTGAACTAATAATTTCTAAAAGCCAGTTCTCTTCTTCCATAATACTGGTGAACAAAAATAGATGACCTGATCGCACGTCTTCAACATACCTGAAGCTGAGTAGAAGTCGCTGCAGACAGTTGAATCCATTTGAGTGTGAATACTGTTCAGTAGCTTTCCTCAGCTGTTGTCCCCTTGGCTCGGCTTTGATCCGCATTCATAAATGCCTTCAAACAGGACGTGGCCTTTAGGTGCTCATAACTGAACAAGGTGCCTCCTGCCCATTGGAGCATGATGGCAGAAAAGAGCAGAAAGTCCCACCTTTTTTGCTGTGAGTCCAAATGACTTCATAGGCAAAAGAATACTTCATAACCTTTGGGCTAAAAAAGTCACACACTGGCAAATCAAAGGATAATTTGTCTCTAAAAACAGATCCAGCTTTGTGGGCTTTTTTTTACTTAGAAAATAAGGAAACTGCTAAAGACCTTTGGTTTATGGCATATTTATCAGAAGGTGTTTCCCATCCCTTTTATATGATAAGGCAAATCCGGTGTCAAGTTTTTCTAGCAGGTTTCTCATTAAAACAGGATATTTAAAAAAATAAAGTGTTTTATTTCCTTTTGCAGAAAAAAAGAGGTTGCATAAAACTTCTGGGTTCCTTATACAGTATCATCTTTACCCTCAGGAGCTGCGCAAGAGTTTTTTTTATTCTTTTACTAATGTGAGCAGGCAACTTCTATTATGGCAGTGGGAAAACAAGAGAAACTTAATACCAGAACAGCTTCTAATCCTGCTGATTTGCTTCATTTCAGTCCAAGGCATCAGATTACTGTGTGAGAGAAAGGACAGTTACTGCAGGTCAGTTTAACTGTGTTTAGAGCTTACTCTTTATAGATGTAGGTCAGCAAATTAGATAATCATTGACAATATCGTTTTTTCCCCCTGTGATCCAGTTTAAATTGTGAAGCTCATATATGATAGATTGATAGATTCATTACAAATGTTTGCTTAGTTGTTCTTTTTCTCTCTTTTTTTTTTTTGATAATTATGCCTAACGGTTAAAGAATGCCCAAAATACAGTTTCACAAAAAAAAAACAAATAGAGTTTTGCATACACCAATGCAAAGGGACTGAATACAGTAATGCTCTGGCAATGCTATGGCCTAAACAAAGACATGTGACTTGACAGTTGTCCACCAGATAGTCACTGGGACGCTCCAAATAAAGAATAGGGTGGACAATATCCTTTATAAAGAAACTGTCTGTTTAGGGGTCCGTATTTAGATATATTGAAGGAAAGTTGAGTTGAAGGAAAAAGTAGGGTAGAAAAGGAGTCATTAACAGCAGTCCTAATGTTAGCCTTAACAGGAATGTAAAGCAAAATATATTCATGAGTTTGGAAAGATTCATAAGGGGTGGGCTTTAGTCAGGGCAAGACAGTGTCTTCAGCAAGATTCTTCAGCCAGCGATAATCTGCAGGGCCAACGTCAGACTAAGACTTAGACTTAGACGAACTTTATTGTCCTTCTGTACACACAGGGTGTATACAAAACGAAATTTTGTTCAGTACAGCTCTCAAGACATTTCCATTTCTTAAAGCGCACCAGTGATCAAATGTAAACATAGCTGCTAATGTTGGTCCGCAGAGTTTTATCAAGTCCAAAGACAGCACAGCCATCTTCCAAAAAAATTTAAGCACTTTGCACTTCCCTCTGCTGAAAACATTTGTATAGCTCCCAGAAGCACTTGTAACCTGCTATGCTTGACTTGTCAGCAAAACGGCTTGATCTAGGCTAAACCTATACTAAACTGTTGACAGTATTTAGACATCTAACAATGCAGAAAAACTGATGGCAGCTAGAAAAGCAACCTGGGTTTCATTTAAACTTGACAGTAGCTTAGACTGATTACCTTCATTTCATGCAACCCTGATGCAATAATTCAAACAAAACGAGCCTGAAAAAAATTGTTGAGTAAAGAACAAGGGAGTACTTTTCAATAAACTTACATTTCTGTCTAATATATAGATTTTTTATTTATTTATTTACTGAAGGGTTGAATTTTAAATGTATTTTATTGTATTTATTTGCAAACATTTTAATCTATATTGGTTTTACTGCTTAAATTATATTGTTGACATACATTTACTTTGCAATATATTCTTAGTTATTTAGATGCTGTATAACATGTTTTACAACATTATTTACTGTGACAGGTTTTAGCTGCAATCATTTATCATTATAACAACTTTTAAGAGGTCTGGGTTAAATGGCCAAAAACAAGCAACTAAATCCTGGTTTTAATAATGATCCAGATGGGGGAGCCAACTTACTAACCTTCTGTCACTTAACCTGTTTCACCAACTGATTTAAAGTTCAGTCCAACAGTACCACTACCTCTGAAGCAAAAGTAGATCTGACACTATTAGAAAAGAAAAACAAGGATAGGGGGTGTATTTTGAATTCTCATACAATACAGGCATATTATTAATAGTTACTACAGTTTCATCCAGATATATACAGATGTATCAAAGAGTTTAGTTAACAAGAGGTGTATCTTTTATTGTCCCAGAGTTTCTTATTATAATAGGACAGAGAACCAGTGATAATATCTCAGTATACACAGCAGAAATGCTAGCAATTCTGTTTGCAGAACAATGGGTAGAGGAAATAAGACCACTGAGAGCGATTATTTGCTCAGATTCATCATCATCACCAATCAGTTTACAGAGATGTCACTCAGATAGTAGAGCAGATATTTTGATTGAAATCCAGCAAACCTTGCACAAAATTTCAATGATGGGCATAACAGTCATATTTTTATGGGTATCAGCACACATGGGAGTTAAAGGAAATGAAATGCAGATAAGGTTGCAAAGGATTCTACAAAAAGAGAAGCCATCGATCTGTCAGTTAAAATTAGTAAGATGGAAACAAAGGGCATCATTAAACGGAAACTGAAGGAAAGTTGGCGAAATGGAAAGAAGAGAGGAAAGGACTATGGTTTTATATGATTCAGAGGAAAGTGGGAGAAATGAGGTGTGCTGGAAGGAACAGAAGAGAAGAAACAATTATATCAAGACTTAGATTTGGGAACACAGGATTAAACGGTACTTTATTTAAAATAGGTAAACATAAAACCGGTATGTGTGAATACTGCAAGCAACAGGAAACAATTGAACGTGTTATGGTACACTGTAAAAAGTATGAAAGAAAAAGGAGGGAATTGGTTCAAAATCTTAAAAAAAAAAGACAGAATACACTTTAATTTAATAGAAATCCTTAGAAAGAACTCAAGAGATAAGTGTTATGTAATTGTTTTTCATTATCTTAGATTCATCAATGTAATGGAGAGGATTTGAATCTTTTTTTGGTTTTGTTCAGTATAAGTAGGCAGTAGCCATTCAGATTCACACTCCATGCCAGTTGGTGGCAGTAATGCACCATTTCGTTACATGCCAACCGCCAATAAAAAGAGAAGAAGAACCGGTTTCACCATTCGAGGGCGCTACTCGCCAAAAGTAGCGACAGGACGACATATCTCTCAGAGGAGAAGAAGACTTCCTCCGGTGTTTTGAAGCTGCTTGTGGAGAGATGTCCTGGGCCGTGAGTAGTGAGGAAACAGGAAGCGATTCTTGTGGGATGGAAGAGGGAAATAGTGACAATGAAGGTTGGAAGATAGCAACATCAAAAAATGAGAAAAAGCGGAAAAAACAGAGATCAGTTAAAGGGGAATCTAGTTCAGAACAATCCAGTGATGAGCAATCCATACATTCCACAGCACAACGAAATTTATTCAAAGTCATATTCAAAGTCGTTAATCAGGCAGACTCTTTTACAAATTGGAATCCGGTTCACTTAACAAAAACCATCAATAAACTTGTTGGAGAAGTCAGAGGTGCCAGAATTCTGTACAGTGGAGACCTGCTAATTAACTGCAGAGACAGCGCCCAGCAAGGCAAAGCAATACGAATCAACAAAATTGACGGGATAAGAGTTCAGTGCAGCTTAATGGAGAACAAAAAGATCAGCAGGGGAGTCATTGGAGGAGTTCCTCTAAATATTTCTGAAAAAGAGATTCTGGAAAACATAAGCGGTGCAAAAGTAAAAGAAGTAAAACGGTTAAAAACAACAAGAAACGGAGAAAGATCTGACAGTTTATCAGTATTAATTAAATTTGAAGAAGAGCAATTACCAAGCAAAGTATTCATCGGTTACATCAGCTATAATGTTAAAATCTACAATCCTCCACCACTGAGATGTTTCAAATGCCAAAAATTCGGTCACATTGCAGCAGTTTGTAAAGGGAAACGGAGGTGTGGAAGGTGTGCAGGAGAACACGAATATGGTAAATGTGGAAAAGAAGCTAAAATAAAATGCTGTAATTGTGGTGGAGATATACTGCTGCTTATCGCGGTTGTGAAGCAAGCAAAAGGTCTGAGGAAATAAAAAAAATTAAATTTGAGCTCGGAATAACCTATGCTGAAGCTGCAAAAAGGTTCCCATCTCAGTCAGAAAAACCCAAACCTACAGTTCAACACAGACCTCTAGAGACACTCAGACCTCTAGAGAAATCTCCAAAAATTGATGAAGACTCACTAATTGTTAAAAAGACAAATTTTGTTCTTTTCATGGTGGAAGTGATTAATTGTACTCCACAGACAACAAAAAAACTGAAAAAATCAAAATAATAGTGAAGGCTGCAGAAAAATATCTGGACATTAAAGATTTGAACTGGGAGATGGTTGGAAGCATGATGGGAGGACCGATGGGACCATCAGAAACTGGCAAAGTTACGATGACCTAGAGTTAAATTAAAATTATATGGGCAAATGTGATTTAGTATTATGTTGGTTTAAGTTACACAGTTTTTTTTTTTTTTTTTTTTTTTTTTTTTGGGGTGAATCGTTTCCTGTTTTCTTGCTTTACTCCATATCAGTTGGTGGCGGTAATGCACATTTCACAAGTTTGCCAACCGCCATAAAATCTCATAAGAAGAAGAAGAAGACTTCCTCCCCACGACTTTGACGTGAAGCCTTAGCGGCCGTCTTGACCTTTCAGCTACATCGAGACAAACTGAAATGTGAGTAACTTTTGGCATTTACATTTTTTAAAGGTTATACAGACCCTTGAATACGTTATGATGAAGACCTTTGAACACGTTTAGTCTTAATTCGTTCTACCTAAACGAATAAATCACTCTATTTCATGTTTGAATAGGTTGTTCTTTCAGCTACATGTAGCTTAGCTTAATGCTAAAGCTGAAGTACAACAATGATTGCAAAGCAGTTTATTTATCAGCGGATCTATTTCTTCGAATACAATTGTGAATGGTTGGTCTAATTTTTGCCCATCTATTCCTTCGTTTTAATTTGACTGACTTCAATTAATTTAACCACGACCACGTTGAAGTTAAAAGAAACTGACAGTAGCATTTTTGTAGCTTTACAATTAGCAGAAACAAACAGGTTGGGACCTAAACGCCTAGTGCTTTTTGCCCCAGAGGATCATAGGAGGAAATTAGGAAAGAGAAGTAACTAAATATTTCAAGCTGAGTTAGTAGTCATTCAATATTTGCTCATCGTTGGATTTAGTTTAGCTTTAAACTGGACAAGATTGCAAGTGTTTTTTCAACAACAAAAAAATATAACAAAAAGAACAATAAAATTGTTATACTGAGATTTATGATTGCCTAACTGAATAAACTCCATTGCTTTTTGTCACAGATGGCTGGACAAGCCTTTGCAAAATGGTGGTCCGCCGTGGGCCCTTATTACACTAAGGTGTACCAGGAGATGTGGGTTGGAGTTGGCATCATGACATACCTCTATTATAAAGTTTCCTACGGGGGTGAGTAGAAGAACCACAGATCTTGACCTTGATCTAGACATTTGGTGTTTGGTGGAGATGTGATGAAGGGCTGGCTATTTAAAGGGAAACACCTTTTTTTTTTTTTTTTTTTTTTTTTTTTACATTGGCCCTTGATTTTACATTAATACATCATGTTCTACTCACCCATATTAGTGTTGTGTCATTTGGAGCTGTTCTGAAGATATTCGGTTTTGTTATATCCATGTAAGGTCTTCCTATGGGCAACAAGTTGAAGGCACAAACTAAACTGATCATAATTTATTCTTTATGGTACGCCAGCATTCATAATATGTAGGCAAATTACTGTCCCCCAGACAGTCCGCAGTTATATTGTGTATGTTTATATTTTTTTTAAACAAAGCAGAGTGTGTATGACGTCATCCGCACGCTGGACTGGAGTTGTGACAGGCGGCTACGCTCTACCCCTTCTATTCATTCGGCTAGCTAATCTGAATCGTTCAATTCCATTTCAAGAGCGAGATCATCTGTGGTAGTAGCACTAGACATCTTCCAGGCATGTGAGTAAAACTAGCAGCAGTTCAGCGGACAGGATGAATGAATGGTTGCCGGCGCACGCGGATGACGTCATACACACTCCGCTTTGTTTAAAAAAAGATAAATATAAAAAATATAACCGTGGCTTTCTGGGGGACAGTGATTCACCTACATGTTATGAATGCTGGCGTACCATAAAGAATAAATTATGAACAGTTTAGTTTGTGCTTTCAAGTCGTTGACCATAGGAAGACGTTACTTGGATATAACAAGACCGAATATCTTCGGAACAGCTCCAAATGACGCACAACTAATATGGGTGAGAAGAACATGATGTAATAACGTAAAATCAAGGGGCCAATGTAACAAAAAAAATGGTGTTCCCCTTTAAATGATTTAGCGATTCTGTTGTTTAAGATTTAGTTTTTGGGAAATCTGGATTGTTTTTCACCCATGTGCTCTTTAAAATCCCTGTGGTGCAGAGTGACATCGGCCTGCCTCTTTTTGTTCTTAACTGTACAATCAAAGCTGATAAATAAGCTTATTGCATAATACCAAGAGCTGCAAACATTTAGTGTTATGTTTTTTGGGTTGTTTACAGTAGCAGTGCCTGCCTACTTGTATTTAGTTGTACTTTTGAATTTTGAAATTTCAAAAGCATTTTTATCATCTCAAATATGACCCCATGAAACTAAATGAAAGAAAAAATAATAAATGGATTAGATTTGAATCGAACAAAAATCTGAAAGTATTTTTAAGCCATATGGCCCAGCCCTAGTGCAATGTAGGTTTTTGAAACTTGATTCTGGCTTAAATATTCCATATAAAATTAATTGTGCATTATGTTTAAGATATGTGTATCAGTGTGATTAATCGTTCTTAAATTTTTTTCTATTGTAGGAAAGAAAAAGGCAGTGGCAAACAGTAAGTTTAAAAAAAAAAATTTTTTTTTCCAGCTTTTATTGTCATTACACTGTCACAAGTACAGCACAACATTCAACCTGCATTTAACCCATCCCCTGGGGGAGCAGTGGGCTGCCATTGTGCAGCAGCCAGGGAGCAGTGTGGGGTTAAGAGTCTTTGCTCAGGGAGCCAGAGGGACAGCCTGCAGGACTGGGTTTCAAACTTGCAACCTCAGGTTTCCTAGCTCAATGCCCTAACTAATAAGGCTGCCACTCCCTCCACACCACCCAAAAAAAAGAATTTTATAATTCATAATTGAACTTTATTGATTGCACATTGGAGAAATGTACCTATGATGATGAGTAATTAAATGTAAGGAATGTGATCGTATGTTTTCGAATGTCCTACCATAGTATAGTACCTCTGTCAAACGGAACAATATGCTTTAATAATCCCAGGTTCTTGGCTTAAAGATTTTCAATTTCTATAAAGCACTGATCAAAATGTTTGCCTCCCAGCATATTCTGGTCTATCCAGGGAACTTTTACCTCCACTGTTCATCCTTGTGTCTGAGCAAGAATAAAAAGGCTGCTTGTTAGGAGTGCGTGTTATTGAACTTGCAGTAATATTGGTTAAACTTGTGATAATGAAGTGTGTTCAAATAATAAAAAAGCAAATGGCTAGATGGTAAGGAGTCTGTCCAGCTTATGTTTTTGAAAAAGTTACTTCCAACTAAGGGTCATGATAACAAAATATTTTGAATTTGATAATTTATAGAAAAAAAGATGACGGTACATTTAAAAGTCCATCTGTCATTTTGATAGCAATTCACAGAGTGACCACTCGGTGGGGTATAATTAAATAGTAAAGCTTTTTTAACCAGGTTCCCTCCCATTGAGCCAAGACCTTTGTGGATCTGGAAATCCTTCTGTTCTCATCACCTGATTTGGGGAATTTTTTGGGAGGGTTAGATTTGTACTTGTGATTCCAGACTGAAATGCACCTGCTGAGGACCGATTCAAACTTCAGAACATATGAAAAATGTTGAAAAATCATCTGTACGAGGCAAAACCCTGGCATGATTCCAGCTTAAGACAATTTAACACAACCAGGACCATGTGGAGCAATGGGAAGCTTTAGGAATTCGGCTCCCTCCCAATACAACAAATCGTAGATCCTAGCTCCTATCCTTTCACCATTCTTGTAGTCAACAGTAAGAAGACTGTCCAGGGTAGGAAAGGAACTTGGGGCTGTGGTGCTGAGTCCTTACAGCCTTTGCATCTAATTGATGTGGATTCTGTTCATCTTGGACAGGGTATCGATTAAAATGAATGAAAATTAAATGCTTTAGACGAGTAAAAATAGATCAAAAAATTTCTTTTTTCTTTACCTTGTTAATTAAAATGAGTAAAGCATCCTTCTGACCCACATCTTCTGTTGTGCTATTGAAACAACTTTGTTTTAGCTTTTTAATGGCTTGAACAACCTCAAACCTCTCTACCGTTTATAGTCATTTTTTGTGTGCTTTTTAAACAACTATTGTTAACACATATTACAGGCCCCAAAACAGATTTTCCTCTGAGCAATAAGATATGCCACTTGAACTACATATTGCATCCAAACAGCATTTTGAGACTATGATATTGTAAGACCTTGTATTTTAAAGACCGATTCACTAAATCCATGTAGCTTTGGTATTTGTATACAACTGTAAAGGCAAGACAATATTAATTGGCTATACAAAATATTATGCACACTTTGCCTTATTGAACAAATTGAATACTATTTGGTTTGCATAAAAAAATCAAATGCATTTTTTTCTAATAAAATATAAAAAACTAGTTTAATCAGTTTGCTGACCCATACCATCGGAAGTTTTTTTTTTTTTTTTTTATGCACCCCATTTATCTTTAGGGATAATGGTCAATCTGAAAAAAAAAGAAAGAAAAAGCTTTAAAGATGTTTTTCCGTGTCAGTCTTTAAGAGTACTTATGAAATATTAACTGTATTTTGGACGTTTCAAAGAAAGGCTAGAACGTTTCCTTGACTTCCCTGACTTAATATTGGGCAAACTATTCCTCCAATTTGTGTGAAATATATTTAAATTAGTTTTTTTTATTTATGATAATTTTGTTTTTCTTTCTTTAGAACCTGCACATTGAACTGGCAACCATGAGGAAAACCTGTTCTTCTGTGATATATTACCCGTCTCATCAATCCTGAAGTCTCTCTTCATATTTCAGTTTTTGTTAATATGGATCAAATAAAATGTATGACCTCCACTTTTGGCGTTTTGACTTATTTTGTCATTGTAGTTGTGACATATTCTAGACTGTTTACTTTGCTAGTTTTGGGCAGCCAGATGTTCTCTTTAATTGGTAAACTTTCATACAAAGGATCCATATATTCTACATTCTACCAACAGTCTTTTTATCCCAATATAAATGTTTTTCAAATGGTAATGGATTTTAAACATGGTACAAAATAGGAGATGGGAAAAATTTACTTTTAAACATGCAAGTATTTCAGGGCTGTTTAAGCTTTGGTCCTTTTAGACGGATCTAAACTTAAGTTGTAGTCTTTGCTCCATTTAAGGAATAAGTAAGCTATTTATAGCCAGTTGCACTTTGGGTTTGCATTTTAACTAGTTGAACTGGGAATAAGTCTCTATTTGGTGCAGAGTGGGTGTTTAATGTGGTTAGTGATTCCGGGAAAGGTGGGATGTTATTTCATCATATACGGTAGTAGGAATCCAAACTTTTTAAAAATATTTCCCTGCTTTGATTGACACTTGGATAAAAATAAACATTTAACTTAGTTACATAATTCTGCTAAGGTCCCTATTCTGCAGTCCTGCTAAATGGATTTAGCTTTACAACTGCCTCATTGTCAAAAATCAATGACCAATAAACAGCTGTCTGTACATTTTGGTTCTGAGAACAGAGTGCTATGAACGGTCCCACATTAGGCCATACATTTAGACCCATGAGGTGATGAAAAAATACCATGAAGGGAAATTAAGTAAAGTTCAAGTAATAATAATGATATAGATTAGGTGTCACTGATACCATTAAGCCTGGATTTTCGTTTCCTACGATTTACAGTCCAAAAAACATTTTATCGTCGTAGATCAAGAGGAAAACATGACATTTTAGGCATGAGGTGCAAGTTTGGTATGAAATAATCTACAGCAAGGTTAGCCCATAATGGCATGGTCCATGTTTTTAAGTGGGAAAAGTTATGCTGATTTATTTTTTTCATTTTACAGTTAAAAAATCGGTCATAGAGAATTTGAAACCTTTTGGGTTATATATTTGATAGCAGAGGCGTAGCCAGAAATTTTTTCATAAGGGTGGCCAGGCAATAACCAATGTAAACTAAGGGTGTGCAAAATAATCGTCAAATCGATGAATCGTGATTCTAATTTTTGTGATCTACTGAATCGATTCTTGAAGGCAAGAATCGATTATAAAAAAAAAAAAATGAACAAATAAAATACATTAATGGTTGGCGCACATCAATCAAACCAAGTGGAATACAACTTCCAGTCCAGCAGAAGTCGCTGCGGATGTGTTGACGCCTGCTGCTTTGTGTCATAAGCATGTCCGGACTGATTATCCTCATTTTGTTATTTTAAGTTTGATGAATCCTAAGATCTTTTTGTTGGTGTGTCCATGCCAGTAATAGTAATATTTCTGTCCAGTATTTGTTTTCATGGCAACACCTCCAAAAGTAATTTCAATAAATACAGCTATGTATGAATTCAGTTGCTTTCAGTTATGTATCAGTTGAAGACACTATCCAGATCACACCCAGCCAGTCAGCCACTGGTAAGGGCTGTATCTTTTTCTTACAGTGTTCAGTGAAAATATCACAATGCATCGCAATATTTCAAGTATCGTGATGCATCGTGATAGAATCGCATCGTGGCATGTGAATCGTGATTCGAATCGAATCGTGACTTCTTTGCCAATACCCACCCCTAATGTAAACTGAGGGGTGGCCAAAAGTTGATAGAAACCAGAACCTCAGGGTCAATCTACAGCAGGAAAATGAATGGGCACAACATCCATATTGTCTAAATAAAGACTATATTTTTCTAAAACCTTTGCTGACAAATAGACATACATATTTAAACATCTGTGCTGTCTAGATAAAAGGTATAGTGAATACAATTCTTTTGAGTTTTGGGGGAACATATTGTCCATTACCAGTGATGGGACTAACGGCGTTGAAAGTAACGGCGTTACTAACGCCGTTACCTTGTTTTAGTAACGAGTAATCTAACTAATTACTTTGACTGTAACTATAACGCAGTTACCATTGCAGGCACCCCGTTACTGCGCGTTACTCAGGTCGCACAATGAACCTTTTTTCATGATAGGACTCGTGCGCAGCTGCGTGAAGCTGACACCCCACCCACGTCAAAAAACTCTGCAAATAGACTGAATGGTTAGTGCAACGTTAGTGCAGATTTGTGCAGAAAAAAATATTGTTTGTGCTACTTTTGTTTAAGAGATATTAAAGATTTATTTTAGGTCATCCAGAGGTGCGCGCCTTGTCATGAGAGAGGGGAGGATGAGATTCCGTCTGTCAGTTGAATAGGTGGGTGTTTCTGCTGGTGGGTGTTAACGTACAGCACACACAGAGAAATGGAGAGTGAGGATGACTCCAGCAGCAAAACAGCGTTTTCCACATGGAAATACCGGTGTTACGTCGAGCTGCGTTTCACCATCACATAACGGTTTCCTCTGCTTCTCCACACAGCGCAGGCGGCAAGAGTCACCGCGCAAGCGACAGGAAACGCGCATGCTCGCTAAAGGCACGCAACCCTGTGCTCGCGCCACAGGAGAACTATGGAGAGCGTGAACGATCAAATGAACCTGACAACAGCCAGAAATGATAGCCTATATGGAGAAAGGGAGAAATCTGGATGGATGGATGGATGGATGGATGGATGGATGGATGGATGGATGGATACTCTGCCTTCTCAACCTACTGTTTTTTTTATTTTAAACATTATTTGATGGCCTTTGTGGCAGGGATGGAGATCCATATTTTATGTCACACACAGAGTATACATCTAGATAGATAGATGGATAGATGGATGTTGCAGTATCTATAACAACCCAAACACACAGGATTTCAGAATTAGACATCCCGAGTTATTAATTTCATATACTCACCGGATCTGAATGTCCTGTTATAAAACTTCACATCGCGTTCCCCCCTGATGTCATTTACGTTGAGTTGCAATAAATGCTAAACTGTCTGCAGGTTCTTGTCTTTGTCGTCCGCTCTATTCAGCTGGCTTTGAAAACACACGGCGAGAAGGTGGGGGCCGGGTGGTGAGGTTTACGGGGGCGAGAAATGCAAAAGTAACGCAATAGTTACTTTTACTAGTAACTAGTTACTTTTATTGTGGAGTAACTCAGTTAGTAACTCAGTTACTTTTTGGGAGAAGTAACTAGTAACTATAACTAATTACTTTTTCAAAGTAACGTGCCCAACACTGTCCATTACCCACCTACTTTTATCAATAATCATTCTGCATAAAATTGATATTTACAAGTACTAATATCTACATAAATTGATTATTTAATACATTTGATTAAAATAGCTATCAATAATTTTACTGAAGACTCTAGACTTAGATGACTTGCAGAGACATCATTTTCTCTTCACCTCAAATAACACAAAAACTGTTCTGAAAAAAGCATTAATTCTGTACTTATCTTTAATGTTAGTATATTGATGCGCATAATTAACCACAGTAATTTGTTGTTGTTTTTTTTTGTGTGTGTTTTGATAAATGTTTTAAATATTCCACTTGAGAGTATTACTGCTGCCACCATCTGTATTACAGGGAGAAAAAAAATGGTAGGGTGGCCATGGCCCCCCATCTAGCTCCGCCCCTGTTTGATAGTGGTATTTTAACCCATTTACAGAAAAATGGAAAGAAATGGCTGCTCTTTCAACCCTGGCCCTGTATGTTCTAGAGCAGCAAAGGGAGGGACTTAAGTAGTACTTTAGAGCTCACTTCATCAGGTGCGTTTAATTAGCCACACCTGGCCTCATCAAGGTTGTTCTTCATTTTGATTTATTGCTGAACCAAAAGTCATGGAAACTTATTTTTCCATTGACTGTGTGCAACAAGCGCCTCTGCCGGTGTTACAAAACACTCTTTGGCCACATTAAATGTTTGACTTGATTTTAACGCTCGCGTGGGGGAGGCAGCAGGCAGAAACCGGTTGACCGAGTGGGAGCGCAGCGCACCCTCTCCCCCTCCTCTCCGCGCGCACAGAGCGAAGCTCCGCTCGGCTCCTCTCTCCTGCATTATTCAAACATGGCGAAACTCTTTTCCGTTACACCCCTTCGGTCACCGTCCTCCGCCTCGCCGTTACCGTCTCAACCACAGACACCAACTTTACCGTCACCGTTATCTCCGGCACCGTGATGACCCGGGAGGATGGAGAAGTTGTCGGCGAGCCTGTCGGAGATCACTTGGTGCCCCTTGGCGCTGCCGCTGGACGCGGTGGTCAGCAAGTACCGCCTGCCCACTCTGGTCCGCTTGGCCCACGGTAAGAGGGACAAGCTGTTCCCGTGGGTGCTGCATCCACTGACACGACCTTTAATAACTATTGTCACTTATAAACCGTTGTCTTACTCTGACTAAACACCGCTTGCTTGGCAATGACAAGAAAAGTAACCATGATTTTTTTTTTCTTTTGCCGTTTGCCAACGGAAAAAAGAGATAAAATTAGTGTTTGCGTAACTTTGTATTAGTAGACCATAGAAATAATATGAAAACTGGAGAAATGCAACAGAAAAATGTAGCGCTTAATGAGATGCCAAGTTTATCAGTAGAAATTGTTAGCTTCCGGTAAAACTTTCAAAATAATACACTCTTATTATGTTTTTGAAGCGGTTTAGAGGGGAAAAAAAGGTAAGTGAAAACAGAACAAAAAATTATTTCCATATTTATATTATTTTATTGAACTTGATCTTTTTGTTTTCTTACAAAAAAGTCGTATGCTCATTTTATTTTTTGTGGTGGCGGTGGTGGTGGGGTGGGGGTGGGGGTTAAGTAAAAGCATTGACATATATTTTTAGCTTAAAATTTCAGCATTATCAAAATAACATTACTTATCAATGGTATTTTTTGGCTGTAATACAGTGTCTTTTTGTTCTATGAAAAGTTGAAAAGATCAGATACCCACTTTTGTACAACTGACTTTCCAAAATAATATCCATGGCAGGCGATATTGTGACAGCAAATTTTAAATACTGAAAGTTTTTTTTTTCTTTTTATACCAGAAAAGTGAAAAGAAATAAATGGAATACAGCTAATGAGGCAAGAGAGAACCAAGGTTGAATAGAACAGTGACTTTATTTTTCTAACCTCTGTTTTACAGATTAGGACAGCTCACAGCTAATTCCAATTTACAATGAAGACCTGGACACACTAAAGGAAAACATATTTTATATATATGTTATAATAATATTAGCAATTAACTTCAAACATGTATTTGGTTATCTTCCTTTTTTAGTTTCTTTATCCTGCACCATTGGACTCCAGTTATGGTAACTCAGATGATCTAAACTTCTTTTAAGTTGATTAAAGTAAACCTGCCATGCTTTCACTAAAGTACAGCAGGTTAGCTACGATAAATGTATTCAAATGAATTACTTTTCAACTGAGATACGTTAAAGTACAAATTTTTAAGAGGGAAACTTTTTTTCCCTTTTTTAATTTTTGTTTAATCATTGGGAGAAATGAGACAGACTTAAAATATCTGATATTAAAGTGAAAGAATGACATAATCTGAATACTAATGGATAATAGCATTAGCCAAACTGCTACAATTGTTTAAAAAGAATAGATAAATAAGTCTTGTCACTTATAGTCAGTAGATAAAAAGGATAATAAAAAAAGTATTGTTTTTTCCTTTTGCAAAGATTGCAATGATTGCTCGCGTGGTAATCTTAACTGGTTCTGTGGCTCTGTTAAAATATATATATATATATATATATATATATATATATATATATATATATATATATATATATATATATATATATTTTTTTTTTCTTTTTTTTTTTTTTTTTGAGTCGTATACACAGACTAGATATTCTATTGTCATTGACATATTTTAACTATTTTACTTGTCCATTGCTCTTAAGGTTTAGAAATGCAATTCTTTCTTTGACTTTTGTGTCACTAAGAACTGAGTATTTAAGGCAAACTATTAGTTTCTCTCTTAGTGCTATAGTTTTTTTCTGTTATTTGCTAATAACTACCTTCTTGATAGTAATTGGCCTTTACTTTTATTTTGAAATCAGTTTGGGGGGATTTCCGTCGCTCTTTGGTTAAATCTCAGTTTTTTCACTTTTTTCATCTTCAGCAGCGGAGCCACTACATTGGCTTTCAAATGAGTCCAATAACTCTCCTTTGGAGGTGTTAAGGAAATATTTTGATCCCGCATACTGTGTATTCTCCCCATGCTTTGTTCCCAGCACATTTCCGCACAAACCGCAGATTTTCTGTCTTCTCTATGGGAACGGCCGATGGGTGCTGCGGCCAAGTTTTTCCAGTCCAGGAGGCCCGGAAAGCCACAAAGTGTCTGTTGTGCTGCTGAAGTGCTGCTGAATCCTATTCATATGTAAATGCTGTAATCTGTCGGAGAATGTGGAGAATACTAACGAGGAGCGACAGCAAGGCAAACCTCCAACTTTTCTCCAGAAGTGCCCACCTAAAAAACAAAAAAGCGTTCGACGCTCCAGGGAAATTGCGCACCTCTTGGTGGCGCGCGCTTTTGTTTTGATCTATGCACCGCTTCCTAAATGCGCCTGATTTACCCCACAGATCCCCCCTTGTTTTCAGTGCCAGCCAACGCAGTTATGCCAGTTATATACAATAGGGTAAGATGACAACTTTCTCAAGTCAACATCAACAGGCTGATTATCTGTATGCAGAAGCTGCCGTGTGGTTGCGTGAGTGCGTAAGGACCTAATGTGATGGGGAATTTCCTGCAACATTATGAATGCTCCAGATTGCACTATATTAAATTATCTAGAAGCCTAACTGATTGCGTGGTAGCAAACACACTTGGCCTCACAAAGGAAACCCTCAAACATTTATTATGCCACAAGATGGAGGTATGTTAAGGGTAGAACATGTCAAGGTCCAAAGGTCATTACGAAAATGAATGGTCATTTCATTAATTTTTCTAAACATTCATTCAGAATTCTAAATAGAATGTAAGAAAATAAAATGGTATATGATTGGAGACCTACAATATATACATAAGATTTACTTGAAATGAAGTAGCGACAAAAGGTGAAGATGATCAACAGTTTGATATCATAGAACATTTGGAGGTCTTTACTGAGATTTTTATTAATTAAATCACTTCATTTTCCCATGTATCTTAATTCTGTTATCTTGCAGGCCCTACTTTCTGAAATCATTGATCAGAAGTTTTCAGCTTTAGACCATCACTAAGCAGTTTCTAAATGCAAAGCAGAGCAGAAAGGGATGCAAGGTTTTCAAATCGAACCAAAAGGGAGAATGTAGGTGTGCAGATCTTTGTAACTGCATTTTGTGGTGATTACAGCTGGGAGTATTTTGGAAATTCTCAACAAAACCATTTTCTTTGCCAATTCTTCCTTAAAACTAGTTCAAAAGTTGACAGATTTCATGGAGGGCCTCTTTGAAACATTTCTAAGCCCTGTAAAACTGCTACTGCAGGGCTGCTTGTTTGTTTAGAGTCAATACAGTACCTGCTGGAAGGCGAATCTCTGGCCCAGCAGCAAGTCTAGCCTCTAACATGATGTCTTGCCCAGTATGTAGCTCCAACAATCTTCTGTACCAGCTTCCATTATGTAAAACCAGGCATTTCCATAGCTTAATGCTGGTACCGCTATGGTCTTTCACTGGGTTGGATATGTTAAGGAAGGGATGCAGTGTTAGTTTTGTACCTGAAATATATGATCTATAAATAATTTTGTGTTTGATTTAAAATGTTTCATCTGAACTGGGAATCCTTTCTCATGCTTGCTCTGTCACCTACATACTGTAGATATTGCAATATGTTTTATAATCTTTATTTTTTCAATATCTTTCTTCTTGCCACAATAAAGTCTATGGGGATGCCTACATTTCTGTAGATTTAATAGTAATTTTGTTATCGATAGAACTGAGTTCTGTGATTTTATTATTTTTTAAAGCTTTCATTATGGATTAACTAAACCATGCTTTTTATTGCTTTTATGCTTTTCATGTATTAAAAATCTTTTCTCTTTTCAATAAATATGGCTACTCTGCGTAACACAAGGCTCTGTGCTCTGACCAATTCCTTTACTTAGAGCTGGATAAGCTCCCAGCTGATCGTGTCTAATTCCAGCATGTCAATCAGAAATTCCTAATACACAGGAAGCAGCACCTGAAACTGGGAGAATATATCTCAGACTGTAGGACCATCAGCACCTGTTCTCCTGAAGGTTGTGTTCTTTTCCCTCTGTTTTTCGCCCTCATCACTGGGGGGGATGAGTCCACTAATGTGGGGGGTTGCTCATCTGGTGACCTGGTGCTGCCAGAACAGTCTGGGGATTCATGCTTTGAAAACAGTGTCAAGCTCCATCTTCCTGTGCAGCTTTCCAGTCCCCGCTGTGGACTCATTCTGCTTTCTGGGCACCATCATCACCCATGACCTTAAGTGGAAGTTGAACATAACCTCCCCTCACCAAGAAGGTACAGTAGAGGATGTACTTTACTCGGCTGCTGAAAACCTTTAACCTGCAAAAATGACGACGCACTTCAACTCCGCCATCGAGTCCATCTTCTCCTCCTCCATACCCATATGGAACGCTGCTGCACAGAGGGTGATTGCCTGCAGTCTTTCTTCTCCTTAAGACCTGCATTCCTCCAGAGCTCAGAGACAAGCAGGAAGTTTGGCATCCTACCCCTCACAACCTGAGATAAATTTGAATCCGGCGGATGGGTCCACTGCTATGAAGGACAGCTCCCATGATTTATTGCGAGTCCAAGCAAGCCTGATGCTCCGTGTTCAGAGGAAAAAGGGAAATGGTCACAAACAGTGGTGAATATTCTAAGTGCAGGTTAATATAATGTGAGTGTGTGGATAGTTCCGTATGAAATTAATGAAAATAGTTGTTTTGAATGGTTATCGAGTCAGGTATGTGGCGGGTAATCTTTGGTTTATTGAAAGGTTTTATCTGTCTCTATAAATGGGTTTGGCTGACATTTAAGCACAGATTCCAATATCTCTGCAGTGTGCTGACTGCTTATCCGATATTCTTGACGACGGTATTGCTGCTGAAGCTTCTGAAAAATGTAATTGGTCTACAGAACAATAGTGAGAAGTTCTTTGCTTTGCCTGCTTTGTGTGTCAAATGTCACGGTTGCTAGGCGACATAGAGTATGCTGAGTGAGGGGTGGTGAAAGCCAAAGAAGGCTGGATCTGTTATTTTCACGGACCTCGAAGGACCCAGTCCAGGTACGCCGTGTCCGAAGGACACAACCGCCGGACTTAATACACTGCTGGACACTAACTGGTTCAGACTTTCCCATCATGGTAGGAGGCTGTGGTCCATCTGCACATCTTGCAACAAAAAACAGCTTCCCATCTGCTAGTGGCCTTATTGATATCGCCCAGATTTTCCACTGACATTTTCGTTTCTAATGATACAGATATCTCTGCACGTGTAAATTCTGTTTAAGTTGATCTGACATTTCTGTGTTCTTACGTTTTTAATATATATGCTACACTGCACTGCGTTGTCAAAAAGTGATGCTGTTTTTCTCTATCTGTACTATTCCTGTGCAACTTTGTTTCACACAATCTATTTCCAAGTACATTTCTTGTATGTTTAAAACACTAGCAGGCAATAAATTTTTTTTTTTCTGATGTCTGTTAACTAATTTTCTCTAACAAACTTCTGACACCTTCACAGAACAGCTGCATTTATACTGAGATGATTCATGGAGCAAAATCTTTGTGCTGATTGATTCTAAAAGCAGGCAGCTGTACTGGGTTTTATTTTTGAGACAGAGGGTCTATACATATTAATGCTATGTAATATTTTGTAATATTTGTGTTTATGAAAACATTTGGAAGTCAGGAATTATTTATCCTTCAACTTTACATTTAGACTTTTGTGTTGGTCTAACACAAGCAAATACATCTCAGCACAATAAATGTCCATACATGCTTGTTTTCTGTGATTGAATCGGCCCACTGTGCTATCAGCTGAGATCAATGCAGTTGGGTAAGTGTGTGTGTGTATATAGGAAGGGAGGGGGTGTTTAATAGCAGGGTGCCAGCTGAAAAACAGTCCTGATAAGTAGCAGTTAGGGCTGGTGAAGCGTCACTAATGGTGGTGATTATGAACACCGAACACTGGCGGAGGTTCTTTCAGTGTTTTCCATCCTATATCTTTAAATTGAAACTATAACACTGAAATGTAATTCCTGCATCATTTAGTTCTTACATATTCTGGTTTTCTGTGTTCCAGGCGAATGTGTGGAGGGTCTGTCAGAGGACGACACTGTGCTCCTGCACTCCTGTCGTCAGTGGACCACTGTAACGGCCCACAGCTTAGAGGAGGGTCATTACGTCATTGGGCCCAAGATTGACATTCCGCTGCAGTACCAGGGTAAGCGTGGACGCTCAAACACATTTACATCAAGTTTCACTATTAGTTTGGTTTCTCATGGACAAAGAAAGCAGCAAGTAGTCAAGAGTTTATCAGAAGCTAAAAATACCCATTGTTTATAAAATGTCCCATTCTGTCCGCGGCTAAAAATACTCATTTTTATTTTCCTTAAAGGTCAACATGTTCCACTTGTTCCAATTCCAGAGGGTTCGGTTTATTTAGTTTGAAGAGGGCAAGATAATGTCAAATGTTAATGCTATGTTCAAAGGGTTGGTATACTGTAAGAAATAGTTTATATAAGTTCTTAGACATTTTACAAAAAGGTTCTGTCTTTGATAGATTCCCTAATAATTGGAAATGCAAAGAAAAATAGTGGAAACGCACAAATGAGAGCGATGAAAAAATGCTGCATATTCACATCACATATCCTGTCTTTAAAACACCGTTAGTCACCAAAATGTACTTTTACAATGAATGAAAAAAAATCCTAATATTCTAGGTAGAATTTAACAATGCAGTGGAAAAACATACAAGTTTAACATTCAGCCCAAAACTTTAATGATTTAAACTCGGTAAAGGTCATACATAGAGAAAAGATTCCTTTTCTTGTCTGGTGAGTGGCTAAAAGTTTATGGAAATTATAGTAAACAGAAATAAAAACTTTTTTTGTTTTTGAAGCTGCAGCAAATGTTCTGCTAAAGCTCACAAACTGTGGTTGCTATTGAAACAGAAATAATACTATGTATGTTTTTGTACTTTCTTGTGCCACCCCAATATAACAAGGTATCAAGATTTCCCAAATAAGCACATTTTTATTTCAGGCAAATTTTATCTTTATTTCAAATCCAGTATTTAAATAAAACCTATTATTCTAATATTGTTTTATGAAATAAAGCATTGAAAATTAAAAAGTCTAATGTAGATTTCCACTGACATTGAGTAAAATCAAGTCTCATTTAACCATAATGCACATTTATTATGTATACTGTTGCTGCAGCCCTTTCATTCATAGATCCAACCTGCTACCATGTGATCTCTATCCTCCTCCTGCTCAATGACTTGTGGTCTTCCTGCTTAATGACTGTAGTCAGGATGAGCTCATCCACACAATCCCATTCTTCCCTCTTAGTACAGTCTCATTATTTGCTGTGTAACTGGATCTTAATGCCTCATCTCCATCACTTCCTCCTCTGATGCAGCGCTGATGTCACCTCACACTGCTGCCGCCTCTCAGGCTCCGTTTCGGAAGACGGAATGAGCAGTTGTTTCGGAGGGGGATGCTGAGATCATCGTCAGAGATGTCACTGTTTCACATTGAAAATAAACTAATGCTAAAAATAACCTATTTTCCAATGGAATCAATGGTTCTCATTAAAATTACTTTTAGGGTAAAAGTAAAGGGCAGCATCAAGCCTTCAAAGTTCTAATCTGTGTTTTTACCAGGCTGCCTCAGTTTATATTGAAGAAATATGTATTTTTCCCCCTTTATTCTTCAAATGCATCAAATCTACAGCTTTATTGACTTTCCATTGTTGTTGTCGTATCAGTGTGCCCCTATTTCAAGTGCAAAGGACTCCTTGGATGATATATTTCAAATGTCGCTTCCTGAGATCCACATCCACAATATTTGAGGACCCTTAAAGTCCACAAAGCTGATGTGTGTTTTTATTGGCTGACATGCTAAAGCTCAGTTATAGAAGGGGGGGAAAAGACTGAGGTTCACTGAAACTGATGTCATTTAAATGTTCATTAATAGTACTGGATTTTTTATTGATCCAATTTAAAACAACTCCAATCCAAACTAAGATCTGAACTATCAACCAACTTTGTTCCATTTGTTTGATTTTAATACTGATCAGATACAGGTTGAATATTACTTTATTTTCTGTCATATTGAAAACCAAAAACACAATTTTTTTTTTCACAGGTTCATGAAACAAAAAAATTAAAATCTTTAGATCCATTGAAAATAAGGAATTGTTGATCTGGTTAAAAGCATAGTACATCTCTACCGATATTTTTTATTTAAGATTTTGTGTATCCTGCTTTTAAATAAAAGGTAAATTGTTGCTTTTTCATGACAAGGGCAAGAAAAATGATTAGACTCAAACTTAACTTAGAAAGTAACTCAAAAATATCTATAAGCATCTACTTCTATCGGCATCCCTAGTTAAAAATTTGGGAACAAGATTTCCTATTGCCTCACTAAACGTTCTCTTTGTGAACGGACAAAAGAAATTTGGAATCTCTCTCCTTTTATTACTCTGACCAGATGTAGGGAAGTTTGGGTGAGATTCTGTAAACTAATATGCCTTATTAATATGACATGTTTCTTTTTCTTTCACATTTTGAAGTGTTGCTAATACGAAAAGATATATCTGGGGTTTTTATCTTTAGAAAAAGGTCATGGGTTACAGATTAAAGGTGTTAAGACTTTCTGATTTCTAAAAACATAGAATTTGATGGGGTGCTTCTCTTTTTCAGTTATAATTTTATTAAAAAAAAAAAAAATGTATATCCAAATAATATATTATGTGTATATATGATATTATAATAGATCCTATATTTTCATAGGAAAAAAACTGTTTGATATGCCACCGCATCCAAAGATTGATTTATTGTAATTTCTGATATCCTCCCAAGTGGAGCGGAAATTGTAGATTGATGCATAATCAGATTTAGCATCATTATTGATACCAATAATATCATTTTGAGTGACACATTAAAGCGGAAATTGTTTGACATCAGGTGAGGTAATACATGTTTCTGCAGATTTCAGAACATTTATTTGTTTTAATGACTCTTTCTATATTACTATAATGTGTGGCTTGTTTAGGCTGTGTCTCTCACCTTTTTAATCTATACTGTGAAAAGACCATGTAGAGCTATGCAAACCTGATGTCGCACCATCCAAGGATCACTTATGGCCTTTTTAATTATAGCAGGTGTTTTGGCATCAGAGGACAACAGTGATGAGCTAACGTCTGGGGGATGACTTCATACAGGAAGTCTAAATAAACCTCTGAGAGCAATATAGGTTTCCCTCTGGGGAATAGACTGCAGGATGTCTCCCTTCTTCTCATCCGTGCTGTCTGCATCCTCCTCCTGCTTAGAGAGTCAGCGATGACACAAGTACAGATTGATTCTTTGGTTTTGAGGTTTTTCCAACACAGTCATTCCTGTAATACTGAAATAATTGCCTTAAGGGATTTTTCATAAAAGTAGCAGTTTATGGAATAACGATGCTGGACCATCTTAAAAGTATTGTGTTCTTAAGTCTATTTTTAATTTGAGATTTTTTTTTGTTTTGCTATCATGACAAACTCTATTCTTTCCAGACTTGAAATAAAAAGACCCAGACTTTTACTAGTAAAACAATTGTTTTTATGCATTTTGTAGCCAGAAAGATGAGCACAATCCAGAGAAGATTTATAAAGTTTATTCACAATACTGACATGAGACCAAAGAAGATAGTCAGCTTCCTGTCAAAGTCTGCAAAAAGACAGTCTGACGAGTTGCAGAATGAGCAGGAATTGGAAAATGTTACCATTAGATCAGTAATTTCCACCCTGGTCCTCAAGGCACCCTGCCCTGCATGTTTTAGATGTTTTCCAGCTTTCACACACCTGTTATCAATTGATGGCAGATTATCAGGCTTTGCTGAACTGCAATCATCTGAATCAGGTGTGCTGAACCTCAAAAACATGCAGAGCAGGGTGCCTTGAGGACCAGGATTGAAAAACACTGCATTAGATGGCTTCTTCCCACTGGAGAAAACACATCAATCTGAAGATGGTCCAACTGTTACTCCTAAGGGTCAGGGAAGGCTTCCCCAAAATGGTGGCTAAAAATGCCAATGGGACAGAGCTCCAAGTACACAACCAGTAACCATGAGAGACAGGAGGAAGTTTAGGTCCAGAGTCTGTGAGGTGGAAATCTGAATCCAAAGACAATAGCAAGGGTAGGGTGCACCCAGGGGGTGGGGGAGCAAACAGGCTTCAGGCAAAGGTCACAAGATTAAGCCAATCGAGTTGGCAGACTTGAATGCTTGAAAGCTGTAGTTGGTATGGAAACAGACAGTCTCACACTGAATGAGTGCAGACAGGAGCTTATGTAGACAGCAGCACAGGTGGGAACAATCAGCAGCCAGCATGAGCAGAGGCACAGGTGGGAACAATCAGCAGCCAGCAGCTATGGGAGTGGAATAAAACAAGACAGATCAGGATACTCATGTTAAAATTTTATTACATTCATGCTGCCTGATTTGGTCCGATAAAGATATTTTCCACTTGTAAAGTGGAAATAAGATGTGCATTGTGTTCAAGGGTTTGTGAACACAAAAACCCTTGAACACAAGAGAAACATGTTGGATCCACAGACTATCCTGACCTGCTGATCATCTGCTACAGGAAGAAGATGATTCATCAAAAACTGACTGCTAGCGAGCATTTGATAAAATCAAACAAGTCATTTCAGAAGTGATACAGTTTAAATTGTGATATATTAAAAAATATACATAGATGTCACAGCATTGTGTGGGGTACAAACATCACAGGAGATAACGCTGAACGATGCAGTATTCATCATACAGAATCATTTCATTGTTGAAAGGTCAAAGTTTACCTCATCTCGGAAACTCTGGTAACAGAATTTTTCCAGCAGAAATTCCAACATTAGTTGGTGTTTGTATGCAATTTGATGTCAGTTTTTGGTATTTACTATAATTACAATATGACATGAGGGCAGCATTAATTGGGTAAATGTGATTATTATTTCTAAACTGAAGTTATGTCAATTTATCATCTAAGAGTAAGGTTTAAATTTCCGCCAGCTCTAAAATTTGCCCCAAATTATTTCTTTGTTGTTTTATTACAATCTGCAATGTAATAAAAAAACAATAAAAAAAAACTCTTTCTAAAATACTAATCTAAAAAAAAAACTTTTTTGCATACCAGTAATTGGTCTTTTGTAATAATTAAATATATAACAGTCATGATTTTGGACTGTGGAAGGAAGCCGGAGTACCCAGAAAGAACCCACACATGCTCAGAGAGAAAATGCAAACTCCATGCAGAAAGACCCCAGGCCGGGAATCAACCCCAGAGCCTTCTTGATGGAAAGCAGCAGTGCTACCTACTGCGACACTGAGCAACCCTTAAGTTTCAAAAATGAGAAAAATCCTTGGCAAACTGCAGTATTTTCCTTGTATTGTTTGTTTGATAGAAGCTGCTTTTCCTTAAGGTTTATCGTGATTTAAGAGGAGGGTGGCAGGGCTGTTAGAAAATCGTGTGCTTGATGTTCTGCTCTACCTCCCAAATAAAGAAAGAACTCTTTGGTCTTTTCAATAGATATAGATACTTTTTTTTAATATATATATATATATATATATATATAAATGGACACTCCATTAAGGCATTTAATTGTTTAAAGAAAATTAGGTAAAGTGATCAATAAAGGTAGTGTTGTCTTTAAATGGGGTTTCACATTAAAACTGGTGTAGAATATATGAAATTTGTTGCATCCATATGTTCCAAATCAAATCAAGTTGAAAAAAGCCCCAAAAATGAGCTGCGTGAACTTGAATTCATAAAGATTACAGTCAGAGGGTGAGAAAAGGAAAGCAATGGCCTAAGAGAAAGAGTTGTGTGTGAGTGTCTCCATGGTGATCTGTCTCTGCTCTGAGTTAAAATGGGGGGCTTTTATTGGTTGCCATGCCAACCCCGTTGGCTGTCAGTTAGCTGTGGGCTGGTGCCAGGTCAAAGGTCAGTGAGGTGTCTTTGTATTCCCGTGCAAACAGTGAGGATGTTACTTTTTTGCAGAAACTATTCGTTCTTATTTTTTTTCCCTCTTCCTCTGCTTTTGTCCTTAAGTTTTTTTCTGTCTGTGTCTTCTGGGGTCAATTGAAATTTGCCTTTCATCTTTTTCTCATTTTAATGTTGCTCTTCAGGTAAATTCAAGTTACTGGATGAGGACCGAGACGTCAGGGACCCTGTCCAATATTTCTCCAGTGTGGAGGAAGTTGCTGGAGTCTTCCCTGACCGGGTCTTCGTCATGGAGACAATCACATTCAGTGTCAAGGTGAACACCAGTCTGCCCCTCCCTCCCACCATCCATCCAGTTTACTTCCATTGAAATATAATCTGAACTCAATAGTAACGTAAAATGTCTAGAAAACTGTATTCAACAGTGGGTTGCCTGAATTCAGTGTTTGATTTTACAGAACAGTTTAAAACCCGACATTTAGAGCTAACAAGGATTTACTGTAATGTTCATGGGAAAGCTGTTCTCTTCCAGGTGGTATCTGGGGAGTTCAGTGAGGACAGCGAGCCCTACAGCTTCACTTTGCAGGCTGGAGATGAACTGTCATTGATGGGCAAGGCAGAGCTCCTGTGTGCAACGCCCCCAAAAGAAAAGACGGGGCTGAGCGCACTCTTGAGACGGTTGGGAAAGACTCCAAGAAGTAAGTCGAACTGTTGAATTCAAGTTTGTAGGATATCTGATGCACACAGAGCTAAAAACTGATGTAGTAACCCACAGGCAGAACTGAGATATTATTTTTCTTTATGTTTCTCTATTTGTCTATATGCAGAGTCTGGACTTGTTTGGAAAACTTAACATCCTGTCACCGAAAGGTGTAATACTGTTTAAAAAAAAAAAAAAAAATCCAAAAAGCGGTGCAAAGAACTAAGATTCAAAACCCACTTTAACTCTAGAAACACTGTTTGCTTGACTTAACATTAGTTAAATGCATTGTTTTTATATTATATAATACACACAATTTATCTGATATTAAGAAACAAAACATATTGTTCCTTGAATATTATTCTTTTTATCAATTTAATGCTGATGAGTTAGGGGTCAGCGTATAGACGCATCTCTCTTTTATAAGAAAGATTAACTACTTTGTAAAAAAAATAAGACTTCATGAGCAAACAGTTCTGCAATTTAAGAAAAACAGTTGTCAATAGAAATTGCAAAGATTTTGAGAATTTCATCATCTTCAGCACATTATATGAGGATTCTGAAAATCTGGGAGGATCTTTGTACACAAGGGACACTGCTGAGAATCAATTTCTAATGGTAGTGATTTTTAGGCCCTCAGGCTGCACTGCATTAATAAAAAATGTTTAAACTTCACCATGTGAGGAAAAAACACATCTTTAAACACTATCCAGAAAGGCCCCTGCCTTCACTTGGCTTCAGCTCGTTTTAAATGGGCTGAGGTGGGACAAAAAAACTGTCTTAATACCTGATGAATGTGAAATTCTTTTTGGAAAACATGAACATCGCCTGCTTGAGGCTAAACCGCCCGAAAAAGACTGTCAGAGAAAACATCTCACTTTAGAAACTACATAAGCATGTCTCCAGAGCTCCCAAATTCTTAGAATCCTGTGTAAAGACGAGCTGATGCAACCCACTGGTAAACATGTACATGTGTTTTGAAACTCTGAATTCAATAGATTTTTATTTTGTCATTCTTAATGTTTCATTTATTTTATTTGTACCATTTTTCATCATTTGCAAATTATCGGTCTTTGGTTTTCTTGCAACAATTTCATCTACAGTTTACATCAGTGTTATGAACACAGCAACGCTGAATCTTCAGTGATTGTTGAAAGCATATGTCGTTTATATCGTCTGATGATTTATTTTTTTATGCATTTCTCTTTTTTAAGATGTAAGGGTTAAAATCAAATTATTCCTTTCAATATATCCAAAGCAATGCCACCAGGAGAGCTAGGTTGCTGCAACCTCTGTGTTGATGTCATATATTGTAACTTATTTACAAAACAAATTAAACAGGCACAGTCAAGGAAACGCTACAATAAGAAAACAAAATTATGTTTAACTTATCTAACATACCATTAAATTTAAATGTAAGTTGCAAAGAAAGTAACTCTAAGTTCTGAAAAGTTTCTTTTAGATAAACTTTTAGGTCTCTTTTTAAAGGAATAGTACACCCAAAACATGATTAGCCTTCATTTTCTACTCACCCCCATGCTGAACAACACTCTGGAGTACTTTTTTGATATCTCAAATGCATCTGGAGATCTGGGAGGCTTCTGGCTGTCTGCTGACATTCAAATAATGGAGGTCTATGGTGCCCGAGACAGAAAGGTCCATAAAAATCCAAAAAAAACGTGTCAATATTCCTCCATACTGCTCGTCCAATGTATTCCAAGTGTCCTGAGTGGGTAGCGTCCATAATTTACTCGAAACGAAGTCATTTAGAATGTTTTTAGAGCATAAACAGTAGTGTATAGGATTTCCTAAAAGCGCGTTCACGAGTCTACGGAAGCCGGCAGACCAGATGAAAGTGCGCATTCAGCGTCTGCTCTGCCGATAATGCAAGCGTAGAAGAAGAAATGTGCTGTTTACTTGTGCAAAGAAAGAAACAACGAAAGAAAAATGTCTGAGGACTTCGGTGTTGAGGAAGAGCATGAGTTCTTTGCCGAGCTGAATGCGCACTTTCATCTGGTTTGGTCTGCCGCGGTTTCCGTAGACTTGTGAACGCACTTTCAGGAAATCCTATACACTACTGTTTATGCTCTAAAAACATTCTAAATGACTTTGTTTCGAGTAAATTATGGACGCTACCCACTCAGGACACTTGGAATACATTGGACGAGCAGTATAGAGGAATATTGACACGTTTTTTGTGGACTTTTATGGACCTTTCTGCCTCGGGCACCATAGACCTCCATTATTTGAATGTCAGCAGACAGCAAGAAGCCTCCCAGATCTCCAGATGCATTTGAGGTATAAAAAAAATACTCCAGAGTGTTGTTCAGCATGGGGGTGAGTAGAAAATGAAGGCTAATCATGTTTTGGATGTACTATTCCTGTAAAGCATTACCCATAAAGATTGTCTGCAATCGGTTCTTTACACTCTTGCTTTTTCTGATCCTTTAGGTAAAACACCCTGTCTAGTGTGTATGAACCATCGCACCAACCAGAGTGTCAGTTTGCCCTTTGGCTGCAGGGGACGCTTTTGTACGCGTTCCCCCCTGGAGCAAGGCATGCTGGGAGGGGAGCATACAGTGCGCAGCATCATTGAGAGAGTTCGCCTGCCTGTAAACGTTTCTGTGCCGTCCCGTCCGCCGCGGAACATCTACGACCGCCATGCCGTGCGAGAAGGACACCGTTACAAGCTGCTCAACATCGTCAGCAAGACAGTGGTGCTGTGTTTGGTTCTTCGGCGACAGGAAGTTTCCCCCTCACACTTCCTGCTGCTGCGCTGCATGCCCCGTTTTAACGTGGCGGAGGCTTCTGTTCATACAGCAGCTCTAGAGAGCCTCCTGCTGAGGCACGCCTTCGACCCGGACGCCTACTCGCGGGCTGTTCGAGAAACGCGGCCAGAGCTGGAGTGTATGACAGAGGAGTGTGTGAGCCCTCGGCGCTCTCGCCTGTGTGTGTCAGGTCAAGACTCGCTGGCCCCGGCACTGCAGCGCTTCTCAATGTGTGGATACGTAGGTGGGGTTTCAGAAAACCTATCACAACGCTGCAGGGACTCTGTAGGAGAGCGGCTGGGGGAGGGACCTGGCGATGAGAGGGAGTATGTGACTCCTGAGTGGAGTGAAGATGAGTTGAGGACCAGTGAGGAGATCCCCTATGAAGAACTATGGACCAATCAGAACGCAGAGAGTTTGGGAAAAGAACCAAACCTTATATCCTTTCACACGTCTTCCTCTTTGGACGGTTCTCTTGGTACCATGGTGACAACAGTGTCTAGCCCACCACCTATACCTCCAAAATCTGATGCTGTGAGTGTCATCATATACTGTCCCTTCCTGGGTTCATCTGTCTTTGATCTGTTTCATCCCTCCATAACTGCATCCGGCCCTTAAAAGTCTAAATGCTTGAATAATTCATATATAAGAGCTTTTAAAGCTCCATGAACACTAACGGAGACAAACTGTTTTCCCAGAAAGGTTCCTCTATACAGAAACTGTGCTTAGAATGAGAAGGGATATTTAAAAGGGAAACAAACAGCAGGTTTGGCCCAAAGGTTCCAACACTGATTGTGAGTTGTGTGAATTTATTATTAAGGTGGAAATTTGTTTTATCTAAGGTTATTGAATTTATTTGTTTTTTCTTATTTCCAGCATGACTTCCAGTAAGTGCTGAGGCTGGTCAATAAAGGCAAACACTGAGACACCCATCTCAGCATACTAGAAACGATTAAAGGATCATAGAGAGATGCCTTGCATTGATTCCTCCTTAGAGAATGGTTAATTAAAGTCCATAAATTGCCTCCACCTGCTGGAAGAAAAAAGGAAACAAGACTAAAAGGAAGGAATTCATGGTAGAAGTGAAGAAGGAATCATGGGAGGGAAAGAGAATAAAGGACAGGAGCAAAGAGAAAAAACAAAAGGAAAGAGCATGAAGTATGGAAAGAAGGATGATGGAAGCAACAGGTGGAAATAGGGAAGTAATGAGTGAAGAGAGATTTAGGAAAAATGGAAATACAGACGTTAGGAGACAAGAAGGATGATACTAATCATAAAAAAGAAAGGTAGGAACAAAGAGAGGGAAAAAAGCAAACCAAGTCGGTGGAAGGAAATGGGATGGGGAAGAGAAACAGAGTAGGGAAGCTGTTTTTTGGCAACAGATTACATTTCACCTTCTGCTGTTGCCAACACGTCATGTGACGTCATCTGTTCCGTTGTTGAGAATCTGATGAAAACAGCCAAATGCATTTGTGGTAATAACTAGACCTTCCTCACACCTCACTCTCTGCTACATTCCAAGTGTTTTAACACTTTGTCAGCTCCTGTTCCAGAGAACACTAAACTTTGGATTGTGACCACAGTCTTACTTTTCTTTGCTCAGAGTATAGTCCCTTTTATAAGAGGCAACCACAAAAGGCTAAAGAAGCCCTCTAAGGTCGCTTTGAGGCTTCAGACATTGATATATCAATGCAGAACCTGAATGTGTGACCAACTATATGAGCTTCCTTTTTCGATAACATTATCCCCACAGATGGAAGTCGGGACAGAGCCATTGAATGGAATACATACTTCAGTAGCTTCAGTTCAGGATTACGCTCAGCAACCTTCTCTCCTGCTCCCATCACACCCTCCTTTGACCCAAGGTCCAGATGGAGTTCTGAAGACCTGTGCATAGCAGCTCTGTTGGATTCTTCAGCACCTCATCTAACTCTGTCTGACCGAGGAGACGGTTCCAGTGAACTGGAATACCTCCTGTCTTGTTCCAATACCAAAGAAAACTCAGCCAACAGTCCTTAATTCCGTAAAAGTTCAAAAAATATCCACTGGACTTTGTTTCCAAAATCTGAAGACGTTTCGCCACCTCTCCAGGAAGCTTTCTCAATTCAAATGCATTTGAACAACAACATTTGAATTGAGAAAGCTTCCTGGAGAGGTGACGAAACGTCTTCAAACCTTGGAAACCAAGTCCAGTGGATATTTTTTGAACTTTTACGGAATGACTATGACCTGGATGACCGAGAATCTTCATCAGCATAACAGTCCTTAATGACTGTAAAGCTGTTGCTCTGACAGCCCACATAATGAAGGTCCTACAGAGATTCCTGTTGGTCCATCTACTATTGCTTACAGCCATGGAGTTGGAGTTAAATATGCTATCATACACCTGCCTCAATGAACCAACTGTCATTTAGACAAGGTAGAGGATCATGTTTAGTAATTTCTCCAGTGCATTCAACACAACTCAGCCTGGAAAATGCAACGAGTTGATGAGGAAGGCTGGCTGAAAGTCATCTAGAAACACAAAGAAAAATTATTTATAAAAAGAGGAATATTATGGGTAATAGTGACCATAAATTTAAGAAATGGCAACACATTTTCAGTCAAAAGCTTCTCCAGGTCTGGTGCGAAACAAATCACTACAGAAGATTATCCCTGCCTAAAGCTATTATCTGTATAAATCATTAAGACAAAAGTTTTTTTAGTCTCTAGACGCCTTTATTTAGTTATTTTTGAAAGTATGCAGACAGGGAAAAGGGTTACAAGATGGGAGAGACCTTTTGAGAAAGGTCAACACCCCTAATAACATTTGTACAGATGCAAGGTATCAGGAGAGAAAGGAAATGATCAAGGACAGATCGGGATTAAGAAAGAGAAGGCGTATTTAGGGAGCAAGAAAGACGGAAAGGAAGGAGTAGGGAGGAAAAGGGGATGGAAGACAAGAAACGAGACGATGGGATGAAAAGAAAAAACGGAATGGTCAATTTATTCATACTGAAAGTCTTATTAACTATTACACATGCAGTCAGAAATATTTCTCATTTCAAAACCTGATTTTTCTGCCTCTGGCTAAAATGGATGATATATTAGAGAATTAAATAATGTATATTATTTAAACGCATAGTTTATAGTTTCAGTAATTTTTTTTTCTCAGCACATGTTAATGTGTTTAAGGGTGTCTCGAAGAGGCATTATCATGCTTTTGTTTTATTTATATAACTTTTTTCTTTCTGAGAGGCCTGTGTGGGTGAAGATATCTGCTTAGCAACTTAATTATAGCCTCTCAAACAGTCTTCTTCATTCCTGATATTTAGCCTGCCAGAACAATGGGTTGTCTTGGAAGTATGTGTGAAGCCTGCTGTGTGTGTAAGAGAGTTTGTTTGATGTGTAAAGGTCACCCAAGTTTGACATTTATCAAGCCGACACACAGAATTACATAACCCCCTGAGAAGTGCTGGGTGTTATCTTTTTTGCTGATGTATGCGTGTTTTCATGCAGGTGAGGGAGGAGTGTCGCTACTTGCTCGCCCCTCCGGTGCCACCACGCTGCTCTAAAGGAGGCTCCATCTCCAGTCCAGTCCCAAGCCCTCCTGTTCCACCTCGGTTCCCTAAAACCTCCACTTCCCCAAGATCAAACCTCTCCTTCTACTCCTCCGGACTGCATGACAGGTGCAGTAACGTACAAGAATAAAAGTAAAAAATAATGCAAAAGCTAAAAGTATTTCAGGTTTCAGGGGCCGGTTCAGAGTGTCAGAAATTTAAGTTTGTTTCATGCTAAATAAACAAACACATTTTTATATATATTTAAAATGGAAATGTATCAAGGTGTTATAGCAATTATTTTTAAGTTATGATTATTTGGGGAATAAAGGCCGTAGAATATTAACTGGAAAGTTTGACAACATCTGGATTTTTTTCGCTTTTCCATGTTATTCAGATAACAAGAAAATAAAAAATGTTCTTTGCTGCATTAGTATCCATTTACACCAAAGAAAGAACACTATCAGAAAAAAAGACAACCAAAGATTAGCTTCAGTAAAAATTGGGTTCCTTTTCCAATCCTGTAAAAACAAAGCAAAGATGATGCATAAGATGACAAAAAGAAAATAATATCAAAGATGTTTAGTGATATTTGAAGACAGAGCAGCAACACTATGGTAAATAAGACGGAATGCTTCTCTACTGGATACTATGATTTCACAATGTCTTTAACCTGTAATAGATCAATGTATTTTGGGTCTGCAGGTATTAAGTGTCCTTTTTCTTTCCAGGTGAAATCTGGGATTTATAGTCTTTAATAGTTTATAACATGGTAGATATCAAATAATTAATACAGTAAACCTCAGGAATTGATTGATATTATTCTTCCTTTTTACAAATTTGATACCTAGCCTCCCTATTAGTTAGGTAACACTGTCTTTGCAAAATGCTTATCGCAGCTTTAATGGGTTTCTGACATGTAAAAAGTGTTAACAAAATAAGTTTGGGCGACCTAAAAAGCATACCACAATATAAGGTTTCGTATAGAGTGATATCAGTAATTGAAACTTTTTAAATACTATGCAAAATAAGGACTAGGAGGAGAACAAAGGCTTGATTTACCTTAAAGGGATTCCTTTTGAATTAAACCTTTGGCTTTAACCATTTAAAATAGAATAAAAGAACAATAAATAATGATCAAATATATTTTTAAAAGTTTAAATGTGCAAAACATTCAGCAAATAATTATTTTATCTATCAATGATTTTATCATATGGCGTCAATACCATGTACCTCTTGATTTTGGTCTTTTGCAACTTGTGGATGAGACCGGCTCAGGTGATTGATTTGTTTGACACTTTAAGTGGACATAGCTTCCAGACAGCATCGATCTGACTTTTGTCTGAGTTCAAATATCCAAATACTTCCCAGTCGGCCTCAGCAGAAGGCCGCTTACACTGAGCCCGGTTCTGCTGGAGCTTTCGTCCTGTTAAAAGGCAGTTTTCCCTCTCTACTGTCGCTACATGCATGCTTTTTTGTAAAGGTATTGATTTGGAGTCAATAAGTTAATGTAATCAGCTGGTTTTCCTTAGATAATAAACTTTTTACCATCTGACTGTATGATCTGCTTGAATTGTCTCTGTAAAGTGCCTTAAAATGACAAGTGTTGTGAATTGGTGCTATATGAATACACTGAATTGAATTGATACCCTTCCTCTTTTGTTGACAATGTCGTCAGACTCATTCCTTCTAACTATTGGCTATAGTTTTAAAACAGTACAGTTAAGAAAGCCAAGCTTGCTACTTTGCATGTAGTTACCAGAGCAGTGGGAGCTAATGGCTAAGACTCTATCCAAACTAGTTCCAGACTTTTTTTGCAGTAATTATTGAACATATTTTTTATTGTTGTTTATTATATGGTGATATATATCATCATCTTTTTATCACCCACTGTTAATGTCAAATTTCCTTTAACACAAAGTTCCTCACAGGGGTTTTTAGAGCTGAAATGTAAATGTAGTTCATATATGTTCTCATCCAGCTATAGCTTCCAATTTAATGTTAATAACATGATTCCTAATGTTTGTGTGTATGTGTCTGTGTGCCAGCTCCTCGCCCTCCCCGGGCGCCACCCTCTACTGTTACCCTTGTTCCTGGACTGACTGTCCTGCTCCTAATCAAGCCATTCCTGATCCGGGCTCTGGAGTCTCTGCAGACAACACATCTAGCCCACAGCCTGCACAGGCCACCTGGGCCGAGCCGTGGGTAGAGCCCTTCACATCCCCCACACCTCGGCTCAGGCCACCACCCCCACAGAGCAGATTTGCACCGTTTGGCGCGTTAAACCCATTTAACCGCCAGTCGCCTTGCCCTTCACCCGAAACTGTTACCAATCCTACGAATGATTCTTCCAGAGGCGCAGAAGGCGGTGGGACATCAACAAGTAGGACTGATGGATCCTCTCCTCCACCTGACTCCACCTGGAGGCCTCCTACTGACCTTTCTGTACTATCATTGGAGGAAGTCTCAGCATGCCTGCGTTTTATTGGCCTACCAGAGGCAGCAATCGCCATCTTTCAGAGGGAGCGAATAGACGGCAGCCTTTTGGTGCAGCTGACTGAGGACATTCTGTCACATGACTTCCACCTGAGCCGTCTCCACGTGACTAAAATCACACAATTCATACAGGGATGGAGGCCCAAAATTTAAACCTCAATATCCTGATACTGTGCCTGTTGGCTACTCAGCCATCCTGAATGTGCCTTCCACTGTGACCCACGGGCTGCTGAGCCCCCCTTGCTTGAAGCCTAAGGAAACCACGCCCCACTGTGGTTAAACTGACTCTTGACTCTATGGCTGCAGATTTTTTTCTTTTGATTTCAGACTGGAATTTGTTTACTAACTTTGGCTCCAAATGAGAATTAAAAAATTAAAATGCACCACTTCAGTTCGTATTCTAATTTCACCCTTCAGTTATTCAGCAGAAAAACACCAAATGGAGTCTTGAGGCCAGCATTAAATCTGATCTGATGAAAACAATCTCTAGATTTGACTAACAAAATATCTTTTTTGTTTTTCAATTAGTAGTTATTATGTAATTTAAGTGTTATCCCATAAAATCTGAACTACTGTCTTGTAAGATGAATAACACTAGGCATGTCTTTTAAACTGGCCTCGTCCACAACTGTCTTTGCCTCATTAAGCTTTGGTGGTATGTAATTTGAATAAAGTAGGAGCTAAAAGATAACTACGTAAACAGAATAAAGTAAAAATAAATATTATTGTGATAGGGCCAATTAGATGCAAATTGAGGTTAAACAACCTCTAAATGTTCAACCTTGTATACCTGTCATATTCAGAGCTGCGTACCATTGCCCAAACCTTATACAATTATATATATTTTTTTACCTCATATTACTTGTTCTCATATGCTTTAATTACCCCCAAGAATGAAACTACACTAAGATCACTATTTATTTAGTATTTAATAAGATTAGAGACATACATTTCCACACTTTAAAGCCCAAGAGTAGAATTTAGTATTGAAGTTTAAGTACTGAAGTCGAATTCTGTGACATTTGGGTTTTTAAACAGTTTTTAGAATTAATTCAACACAAATAATGAATCAATGACTAATTTAGAAGTATTAAAATACTAGCAGTATGCAGAGACTCATCTGTTTCTAGGACAATAAAATGCCCACTTGTATTCAGATAAGCATGAAGATGCAACTTCTGTTTTGCTGTTTGTTGATTATCCCTGATTGTGTCATTGCAATGAAAACTGCAACTGCTGAATTATGTCAGACATAAAGTATTTTCATTTAAAACATGGTGTTTCTAAAATTAAGTGGTCTTTAGACGGATCAAAGGGCCTCTTTCTCAAATCGGAATCTTGTGTTATCTTAGGAACTCCTCACCCCAGAAGTGGTGTGTACACGTAAAATCGTGATATCTACCTGTAAATGCATGACCGCCATCAAAGGAAAGAAGCAGAAATGAATAAATGATATGCTAAATAAATCAAAACTGAATGACCTTTGATATTTTCTTAGTTAGGATATTTGCACAATATGCAATTAATGACCTTGCAAAAAAAGATACAGCCGGTCACTGTAAGGTATGATTCGATTCCCTGTCCGCAACAAGTCATCCACACCAGCGCCATTGAAAAAGAATGCTTTTGTGACTGTTATACTGTGGATTTAGGTAGGGGAAGTTATTGTATAGTTTATTGCTGTAAAAAATGTGATTGTGATTAAAAGTTTGATTTATTGTCAAACAATAGTTTCAAGTTAAGGGTTTCAGAAAACTTTTAAAAATGACACTATTCGAATATTTTTCCGACTGGTGTAAACTGACTGCAGAAATAAATAACGTAAAACTATCAAATGAACTTAGTGTGTGGAGTTAAATGAGAAGTATCCAACTACTTTATGTAACCATTGTACTAAAAAAGCTAAAAGATAATAGTATTAATAAAAATACATTTAATTTGTGAGACACTCTAAAAATATGGAAGTGCTGAAAAGTAGCAACAAAAAGCAATATTCAGAGGTATGTATTCTACGAGCAGTATTTAAGTTTGCTCTGCTTATGAGACTGCAAAGAAGTTGTAAAGACAGTTTTTTTTTTCACTTTTACCACTATCACAAGCAATACTACACAATATAATGAAGCTATGTGTCCATACAATCTATCCCTACTGTACCTACAATGTATGCTGGTCTAGATCTAAATACAAAGAAAACTGATTTTCTTCTAACAAAAACTTATGTAAAGTTTGTACGTTGTTTGCATCATTCCCGGATGATGGGTGTAAAATCTTTAGTGTGCTGCTGCATGCAGACTAAATGGGTTATTTTGGTTTACTCTCTAACTTTTATTTATTTGTGTTATTGTGATGATCACCTGACTTTCAAGAAAACGCAGCTGCTCAATACACAGCCTGTGAAATTAAACTCTCCTGCCTGGTCAGTTAATGCAAGTAGCAGACATGACAAGGTAAGTCAATCTTCATCTGTACAGACAGAGCATCTGCATAGCATTACATGAAATTAAGTAACCTTACTGTGAGGTCAGAGTTGCATTTTTTCAGACATGTTAAAGGTGCCAAGTGCATTTGGGGTATCATGCTATAACATTCACAAAACAGGCTATTAAAGGTATGTTATACATATAGAATGCAGAGATACAAAATCCTATTGCATCAATTATTTTCATTTTACTTTTAAAATCTTACAAATAAATAATAGATAATGAAACAGATCTAAGCTCTTAAGCGAAATTATTTTGCTTTCTTAAACTTTGATAAATAAAAGATTATTTTCTATACTTTGTATTCAAAACATGAATGTTGATGAATGTTTGTCATGAGCTGATCTTCTTAAAGAGGTGCAGATTACCATTCTCAAAGTATGAGTTAATAGTGATGAAAACCAGGGGAGGTCTCACACCTGTCAAAGGACATGCTCCGCATCTTAATACTTAAAAAGTTATTACTGCAGTGGATAAGTGTCTACTTTTTGTGGTGCAATCGATTGTTTCAAGCTAAATATCTGAACCACTGAGTAACTACTATAAATGATCCTTAAAAACATTGTTTTAAACCCTACAATTCCTATAAAATAAGATATTTTGCACAAAAATTGATCTATAAACTGGAAGTGATTATTTAAAAAAAATCAGAATTTTATCTTTATTATTCTTTGTGAACAGTTTTTTTTTTTTTGTTTTAAAGGCATAACTCAAGATAATATCTTGAAGTTTCTAAATGGTCATTGATTTTTAGGTATTGTTTTGTCTTTCATGTTTGCATTTTTTGAATTTGGAAAAGTCAACAGCAATTATGAAGTATTTTAACTCTGCAGACATTACCCAGACAGACCTCAAAGTGATTAACAAGTCCAGAAAAACATCAGAATAATTTCCTGAGAGTTGCGTTCCTTCTTCACTGTCGCCCTGAAGATAACAGAATGGCAGAATTGTTTGCTTAAGTGCAGCTAGAAAGAAATGCCAAAGATACAGTAGAACATACCCAGAGGGCGGCCCAGCTGGCACATTACTTCCTTTTTTAATATTTTATTGTGATTTTACCCCAAATGATTGTCTTGACCTTAATATACTCAAGTGTAACCCAGTAGCCACTAGCGCAAGACTATGAACCTTTTAAGAATGAACATGAGTAGCTAATTAATATGGATGTGTGTCTGTATACCATTTAAAGAGGTCTCTGTGTGCCACGTGCTCCAGGCAGCCATACAACCAAGACTTTTGGGGTCCCCAGGATTTATTCATGTATTTGTTTATTTGCTGCCTTTTTCTTTTTTCTTTTTTGTACAGAACAAGTTATTGGGAAAACAGGTCTTAAGGCCATTTTTAGCCACACAAGCAGATTTAATGATATTGTATCTTGAGGCCTGTTCCCAAGAAAGAGCCATGAGTTACAAAGATAAAAGCAGTAGGACATGTTTTAGTCTTTTCCCTCCTCCTCTGACCTTCCAGACAGATGTGCAACTTACCTTACTTACTGCCCCATTAGCGCTAAATGAAGAAAGCAAGCTTTATTCTTCGTTCCAACAGTATTTATGCTAGTATGGATTTTGCTTGAATTAACAGATATGTAAATGGCCATGCTCCATCTTATATCAGAGATATGATTGTTCTTTATGTTCCTAACGGAGCCCT